TCCCCTAGACAAAAATCACTACTCGATTTAAACATGGCGGAGGTGGGAAGACTTTTTTCTTTGTTAGAGTTCAAATGTCTTGATCATTTTTACTTTATTAACCGTTTTAATGTCTTTTCTATTCGCTAGGGGATCCATCATTACTTCGATGGCCTTGTAGCGAGGTAAGAAGGTGAAATGTTTGGATAAATGGTCTTCGCGGCTGACAGGTCACAAGTCTCGTGACCAAAATCGTAAATGTAATAGTACTGTTTGGTGGAAGCTTCTTTCACTTATCTTGCGGTCCTTTCTTTTGCAGGCATGAAGGAATTCTCGCCATTTTGGTTACAGACAGAGACGGAGTTCCTCTAGTGAAAGGTTAAAGTCTATTAATTTGCTTGTTGATACTGAAAGATCGATATCGCACATCAAAGTGCAGTTTCTACAGCAGGTCTCAGTTGCTCAAAAAGTGTTAGAAATAGTATCATGGCGTGGGACCAAGGCTGTAGCCAGATGAAATTCTCACCAAGAAAGTTAAGACAAAAATATCTATAACCTTTTTAGCAACATATTTTGTCACAAGGCCCTCCTAGGTGCAGATATGCGCACAGGTCCTAGAGTGGATCGGAACCTGACGAACCTCAATATAACGAAGGGCTAAGGCAAAATGCGTTAGCTATACCGAGGTTTCGTTATATCGAGGTTCTTTTCCATATATTTTACTATTACTGGGGTAAGGAAGATTGTTCGTTATACCCAGGACTTTGTTTTATCGAGGTTCGTTACATCAAGGTTCCACAGTATACTCTAAAGAAACTCTTTTGCAGAAACGCCTCCTCCCCACCCCCACCCCCACATAAAAACAAATCAACCCATTCCCTAAATTATAGGGCACGATCCATTCAACCGAAATTTCTGGAAATTTTGGTCCAAAACTCAGTGGATCCATTCAGTCCAACTGGAAAAGTTTCGAAAAAACTGGTCCACCTTTTGCGGTCGACCACTTTTCCCAGTCGGACCGGTCGGAATTTTGGTTGCATGGATTGTGCCCGTAATGTGGGCATGGCTCAAGCAATAAATATGCAAAGTCATTAGATACAGGCTGCCAAAATTCCCTTTTCTGACAAAGCAGTCTTGTGATGAAATGCAGTGGACATGCAAAAATGCTATATTTGGCAACCTTTGCAAATCTTCAGGAATGTTTGTAAGTCATCAGAACATCTTTGGGACTGTTCTAAATTCTTTGGATTTTTCTGGTAGTTTGGGAAGTGTAGTTAAAAAAATCACATGCACTTGACTCAGGAGAAGTTGGTAGGTTTAGTATGTGTGTACGGTAGCCTTCTGAGTCTCGTTTTGATAGTAATAATCCTGGACTTTTGGCAAAGTGAATGGTCAGCCCTTCCTCAGAGACAGGTTTCAACAAATGAGGTTGGGGTTGTTTAAATGTAAGATAGAGCTATCCACCTGATAAATCACTATCCAATGGATAAGTATTAGGGAAACTATTGCAATATCCATTGGAGTTTAGTTATAAATTTGTCATACAGAAAAATGCTCCACAAATCCCAATCATAAAGCTTCTTGCCTCCTAGATTAGCCTGTTGCTGCTTTTTGCAGTTAGGGTTGTATGTGTAATTTTATGTATCTAAGTTTCTTTTTATTTTGTGACACAGAATTAAACAATTCAATTAAGTACAGTCAAACCTCATTACTACAGACACTTAGCCTCCCACACAGACGTTCTCAGGGGTTCGTCAGACGTTCCTGCCCCACGAACGTCTGCTGAATCGAGTGGTTAAATTCCTTTTCCTTTGTTTGTGTTCGCAAATATCAGTTGGAGCTCACGTACAGATTATCGGATAACCAATCGACACTGAAGTGAGAGTGTTGAAAAGCCAAACACATATGTACAAGCTTGGTAGGGGTGTGGTATGTGACCAAAGAGTTTTCATTTGGACAAAATTTTATGAGATAAGCATTTGCGTTTTGTATATTTCTCTTTGTAAAGGCTGGATTAGATGTCGTTTGCTCATAAAGGTTGTTCTGTGAGTGAGGCAACAGGGGAAGTTGTAACTGATCAAAAGGCAGAATTTTTTTTCGCAATTTATTGTTTTGTAGTAAAGCCGACTTCCGTTCAGCAAATTAAACCTCCAAGGTAATTCTTTCAATGAGATTGTTGAGGGCAGTTTCTAGTATGAAGGCGTCTGAGTTAACAAAATCTTGGTTGGACATAGCCAAAAAAGGTTGAACTTTATATCGGGTAAAAACAGAGAACACACCACACTAATGTAGAAGAAAACTTCATTCCCCAAGTCAGTGTGGTTACATGAATTTGAGAGTGCCCCAAGACAAAGTAGGATTTACGCAAGTAGTCTAAAGGCAGATTTTTATTCATCCTTTCTGTAAAATCATTTACGAGAAAAATATTCTCCGGACATAATTTCCGAACACAGGTGGGATTTCATTGAAAACCCCACAAATTTATTTTAAGTAATAGTTATTAAAATTAATTTCTCCCTCTAACATACAGTTTCAGATCCCAAAGTACCGCAAAATGCTCTTAGGGCCAGCTTTCTCTCAACATTTTCCACAACAGCAGAACAGGTAAGATCTAGACCATTGTTGTGCTCACAGTTACTATGGAAACTGTAACACTATGCAGTCATGCTGTGTCCGTAATGTCCATAGGTAAGAAAAGTAATAATTCTGAAGGCCAAATGCAGAATACTGTGTGATTCAGTTCGCAAACAAGGAGAGTCTATTACACTCCAGTCATTGCTTGTCATTTTATCAAAGTTATTTTTTCTAGTCAAAAGAAATTTTGAATAGAAATTTTGGGGTGTTTGTCATTTTCTACAGGAAGCTTGAACGACAGCACAACATTGCATGGAAAATTGGTAAAATGTCAGAGAGGCCCTTTAGAGCAAAGTTTCTCAACTATCTTTGTCACTGATTGCAGAACTACGTGTTAAATGCATCTATCATAAATAAGATAACAATAGTAAAGTGAACATGTGTGTTTGATGAAGGTCAAAGCTGTAAAGACAGTCCTGTTAACTGTTTGTGTATAATTGCAGACTTCTTTACAATTTCATTTCTCTGTTCCAGGCAAGCAAGCTGGGATTATCCAAAAACAAAAGCATTGTGTGTTTCTTTGCTTCTTATCAGGTAAGTTAAGCTTATAAGGGGCAAAATAAGAGCAACTTCATTTTTGTTATATGTAGAGAGATGGATTACTGGCTTTCAAAATGTAGTTGTTGTTTAGTTTCTATTAAAGAGATTAAGAGTCACATTTACAACAAACGGCAAACATCAGGTTCAAGTTGAGAATTTCTCAGAGGAGAAAATGAGCAGAGAAAAACTGTCCATAGCAATTCTTAAGGATAAACTGGTGTAAAACTACTTATTTTTGAGTAGGAGTAATAAGCAGTAACGGACAATAAGGAGAAAACTTGGTTACATGGTACAAATTCACGTCTGCCATTTGGCGTAAATGTGACTCTTAAACTCTCTTTTGCCCTGAATTGGGGTATAGCATTGTGTGATCGATGAGTTGGAAACAAAGGTAAATAAAACGTAAATCAAAGGTAAGATTAAACCTCAACTAAAAGGTGTACATTATTTCATTTTCACTTACTGTCTCTCCTGTATTATTTCTCTTTATGGAACTATTGTTGGTTTGTTTACAGGTGGTTCATTTTAGTTTTCCACCTCTTGTTGTCAGTATAATTGCAACCAGCCAGGCAAATACAGGTCAGCTCAACTTTGTTTTTTAATTAGAAATTTCATTCAAAGGTATGAACTTGGACAGAATAATATGGAAAAGAAAAACCCTTTTCCCTTTGAAAAAAGGGATGATGGTAGGCAAACACCATAATGTGTCATTTTGCCAACCTTGATTTAGTAATTGGGTGAGGCAAGGAGTGCTGGAGCCCGTTTCTCGAAAGTCCCGGTAACTTTACGGGCCCGAAATCAAATATTCAAATTGAAATATAAAGAATAAGAGCGCGGGTCCTGGCTAGCAAACTACTCCATTTAGTTTCATTAACTGACAGTTTTATCATGTTAGATGCAAAACTATTGAAACCTCGATCTTTAATGTAAACACAGAAAGCTTACCGGGCCCGTTAATTATCGGGACTTTCCAGAAACGGGCCCCTGCTCATAATGTGCTCTTTGTTGCAGTCAACTCAATACAGGTATACGTCTATTAAAGTATTGAAGAAAATAGGCCCTTTGCAGCTAAGCCATCACATGACCTACTTTTCATAAAATTATGGGCCATAACTTAGCAAATTTCAGAAATAGAAAAAACATGTCGAAAATATCAAAATGGCCAAGTTTGAGGTCCCCATCCTTCAAGAATGAGATTTTATGACAGTCTGAATTTTTTAAAAAATAAAAGATTTGTATGAAAAAAGTTGTCGGAGAGTAAGGCGTTGCTCTCCAGCAGCATTTTCGATACAAATCCTCTTAATTTTCTGAAAGTTCAAACTGCTGTATAAACATTACTCTGTAATCCCAGGGGCCCAAACTTGGCCATTTTGGTGTTTTCGATATGCTCTTTCCATCTTTGGCATTCTTTGAGTTATAGCCCATAATAGAGATTTTTTTAAGGAAAGATTTGATCACTTGACCCCAGCTGCAAAAGGCCTATTGCTGAAAAGTTGTGAGGACAACCTCTTGGGGTCCATTCAAGAGAGCTGTTTATAAAGTCAGTAGATTGCAAAAACTAGCGTGACAACAATAGAAGTAAGATTGAAAGCAGCCCCATCTTTAGATTTAGCACAGTGTTTTCCAGAATTTTCTATTTGACGAAATAGGAAAGGTCTTTATAAGAAGCTGGCCAGCAATGTAAAATCCTAAATTTCGCCACTACAAAAAGTTGCTGATGAGTATTATTTTAGGGGCTGTAGTGTGCAGTGTAATATTGTTATTGAAAATTGACAAAAGCTTGCAACCATAACTTTGTTGTTTTTGATGTTGTTGTTGTTTGTTTGTTTTAGGTCTCCTGCTGGGACTAGAAAGCGACTTTGAACAAACAATAAGAGCAGTAAAAAGTGTTGTGGATGGAGTATAGGACACAAATTGTAACAAATTAAAATTAGTTAATGATAGAATTTAGAAATGCAATTTATTACTTTTTACAACAAGCTTCTCAGGTCAAGATTTCTTTTGAGGTACGCTATTAACAATCTGAAAAAAAAATTGCTTCGGTCATTTAAGGAGCGTAAAGTCAAAGAAAGTTGGGCTAGACCACTTGGTATAACTTCCGACTTGTTCTTCTCGAAGACTGTATCTTTTGTATGAATTGAGAACAAAAGGTTTTTCAATAAAATCAGCTATTGAGATATCCCAATCTTCTCTCCCATGAATCTTTGGTGCTAACTCATCATCAGTTTTGAGATTCCTCTGTAAACTATTTCCGTATTGGCAACCGTTCGTTTCGATACAAATCGTTTGGATAAGAACTTAAGCAATGAAATTGCACACAAATTTCGATCACTTCAAGTAGAGTTTTCGCGTGAACAAGAAAACCATTTGGGTGAATCAGTATTCTTCGTTCTTTAAGCCAAATACGTGAAACTGTTGACAACTCAACTGAATAAAGTTGTATCTAAACAACTTTGAATCAAAACGACCGGTAACTTCCACTGCAAGCAATTGCAGTAAGATCAGGATGCAAACTTGGCAGCAAAGAGAAAAGTTTTGTGAGGTTGGGTGTGGCCTCCCATGTAGACGTTCGTAGGGCTTGAACCGTCACGCCTTTTTCCTTCTTCTACGTGTGGGGAATGAACTTGTGATGAAGCCCTAAGAACGTCTAGCTAGGGTAGCTGTGAAAATAACAGTCGATACTAAGCACACCCTCCAAAATTGATACACGGCACACCCGGCCTCCAAAACACCCTGCCATATCCCACACTCGATATCTGTGTGCCATTGCATTTCATTTATATTTGTGGGTTTTAAACCGTGAAAGACCATTGCTTAGCACGGCATCTCTTAACCCTGTTTTTCTGTATGTTATCACGTGACCAGCGTTTTCCAGGGTCTCTCTCTCTCTCGCTCCGTAGGGCGGGTAGGAGAGAGCCCTGGGAACGATGTTGTATCAGGAGGGCCATAACGGATCTTTTACAGCAAAGAGCCCAAAAGTGTGACCGCTTTTGATTTATTGACATTCTTTCGTACAGATTTAATCCAGTCAGAAGCCAACTGGAAACTGTCCTCGACTTCTGATTGGTTAATGCCTGCATGAAAGAATATGAGTTAACCAAAGGGGGTCACAGTTTTGGGCTCCTCGCTGTAATTGACCATGCCCAAACATGAGAAAAATACCAATGGAGTAAGTACAAGCTGTAAGCGGAAAGGTTTCTGGGATTGTTTGGGAGAACAGTACTAACAATGATGTTGCCTCACTTTCATTCAGTACGACAGAAGTTGATTTTTATTTCTTAGCTGCTTTTACAGAATCTCTTGAAAATCAAACCTTTAATTTCTTGCTTCATTATCCCGTCTCGTATTGAATATATGAAAGGGTTGATACAGGAGTTACAGAGGGTGAGGACCAGTCCTCCACGGACAATCCAGGGAGGAACCGAACTGGGGTTGATTAGCTTCCAAACTGTTGCCAGGGAGTAGAGAGCCCAGCACGCGGCAAATGATCCAACCAACAGTAGGACTGTCTTGAGGGCTTTGTTGTCTTCATCAGGTCCAGCATTACTTGCGTGTGTCTTAGTCATTGCGGCTTCTGCATTCTCTTCAGTCTCGTTTTTTGAGGGAATAAGGTTGTAGACATTCTTTCTTTTGGACGCTCTCGCTATGCGGTATATTCTGAAGTAAGTATAAACCATTGCTCCGACAGGTAAAGCAAAGGCAAAAATCGCCAGTGAAAGCATATAGCTTTTGTTGGCTAGCCCCTCCCCACCCCAGTTTGGGTTACAAGTGTGTGTAAACTCGTCCAACTTAGTGCTTCCCCAGTTAAATAGAGGACCAATAGCCCAGAATATTGAATGCACCCAGCTTGCAGCTATGATGAGTTTGTAGTGCCGTTTAGTTACTGTCATCTCGGCCATTGTCTCTAGTGGTTTCGAGAGTGCGTTGTAGCGGTCCACGCTAATGATGGTCAGCGTCACTATAGCAGAATTCACTGAAAAGCTTATGAGTACGGCATATATCTGGCATAAGGTGTCTCCTAATGGCCAGTGGTGTAGCACAAACGCGGCTATGACCAGGGGTATACACAAGACGCCTAAAGAACGGAAAGCCTTTTAGTACAGTGTCGATGAACGATGACCATTATTTATAAATTGCGCAGAACATGACATTAAAGCGCCGCTCCTGTGGACAGAAATGGAACCAAAACTGTTTTCCACTCTGATTCGTTACCAACTGCAGACAACGTATAAATGATTAAATATTACAATATATAATAAACCCACTGACTACAGGTAAAATTAAAGTAGTTGACTGTGACTAACAACTGTACTGTGATCAAGGCCGTGAATGGCCTCACTATTTCACTGACCACTTAAACAACTATCTAACTTACTTAAACTCGGCTGAGTAGATGACTTCTTAAAATGCCGTATGTTTCAAATCACCAATAATTCCAAACCCCGCTTTACGGAGTCCCGTTTAATATGGACACTTCTATATTATGGACAATTGGCTTTTTCCCTGGGGAAAGAAAGCCCTTGCATTTTCCCTACTCAACCCTCTTAATACGAACACCCCGTTAATATATACCAACACTTCCTTTGGCCCCCTCAATTTCAGTAATATAATAACGGGGTTTCAGTTGTGCTAACGGGTAATTCCCTTGAAAAGAAAATGCAATTTTTTTTCAAACTCTACTCATTTGAAAGCCATATATGGGACATTAAAATATTGCATTAAAAATATGGGGTCACCTTGCTTGTTTTCGTCCTGCGTGCCCGTTAGTCTACCTAGTTCCGCGTGAAATATTCGAAACTAAAACAACCGTCAAAAATTCTGCTTATAATATGGCAAAAACCAGGAGCTAATTAGGTTCCTAACTGTTCCTAAAACTATGAATCTTACTGCGAAAATTAGAGCTCGTTTGTTTGTCTTCGCTATACTTTTTCAGTAAAATGTGTAAATAAGTGGACAGTTTTAATCCTTGCACTGATGTATTGTATACTTCTCTGTGGTTCCAAACGCGGAGTTTCATGTCATTCATATCTAAGACAATTCAACTTCTTCAATTTATATTTCTTTCCCCTTAATTTAGATATATTTTTCATGTAGCCATTAGGGGTAAATAAAAGGTGGAAAGGGGTTACCTTACGCGTTCTCGGTTCATTGCAAACTGAAGACAACAAATTAAAGCGACAATTTTGGGTTTAAATAACCATTTTGCGCGAATGGACTGGGATCAGTTTCACGACCAGTACCTTTTTAGCCGGAAAGAGTTACCATAATCGCTATCAAAATCATTTTCACTTCAAAAGAGGCCTTTGCTACCTCTCTTCAGACGACCGGGAAAAATATCACCTCTTCTTTTGAAGTCACAATGTTATGGGCAGTAGCTATAGGTGATATGGTCTGTGCAAACTGACAAGGGAATCATACCTTAAACATATTGGAGTAACCACAAGAGTTTACACAGTTGGAGACACTTACCTAATATCAAGTCAGATGCTGCCAAACTAAGGTAATAGAAATAGGTTGGACTGTGAAGTTTCTCCTTCATAACCACAGCAACAAGAACCATCACGTTACCAAGAATTGTGCCACAGCACGAGATGAGCAAGATTGTTACTTCCACCGCCACCTCTAGAAAACTTTCCTCTCTGTATCTCGACTCCATCTATGACAACGGGCAAAACCAGGTAAAACTTAGATAAAAGGAAAAAAAATAATGATAGTGTACTGTGAGAAAAACTGAATGTAGATGTAGCAGATAGGGATCAGGGATAACAGAGCGAAAGAAAAACGCAAGTAATTTCACGCGCTCGATCTTCGGTTCTTTGCTCACCAACTGAGTTAAATCCGAAATCAATCCATGGCTTTAGAATCCGGGATTCAGCTCAAGGAATCCTGAATCCCAGTAAGTAACGATGGGAACACCGTGCAAACCAGAATCCAAGACTGTCTTGGATTACCTCTAAGGGGCGATCATGCTTAGATTTGGTCAGACTATTATTTGGTTACTTATTTGAGACACTTCTTTTGAACGACAAAGTAAAAGTGATTTTAGTTCTTTTTTGTTTAAATTAAAACTACGTGATTTACTTTACTTAATTAACTGATTTCAGTGTTCAACAAAGTCGGGTATAACTTTTGGTTTGCGTCAACTAACCTTTTTTTGTTGTTATTTCGCCTTGAAAACGCTGTAATTGCTAATCATATTGAGTTTTTAACATCCAGACTTCTATCAAAATTGAAAGCGCTGGTCTACGATGTGGAAGCTGAAACCTCAAATCGTTTAGTTAATTCTCTCAGTTTATTTCATTTGAGTGCAATTCAGTTGTGAAGTAAATACAATCCTAACTAATTGATTTTTCCTTGCAAGTAAACAGCTCTTGAGTCAACGCATTGAAAAGGCGGGACTTTTCATTATTGTTACTTATACTTATACAAGAAGCTTTCAATCTACGACCTTACCAATGTCAATTTGTGTCAACATTCTCTGCACTTTTTTTATCTCTCGCCGACTATCTTGTTTTGACTGGACATTTTCTGGATCTATGTACGTGAATTTTGGAGTTGAAGCCGATTTTCTTATTACGCTATAGAGCCGAGGGAAAACTTCTAATGTCATGATAATTCTTGTACGCAATTGGATTTTTACCCTAGAAAGCGCTTTCTTGGCTTCCTGCAATTTCAACCATTACATATTACACAAAACTACAGAAGAAAATCAAACGCGCTGTAATTTGTTCTATCAACGATGTCTACAACAGCTTCATCAAATTCTAGGATCTAGTATGTTATATCTCCGGCGATGTGCCGTTGGTTCGAGTTGCTGGAACGGAGGTGTATATTGCAAGAGTTCGCGGCTCCTGCCCAAGTTAACTGAACCACATTTGAATTGAAACAATGAAGGGCAACATCTACAACCTGACCTTGGGCTGTAAGTGTGGGTAGACTATACATCTATCTGCGAGGAAAATCTTTACCTGAAACGTACGCCCCCCAAAGTGATCTTCAATAGGTGGGTACATTTAACGCAAACTCAAGATAACGAACTGATTACGGACAAGAGCCTGGTAAAATCCCCGCGCTAACCGTTCAGATGTGTTGAAAGTCCAGGGACGCATGAAATCAGTGATCCTCGATCTGCCGCAGTCATTGTGAAGTACTGTACCCTCGTATGAAATGTAACCTGAAACAGTAGAATTTCGAATTAAAAAATGTAACCATTTGCAGCTGCATGTTAAAAAGAAATATTTTCACACTTTCAAATCACGGTGATCACGGTGGTGTAAATTTCTGGCCATGGATTTTTATAACGTGAATGTTATGTCATAGCAACCGATGTATATGCGTTATTGGCCCAGCGTGAGGTCAAAATGGTTGGATATAATGGCCAAGTTTTTTGTGTGTTTTTGTGAACCTAGACGAAGTCGAGGCCAAAAAAAACGTAAAGACGAGGCCCGATATTCAGCCAAATTGGCGGAACAAGCTTGGTCAATGAAGGATTTATTTTATGGTCAAAACGAAATCAGGACAAAGCGGACAATCTCGAGAGGGAGAAAGAGGCCCATTTTGCTCGCTCGGTAGCCAATCAGAACGCAACATTAACTTCAATCAACCTCGTCCCCAGGGCTTTCCCTAAAAAAATGATAGGGGCGCCCCTCTCATTTTTTTGTTAGGGAAAAGCCTTGGGGACGAGGTTGAACTTCATTATACTTGCTCGTGGGACCTGCCATAAATTAATCAGAGAGTTGAAATCGAATCTCTATTGTGGACAGTTCTTTTGGTCCTAAAGATGCTAAACCCCATACAATCTTTATCTTTATAAAAGCGGACACCTCTGAAGTGCGCACACTGACTCTTTCCGAATTAATCGAGAATTAAGGAGACTTGATTGAATTAAGAATCCTATGAAGTCTCTGTTGCCATGACGCTGCGTTTGTTCTTGAGTTCCACTAAGATCCCTTTTTTTTTCACAATGAGAAGGCATGAGCCACAAACCATATGGCGTCTTCAGAAGCTATCTATCTAAGAAAGAATGAGCGGGCACTGGGCACAGGATTATAAAGCCGGGTGCGGAGGCCTGGGGCCCGTTTCTCGAAGTCCCGATAATTAACGGGCCCGTAAAGCTGTTGTTTTTTACAGGCAAGATAGAGGTTTCAATAGTTTTGCATCTAACATGAAAAAACTATCAGTTAATGAAACAAAATGGAGTATTTTGCTAGCCAGGACTCGCGCTTTAATTCTTTTTATTTCGATTTGATTTCGGACCCGAAAAGTTATCGAGACTTTGGAGAAACGGGCCCCTGGCTCCTAGCTCCTCGCTTCGCCGCCACTGGCGCGTTATCTCTCGCGATGGACGTCCCGAAGAAGAAGAGAAGGCTTCTCAAAGATCATTTTTCTCTGAGACACCATGCATATAATTTCACGAAATTCTAGAAAGCTGGGAGTCACTTGGGAAAACTGTCGCGTAAATTTTACTAATCAGGAAAAAATTCAGGTAAATCTGTCACTCATAAAGCTGGAAACGACCTAGACATGCACCACAAATTATAATTGTAAGACTTGCTATTTCGTACACAAGCAGGCCGAAAGGGCGATTAGATATTTCTGTTTTTAAATGTTCAGTTATAGATGATTTGTGTACGAGGCACCATTAAGCACAATGAACTAAAACAGACATAGGGTTACCTTAATTAAACGTCTGCTTTCAGATGAATCCGGCTTGTGAAAACCGAGAACCTTGCAAGTAGTTTAAATTTTCTCTCGATGGTACTGATTAGTTTTTTTTTTTCACATCAGAAAGGCAAAAAAGGTGAATAGATAACCAATATTGAAGGTGATCAGTGCCAGTCTGAGGCCAAGAAAACAGGAACATCTGTTTAACTTTTGATTTTGCGCATAAAATAATTTAATAACCTTGTATCTCTTGAAGGGCATTCTTGCGATTTAACTTCGCGGCCATGACAACCGATTTATTGACAATATAATTCTGTTGCTACTCCAAAAACACTAAATTGAAATCGTATTTGCGCTATAATGAGTTTTATGTTACATTTTTTGGCCTAAGGAAACCGACTCCTCGAGTGGCACACAACATAACTTCAACAAACATGAATACGTAATAAGAACAAAGTTGACGTGGCGCGTCAAACGACTTCAACATTTCGAGAAAAAAAAAAGAAATGTTGAAACACTTTTGCCCATTTTTTTTAACGGACGAGCGTAGACTGTTCTGGAGAGAGGGCACCGTTCGTCTGGGACTTCAATGACTAATACGACATATTTAGTAGGAATCAAACAAGAGATTTAATTCTGATTCATTATCTTATGTATAAATATTGACAGCATGTTTTCTTCTTTACATACACTTTCTTCCTTTTATTAAGTCCAACAAAATAAAAAACAAACAACAACGGCGTACTCATGCGTGGATTAGAGAGCGCTCTCAGGGACGAGCCCAGCCTTTATCCCATTCAATTCTCAGGAAGATCTCTCTTCTAGAGCTTAAGGCTATGTTCACATTATACAGGATAGCTTTTGCGCCTCCACGAAAATCATACCAGATAAGACTTCCGTTCACACACAAATTTTAAAGTGGTTTTGGCGGCGCGATTTCTGTGGCGGAGAGAAAAAGCTGTCGCGCTGATCTCTAAAGTGGAGAGTCACATATCCGATAGGTGTTCATACCGTACCGGATGGCTTTTCGAGTCGGCACGAAAAACTATCTGGTAGAGTGTGAACGTAGCCTTAATTTTTGGTCAACGACGCTTTCAGATTTCTTTAACAAGTAAATAAATATTACATATAAAACTGGTCAGTCTCCCGGTCCTCTCTTTCTGAATCCCTCCTACTGCTTATGATATTATACTATTATACCTTGAGAAAAGAGCCCACCTTTGTAATGAGTAGTGGCGCCGGGAAACTTCGGCGTTCATCTCAGGCTAACATTATTTTGGCTCCAAAAGTTACATTCGCTGTTGTTAATATCAACAGCATATGATTTTCTGTTAAGCATACTCCCTGACTTTCATTCTGGTCAGCAAAGATTACAAAAACAAAAGAAAAAACAAGAACAAAACAAACGACATATGCGAGAGATGCTATATGTAATTCTAATAATGACTCGCTAATTATAAGGGATAGCTTCTTAACACCACAGTATAACTTGACTTTAAAATCTAATGTTGTAAAACAGAGACACCAGTTGCAAGAGGTTTGGTGTATAAAGTAAAGGGCTATCGATCAGCTGTTAAATCATCCTGGGAGAAAAACAACAAAACGGAAACATGGAATATATCTAATAGGATAGTGAGAGCATTTTGCTTGAAATATTCTGAACTTTTTGTCTCGATGCATTAGCATAGCGTACTTAAGTCATACAAATTAACCCTGAGTATGTAAGTTTGTCTCAAACGGTCTTGAATAGCTCAAAATATCGCTGTGCAGGAAAATACAAAGCACAATAATAATAGGCTGAAACCGGAATGGTAGCTGCCAAAGAGATTTGATTCTCATTTTCACATTTTGTGACTCTTAATAAACGCTAGTCTTCACTAAAATTAATCAGTGTTAATGACGTTGAACTTTTGTCAACATTGGCGGCTTCTTTTCTTCTAATTTTATCAATTGACTCTTATTCCGTCTGACAATAAATGAGCAAACATATAAACTACACCTCATGTTACATAGTTAGAGCTTCTTCACTCAGAGCCACTAATGTTAGCTAAGCCTGCGCAGCAAGTGTAGTGAACTAAGGAAGACGTTTGCCGGAAAAATCTGGTTTTAATCACCAAATCTCATTCTATGCAACATGGCGGTAAAACTACAACCACGAGGATTGCAGGCTCTTATATTTAGTCTCACTACAAAGTTACACTAGTAAGATTTTTTTCCGCTTGTAGCAAAACTGGTGAGAGTTTGAATGTTCCAAGTTCATTTCCCTTTGTTTGGGAGACATGGATAATTCTAACTCGCAATCGTTTGCTAGTGGATATTTTTCTTACTCGCAGATTATCAAAATCACTCGCATTTTGCGAGTTTGCGAGCGTTAATTTCGAGCCCTGACTTCGCCAAATTGTTGTACAAACTAGCGTTAAAATAAACAGTATGCTTTCATCTCTTCAAGCACAAAACAAACAAACAAACAACGACACATTATAGAAGATAGTTATAGATCCTATAGCTACTCACTGATGTTACAGACACCACATTGTCCTACTAACAGCATGACATGTGAATAAATTGACTTTCATTTCTTTAAGCACAAAATAAGCAAACAAACTACAACATATCTTTGAGAAAGTTTATGAAGCTCATTTAGTCACTGTCAAACTTAATGGAGTTAACGCCAGTGTTTATTTGTCCTCCTCTGTAACTACCTCTCTTCTTCTTCGTCTTTTCGTGTCGAAATGACTTGCCTGCAATGGTTACAGATTACAATAATATTACTTACACAGAAAGTAAATTAGTAAAGACGGGGCAGCATACGCCAATTCCACATTTCCCATAATGCACCTTATTTCCCCCACCCCCCCGCCCCCCAAATTTTGCATAACCTTTGATTTTCATTTCTCCTGGGTATACAGCAGTCCCAAGAGAATTGAAAACAATGCTTATGCAAAATTTTTTGGGGGAAATAAGGTGCATTATGGGAATTGTGGAAGTGGCATATAAATTGTTAGCACCCTGGTGCTAAATTCTGGTTATTGACTTGATTGGTCAATCATTAAGTCTCGATGATATTGGTAGTCTCTTAGTTAAGCCGTGATATTATAGGCTATGATGACTTTAAATGCGTGTGATTGGTGAGTTTCGATCCGTCTTTCGTCAAAGTTTAATGGTTGTTTATTGCTAATCAAACGATACTATCACAAGATAACGAGATACATTTCACCGAAGATGAATACTAGGCATGTTGTCGAAACATCCGTCATTTTCAACACAAGTCCTATTCAGCACTACACTCCCCCGGATGATCATATTTCACTCCTGGGCTCAACCCTTTTACTGGGCTACTATACAAGGTAAAAAGGTAAAAGCGCACACGAGCCAAAGACCCAGACGGCCAGAGCTTATCCCAGTTTCCTTAGATGGAGCATACCTGGGAGTATTGCTACTCCCTCCTGGGTGGTATGCTAGTCCATTGCAGGGTTACCCCCAGCAGTTTGTCACCGGTACCCATTTATACCCCTGGGTGAAGAGAGACAAACTGGAGTAAAGTTTCTTGTCTAAGGAAACAACGCGACGGGCGAGGCTCGAACCCCGGACCTGCAGATCTGGAGTTCGAGGTATTAACCGCTCGCCCACACATGCCTCCACTGTTACAATATACACTGTAAACTACTGGGTTCAGGGGCGGATCCAGGATTTTTCTTAGGAGGGGGTGCACCACTAACTGACCGATGATGTAAAAAATTTTAAAAGCGAATACGAAGAAGAGGGCTTTTGACTAGGAAATAACATAATGTGAACTGCTGAGAATACATATCAAACGATAGAGCAGATTTTGTAGGTCTGTGACAATATACACTGTAAACTGCTGGGTTACCATTCCACACTAGTGTGTAATCCATGTACATGAACATGGAGAGAATACCTCCTTAAGCATCATCACATGATCTACATAAATTAGGGCAACAAAAAATAACATACAAACATCTAGGTTCTCACCTTTAACAAATTTAAGGTCTTTGTTTGCTTTTTCTCCCCAGTCTCCTCTCGAGCCCATCTAGAAAAAAACAAACAAGTAATAAAAAGGATAGTTACAATGTGACAGGTATGTGCTTCGTGATTTTCATATTACTTCTTTATAAACTCCTACTCGGGGCTTAATTTTTTCTGTTCCCTTGTAAATGGCTAAGAGAAAAAAGTGAGAGAGAGAGAGAGAGAGAGAGAGAGAAAAAAACACTGGCCGAATAAAAACCTTGTAACAAACGCTACTTAAATAAGCTTCTCCAATTCACTGTACAACACATGAACGATGTAGCAAACTACTGCACATGTGGCTACAGATTAACCACTGTCAGTTAACTCCTTTAATTGTATTTTCCATGCCTTTATCAACCTATAAATTTTCTACCAAACTCTTCTGGGGCTATCTTGATTTCTAATGGCTAGATAACATTGCTGGCCGGCAAGCAAAATCACAAGAGACAGAGGGTCAAGAGCAAGTGCTCGGTGAGGGGAGGGTTGAGGGCACAGTGGAGTTATGTTTGACCTTGAAATAAAATTACAGCAGTCTATCCTGTTTGTTGTTGACGTGACCGATTCACACTGCACAGTTATGTTGAATCAGGGTCAAACATATTCCTTTTTTGCCCTGTGTAAGGTGTCCTTTCTTTCCTCACCTTATTCTCTTGTGGGTCAATTGTGCACTACCTTATTACTGTAGTAATTTCCAGATGAATAGCTTTACACCAAATACCCTGTTCCTACTCAATCGCAACAGCGTGATAGAGCAGGGCTTAAAAATGTCCCATCCAGTAGTAAGGGATGAGTGGATTTTCTTGCTGGATGAGTAATGTTTAACATTCACTCCTCCAATAGGCAAGGGTCCAAGCAGAAAAACCTCTCACTAAATCATTAACCCTTGAAACCCTAAGATCAAAATTTGAATTCTCATTTGTTGACCCTATTCATTTCCTACAGAAGTAGTGGGGAGAAGTTGATAAAATATCAAGAAAGTCTTGTGTAACCATGTCCATAATTCTCATGACCACTCTGTTTTACAAAGCATTGATATTACAAAGAGAAATTTGACACTGGTCATGCCCACTCTTAGGGCTTAAAGGGTTAACTAAGTCGAGCAAGAAGCGGCCTTTGGCAGGCTGAGTGTGAGAGCTGCTTTCCCAAAGGGCGTGTTGAATTCAAGTTTTTTTTTTGAGCTCTCAGAGGGGATATTTAAAGACCAAAAGGAAAAGTTCTTACCTTAGCTTCAAAACTGTTGTCTTGTAGCCTTGGATCAACTGTAATCTCATCTTCTTTTACTCTTTTAAATGGAGTCTTTTCCTAGGAGGATGAAAGTAATATACCATACATTCAACAGGAGGGAAGGAAAATGTTTGATTTTTAGTTTGTACTGGCTGGTCTAGCTAAAATTAAAAGTTAATCGTGTACATCCCCAACTTTCAAGCATGATTTTGAAAAAAAAAAAAAAAAAAAAAAATACAACGTTTGTTAATCAAAATGTTCACAAAAAACTTGAGGAAAAAATAATTTTGCTGAAAAACAAAATTCCTTTAATCAATTTCCCAAGAAAGAGTTCTCTTCATGAATGGAAAATGGAGCGATGGAACGAAAATAAAGAAAATACAGTTAGTAACCACGCGTTTATTTGTTTATGGCTGGATTCAGAGAAGGAAAATCCGAAAATCAGACTGTGTTCTGAAATAGGAATGGATGGAATGAATACTGGAAATTCCAAATTTGTAACATCCACTGAAAGCAATGAAATCAGGTTTCAAATGTTTAATCTTTGTTTGCTGAAGGTTTTCAGTTCAATGAAGCATTTTAGTGGTCCAATAACTCAAAACTGGAGGGATTTATTACAACTTAAAACAACTTTAATCACAAAACAAAATAATGTGTATTCCATTAACCATGAATTAATCAAAGGGCATCCAGCAAGGAATGGATGGAATGAACAAAGGACTCTGAAGCATTCTAGTGGTCCAATAAGCAAACTGGAGGGGATTTATTACAAAATTTCTGGACTGTTCAAATGTCAATTGAATGACTCAAGACCTCTGGACTGTTCATGTCCATTGGTCAGCCAAACCACTACAAACTACACCTACCACCTCTATTGGCTAACGCTAAGCCTAAGTTTACACGGCACCAGACAAATTTTCTACTGGTTGAAAATTTGTGTGTTTAGGTGTTCTGTAAACAAAGAACCACCTTAACTGTATGAAACTTTAGATGCCTAGATGTTTAAACTTCCTCGTAAACAGAGTGAAAATATTGAACGGTCCTCAGTGAATGAAGTGTGTGGTCTAATTTTTCAGCCAATCAAAAGTTTGTCTTGTGCTGGGTGAAAGTAGCCTTACAATAGCCTGAGTTTATTTCTCAGAGTCAGGTGACTATTAATCAGTGCCAGATCCAGGAAAGGGGCCCGGGGGGACAAGCCAGCCCCCCCCCTATTTTACCCAAACTGAGGCCAAAAGGGCCAAAAGATTTTTTTTCGCAGTCTACCCCCCCTCCCCACCCCCCTTATCTCAAGGTCTGGATCTGGCACTGTTATTGGCAGACTAACAAAACATTTTACTGTTAAGCATCTTTTGCCAAGGTGCTTACCTGCTTAACTTTTCCATTCTTTTGATTTATGGCAGGTGTAGATGTTGCTGAAAGGTTAAGAACAAGGTGGTTATAATATTACATGTTATTGTACAATGTACAGTGTATTTGAAAAAACTAAGCAACTTAAAATTTGCTCTTTTTAAGAATATTTTCTTGTAATCAATTTCAGTTGTTTATAAACAATAAATTATTTATTCTTTTACATACATGTTATTTTTAACATAATGCTGCATGATGAAAAGAACTATTTATAAACAGACAGGAGTTTTCAGTGGTCAGTTTACAGTGTAAGACGTCTATCAGCTACTATGAGTTAAATTATCAGGAGTCAACAGTATGTCAAAAATGACAAAACCTCCTGAACAAAGCAATGAATACTGGTAGTCTGGACACACTGTACCATGAAGTCCATAGGCCAGTTCCCTGAGCCTTGTCAATAAACCATAACATCAGACATACATCCAACTGCTTACATCTGACATTCAGCTCAGTCAAACCTTGTTTTAAAACCAGACATCAGCAGCAACTAGGCAATTTTCCCAGAGTAAAATTAATCTATTGCAATAGTTACATTACTTATTGAAAACAGAAACAGTCTTGACCCTATAAATACTAAAGTCGTCCTCAAAATTCATCTATTCTACATTACACCAATGTAGCTAATTAGCAGTACCTTGGAGTGTCGTAATTTTGGAAACATCAGATGAATTCACTTTCCCTTTTCTTTTCTTCTTCTTGGATTTTGATTCATTTTCATTCTCATCATCACTTGATTCCTCATCAGATGAAGATTTTGAAGAAAACTTTTTAGCGTTAGGTTTTGATGAGTTATCATCTTCCTCAGAGTCTGAACTGTCAGTTGATGATTCAGCCTTTTGAGCTTTATTTACTTTTGACTCTTTAACTTTCTTCGATGGTTCCTCCTCTTCCTCAGAGCTTGATTCCGATGAAGATTTCTTGGGTTGAGGTTTTGGCATTTTTTTCTCATCTTCTTCAGAACTGGAGCTTTCTTCAGATGATTCAGGTTTTTTACTTTTTGAAGTGTCTGATTTTTTAACATTTTTAGGTGGTTCCTCCTCTTCAGAACTTGACTCTGATGATGATTTTTTAGGTTGGGGTATTGGCATTTTTTTCTCCTCGTCTTCAGAACTTGAGCTATCATCAGATGATTCATCATTTTTAGTTTTATTTGTCTTTGATCTTTTAACCATTTTTGTTTGTTCTTTTTTCTCAGAGCTTGATCCAGATGATTTTTTAGTTTGAGCTTTAGGTTTCTTCTTCTTATCACTATTTTCATCATCATCAGAACTTGAACTGTCATCAGATGATTCAGCTTTTTTAGTTTTATTTGTCTCTGGTGTTTTGACCTGCTTTGTTTGTTCCTCTTCCTCAGAGCTTGAATCTGATGATGACTTTTTAGTTTTAGCATTAGGTTTCTTTGTCTCCTCCTCATCAGCATTTTCTTCATCAGAGCTTGAACTCTCATCAGATGATTTAGCTTTTTCAGCTTTATTTGCCTCTGGTTTTTTGACCTTTATTCTTTGCTCTTCTTCCTCAGAGCTTGATTCTGATGATGACTTTTTAGTTTGAGCTTTAGGTTTCTTCATCTTCTTATCTTCATCATCTGAACTTGAACATTCATCAGATGATTCAGCTATTTGATTCTTAACTGTTTCTGATTTTTTAACATTTTTTGCTGGTTCCTCCTCATCAGAACGTGACGCAGATGATACTTTCTTCGCCTTAGATTTTGGTGGTTTTTTCTTCTCATCGTCAGAGCTTGAACTTTCATCCTTCGAATTTTTCTCATTTTTTGATTCCACCACTCTCTTTGCGGGTTTTTCCTCATCAGAGCTGGAATCAGACGATGATTTCTCACCATTAGGCACTGATATTTTTGCTTCCTCGTCCTCAGACATCGAACTATCACCTGAATCTTGTTCTTTTTCGTTTTCCACCGTTTTTAATTTTGCAGTTTTCCTCTCAAGTCCCTCTATGACAGACCTGGACTCTGATGAAGACTTTTTTGCCTTTCCTTTTTGTAACATTTGTTCATCCTCTGAACTTGAGCTGTCATCTGATGAATCAACCTTTTTCTTCTGTTGTACTCCATTCACTTTTGGTTTTACTTTGTTTTTTACTGTTTTCTGTTCTTCCTCTGATTCATCAGAGCTGGATGACTCTGTTTAACAGAATACAAAGACAACATCCATTTTACCAAAGGCACAACAAAGGAGGAGACAACCAGAGGATTGCTAAAGCATATGAAAACTAAAAAAAAGTTACAAAACTTATCAAAATTTTAGGTGAATCTTTGCTGAAGTCACTATTTACATTTTTTTCATCACCTTACAGATTTCTTAGAAAAGGCAATCTGCTACATTAAAATTAACTTCAATTTTGAAAGAGCTGGTTAAACTTGGTAGCCTTCACAGTAAGTTACAGCTCTTCTTATCAGTCATCCAAACGCAAAATTTCTGGTGAGGGGCATGCCTTTTTTACATAGTTTTTACAGTGCAATATTGTATGTACCACAAAGAGTATCTGGTATACTTCAACAATCAGATATTACTGAATTTGTACTGTATGTAACTCATTTAGGACATGAGAAACCTATGTTCGTAACAAAAAAAAATGTAAACAATGATTCAGCTACGGTTCTAGGGCAGCATAATTTTACTTAATACATACATAATTTTTTTTACATTGATAACAGGTTTGTTTGGAAAAACACAAGGGCAGAATGAGACACCAATACTGGGATATTTCATCTACAAATTAAGAAGGAAAGATGGATTGCAAAATAACACATAATGGTACATTCAGGTCAAAAACAAACTTCAATTCACATTAGTTAGGAAAAAAAAACCAAACAAAATCAGTCAGTGTAAGTACTCAATATTGCCACCATCACAGAAGAAAAACAATATCTTACCTGAATCTGATGACTGTTGCTTCCTCCGTTTTGCTAGTGGTTCCTTGCTACCATCATTCAACTTCCTTTTACCAAGTCTTTGTCTAGAGCTAATAACAAGCACACCAAACAGCTTTTACTTACAAAGAGGTATGTCATGTTTTATGCAAACTCAAAAAACTGATCTTTTCCTTCTTAAATTATTCTTAATTTTGTTTATAGTTCATCATCATTAATATTATTTTTAGTCTTTTTCTATTATTTTTATAAGCTACATGTACAGTGTACACTCTACCATATTTTTGAAGTTGAGCTCTTCCTTAACCCTTTAAGCCCCAGTAACGACAAACAAATTCTCCAAACTGATCTCCATACATTTCCTTAAAGAATAAGTTGTTCAAAAGAATTTGATAAAAGATCAAGGCATTTTTACTTGGGTGATCATTTTATTAATTCTCAGAACTTATCTGTTGACAGTGTATGGATATTGTTAGGAGAAAATTGATCTTGGTCACTATTGGCACTGAAAGGGTTAAGATAACTTTGCATGTTGCAAAGGAAAGAAGAAATAGTTAAAGTAATGGTATCGGTGCACATGACACAAGGAGGCCCACACTGTTAGATTGCTACAAAGTTCCAAACCACCCCACCTGCCCTATGTCCCAATGGGATACTATTCCTTTACAGGGATATGCCTCTAATTATTTAGCACCAGAACCCACTGATTCCCTTGGATGAGTAGACAAATGGTGATAACAAACTTGCAATATTATTACATGTACATGTATGTGTAATACACATTTGTATATTAACAAAACTTGGGGTAAGTAATTAAATAAATATTACCGCGAAACTCATAAAACTGTAAACACTGGAAAGATTTATGGAATGTTATTGTGTTTGGAGGAAAAAACCTATAAGGCACCAATAAGTCTCCTTTTTGCAAATTTAAATTTCCTTAAATTTAGTAAATATTATTTCATTGTAGTGCTTTAGTACGACTAATTATTGTTCTGCCTAGACTAGCTAACGCTACCAGTGGACCACTTTCTTGTGTTATATTTGTAAATATTTTTCTAACAGTTGAGTTTTTTGAGTTTTGAAAACTGCCTGATTGCAAGGCATGAACCCAGACAACTAAGACATCACACATCCACTCTCATAATCAAGACTTACCTTAAGAAGGCATTATACCACTGAACAATATCACAGTCATCCTGTTGGTGCACTTCCTGTTAAAATAAAACCGCAACAGAGAGTTTTAGTATGCCATACATTACAGTACAATGAAAGGACACCTGACATAAACAGAATGATAAATGGACAAGGATATTTGAAACAAGAAGCTTACACAGGATTAAGTTATCTAAAAAAGACCAGTTACTCTTTAATAATGTTGTATCATTGCCCCAAGCTGTGACTGTTTTGGTTGTCATGGTGAGTAGGAAAAAAATAATAATTGTTGGCTAACACTATAGCAGGGATGTCAACTCTTTTGAATAATCTGGGAGACTCCAAATTTTTAGAACTGTTTCTCCCGGTCTCCAGATTAGAGTCTGAAATCTCCCGGATAATCGCCAAAGTTAGCCATTTCTTGTAGATTCGACTTCCTGACAATAGGATTTCAAATATTTTGCGTTGTTTGAGTTATTTTACTGTTAACATTGAACCTTTCCTCACAAACTCGGGTATGCCATTGCAATATAAGCAATAATGTGATTTGATGGGAAGTAAACCAGGCAGGTCAAACGTTACAATTCCAACAACATCCTTTTCGCGTGTTTTTTTTTTCACAAATGATGTAATGTGCCGTGCATTACGACATCATCTATCATCCATTCCCCATCAATTCTTGATATTTGAAGACATGGGGGGCTGACAGCCTTGACTGTAGTGAAACGCACCCATTAGACAACCTGTGTTTAATGGTCATGTGCCAAGCCATAGTAACTCAGTATTAGTTAACACACTTTGCTTTCTAAATAATTTGCCTCGTTCACCCTATATAGCTTGCATCATAAATGTAATTTCATACTTCAGTTAGTAACGTCTGTGAAGCAGTGCCAAGATCGGTGCTCTGGGTCCCAAATGGACTCAAGAGCGTTTCAAATTTCCTTCAACCTGATTGGCTAATCAACAATGACTTCTTTGAAAGGCCAGTCATGATGTGTACTCTAATCCTGGTACACAGGTGGGGGCCGAGAACAAGGATATCGCTACTATTTCAGAGACGTTACTAACTGGGGTTTAATTGTGTCTGCAAGGCAGGCTACGTTCAACCCAGCTGGTTATCTTGGTATTAGGCTTGACATCTTGGGAACACCTCCCAATTAGATAACAAAAGTGGGACAGTCACATTCAGTTAACATCGAACAAAGTGTCCTGTTTACTTTGTTTTTTTCTGGCAATAAAAAGTTATATTGCTTGCAGTACTGTGTATTGATTTTAAAAGAAACAGTGATGGGACTTTTGTAGGCACTTTTGTTTTACACCATATGTCAAGTATGCAACCTTAATAAAAAAAGCAACAATAACTTACTAAAATCATAACTACTTAACGAAATAAAAAAGAAATTAAAATGGGCATGATTTAGTAAAGTTAAACATGAGGTGATGTGGTCTGAAGATTTCCCCACAATTAATCCAACTGTTACTGAAATCATTTCAACAAAACGGATCAGCACCCTCAAAAAATTGAAAATATTTCCAAACAGCCCCCAAACATATTAACAATCAACTTTTAATCTAATACAGTTCCTCAAAATCAGACAGCGAACATAAAGAACGTTCGAGTACGGAAACATCCTAGAAACACCTTGAACGGACCTAAAAAAAAATTTATTGCATACTACTTCAAAATTCGAATTTTATCCCCATTCATGCCTCGTGGCAGTTGGATAACCAAAACATCAACCCCATAACACTTAACTTACCACAGTTGTTTCTTTCTTGAACGACTTAGCAGTTTTTACCAGCTTATTTTGAAGCAAAAATGAGTAAATATGCGAGTATACATCACTTGGTACACCCGCCATCTTGCCCTCATAGAGCACGTGGTATTGCTGCTCTTTTGGTAACACCGCTGGAAACCTATTCTTCACGCACAGGTATCCCAAGCTCGAAATACGCGCTTTGTTGCGTATCAAGAGCCATTACATTATGGCTCTTGTGCGTATATAAACTTTGAAACACTGGGATCTGTACAGGGGGAAACGATTGCTCATGTAACGTACTACGCATATGACGACATTTATTGAAAGAAACGGCTTCTTTCTTTTTTCATGTTATGGGTTTCAGTGACCGGTTTGCACCGGCGTGGTTATTATGGGACGCTTCTAAACAAATTTAATTACAAACTATAATATTTCCTCGCGTTTTGTGTTCGCATAACGGTAGGCTTGGCCCGGGGAAATCAGGAAGGGTGGGGGTGAAGAGAGCTCTACCGTGTCAAAATCAAAGTGCGAGTTAGTGAATACTGTACTGAATGCCGTAAACACTAACCAGGAGCCCATCAAATTGAAGGGCTCCTGTCACTAACTTGTTTTGTTTCTTGTCTCATCTTCCCCGGTATTAACACAGCAGCTTTCATTGAATTCTAAATGTACCAATCTAACCGGCTTACCTCAGGAAAATTGACTCTGTTTAAAAAAAACTTTCAAATAAGTTTATTTCGGAGGTTATCAGTTATCTGTAACAATCTAAGCTATAACAGACTGGTGATCTTGATGATTCATAATGACTATACTGATGTAAATTATTAATCATTTTAAATTATACATAAGTGATGTTTTTCCAAAACGAAAACTACTAGAGCTTCCTTCCTCCTTAATTAATCCGTCCAATGTTTTTTCTTTTCTTTTCTGTTTTTTTTTTTTTCGGTTGGTGCCACTAGGTGATTTGAATACGAATAATAACATAAAAATTAAAATCAGCAATGTTTCTAATTTTCAGCAATGCTATTTCACGATCGATAAATTGATGTTATTGTTAAATATTGGTGGTCATTATTGCACGCTTAGACCAATAATTAATGGATTTCAAGTGATACTTTATTGTTATAACAACCTATTAAATGATTGCGGTTTGTGGCAAATTTAGTAATGATGCTACTGAAACCCTCTGTAGGTTTCATTCGTAACCCAGGTTATGAGTGTCCGTGATCAACAGCTTTTTATAGTTGAAAACTGCTCAACCGTTCTATTCTGTTTTGGCTTTTTGTGCACCAAGGCACCATATTTTCGTTGACTTAAATTATTTTTCGAACCGCGGTTCCTTTTTGCCTTAGTAAGGGAAATGATCATTCGTAGGAATTTCTTCGGAACATTGTTGGCATTGTTGTTATATATGCAGCGTCTTCAAGGTAAAGAAAAAGTATTTTTATTTTCACAATTTTTTTTGTCAATGTATGCATTTTTTAAGTTCCGACGATTGAGCAGAATGGTGCACATTACACTAATAATCCTATCTGATGGACCCTACAAATTTTTCTCCCTTTAATACTGACCCTTTGAATAACCTGCATGTTTCGTAAGACAGATCACAGCGAACAGGAGCAAGAGTGCTTCATCTGCTCACCTTGTAATATTAAAAAGGGCGATATTCTTTCCGTCTGTAATTAGTTTTTTATTAGCCTGAGTATCAGGCGTTTCTGTGGAAAAGGGGAAAGATGGAAGCGAAAAAGGGAGAGCTAGTTTTTTATTGTTTTAATAACTTCTTTTAACGTTACTTTTTAGCCCAAGAACCCAATAAAATACCAAGATTTGTGCAAAATCAGTTTATCGCGTCATTTAAAGAAGAACAACCAATAGGTAAGAGTTTTGTGACGTATATATTTTTCGTCTGGAAACTTTTCTTAAGCAATCAGCAGAGTCGGTAACTGAGATTTTTCAGACCACAGAAAACAGGCATCATTTTCGAGGTACAATCCATATTTTCCTAAGCACTTACAACTGTTACCATATTTACTGTAATACAGTTTGAAAACCCGCCTTGCAGCGTACGTCAATATCGCTCTACGTTATTACTTATGTCAAGGATTATTCCATCCAGACGAAAACTCTTTCCTCTTTAAGATTTACTTTTGCTCTAAATCCCCAAAATTTTATGCTTGGAGTTATAATTATGGTTTGGATTAACAGAGTGGAAGTCCAAATAAGTCAATTTTAAGAGAAATATAAGTCCTCTTGCTAACTTGGGTCCTCTTTATCATTTTATATCAGGTACGCAGGTAACCCAGGTTTCTGCCACTGACGAGGAAAGTAATAATATACTTTATGAGATCGAGGCTGGTGGTGCAGGGAAGTTCAACATCAATAGTGCTACCGGCTGGATAACCTCTAAAGTTGTTATTGATAGGGAGGTATGTATAGCAGTTTGCGTTTCAAAGCTAAGTTACTGTATCTTAAAGGGCCTCTGTCACGAATCTATCAAAATTCTAACGATGGCAACCGCCTCCAAATTGGGTGATGAAACATAAAATACCCCTCAAAACATGAAAAGAAGGTATGAATAACACACAAAAAATGTGAAAAAGGAGGAACAGATGGGCAAACTTGCAGAAGACTGAAATCCCGGGGGGTACTCAACAAATTTTTATACGGGGAGGCTCAGCACCGAAGTCCAACCCCTTACCCTTTTATATACCATTTTTCACGAAAAAGGTACCCCTTTCGTATACCTTCCATTGACAAATGGTACCCCTTTCACATACCTTGTTTAGAACTTTGCATTCCTTTTAACTGCTGTAAATGCACTGTCTTTTAAATAGGAATCAATCGCAAAAATAGAACGTTTTCTCGACTTTATAAAGCCATAAAATTCGTCTGTTAGCCCTTTTAGGCCCTCTCACAGACCCAAATGACAGATTTCCCTACTCTTTTATACACTTCAACCAGTAAAATCCCTACCCTTTCGTATACCTGAGGCCTGAAAAAGGTACTCCTTTTAGGCGGAACCTCCCCGTATAGGCCATTATGCATTGGGAGTACCCCCCCCCCCCAACCCGGGACTGAAATAGATTGCAATTGTGGTTTTTGAAAACTTTTCAATAGCCTAACAGTTTTTCAAAGTTCAGTATTGTTGTTTGTAATGTATGATATGGTTTGATCTAATGCTCGGGAGACATATTTGTTTGACTTGAAGCTGTGGTTTTCTCATTTAAGTAATTTCTCAAGTTCCCCAAGCGAAGAAGGTGGCGTAGTTGGCATCAACAAAATAAACTTTCAGCCGTGACACTTGAGCCCCTTTAAGCGGACTTATAGTCGAGTTTTGCGTTAAAACAGTGAGTGTGTGTGTGGGCAAAACCTTCAAACTTTTTTGAATTATTAGTTGAAAAAAGTTTAGAATCGATTTTCTTAATTAATTCAAGATTAAATTAAAGAGAAAGACCATCCTCATTCTCATGACTCCATGTAATGATTTTCGGCGTGTTTAAACTTGGTCACGCGAACCTTTCAATGTATACTCAACTGGTCATATGTCAGACTTGATTAGGCATAGCAGAGAAACGTTGATAAACTTTGCGTCTTCCTTTGAAGAAACTGAGTCATACTAGTGTAGCCTTTCCTGCGTAAGAAGCGTTTCCGATCAAGTTATTGCGCGAAAGTTGACGAATCCGTGCAGAAAGAAACGCTCCTGCGCAGGCAAACTCTAACTAACTCTAACATGAATTCAATTTTTTGTGCACAGAAAGCCCAAGACCAAAGCATCACATTCACAGTGTATGCTTCCGATGATGTTAATGGACCCAGTGCCAGGGTAAAGTGTTTTTAGCCGTCAAATTAGATATATTAGTGACTATCAAGACAGGATGATCATTTCTTGATTAAATTTTAAGACAGGATTATCATTTCTTAATTGAATTTAAGATTGGAGCATTAGCCACAGTCATAAATGCTTTAAATTTTTAAAGCCGTCGTAAGTCTGCAATCCAAATATTGTACGTCGTCTGACCAATAATAATAATAATAATAATAATAATAACAATTTGCGTTGTATCAAACACTAAATAAAACTGGTGAATATTCTAAGACAAACTGAGTGATGAGAATGGAACCTAACTCCAGTATGAAATCACCATTTCCTAAAAATGTAGTCGCAAACTAACTTTGCTAGCATGTGTCTAAATTTACTTCGATCGGATACGGTGAAACTAGACAGTCCCAAGAGCTGATCAACCGTTGACCCTCTAAGTATCCTCAGCCAACTGGACACACCGTCTAGATCGAAATCGGAGAAGACCTCTCTGAGCACCAGATAAAAGAGCCAAGACAAACTCAACCCACATATGACATTGACGCAGGCCACATTGGTGGTCCGCGCACCTCTACTCCCTTCCCAACGTAATATAGTTTATCACAAAATGCATTCGGTACCATTCTGAATGGGTGCAAAATGCACCATTTTCAGTTGCCCTCTTCTTTTCAGACGTCTGCGCAAGTGACGATTACCATTGATGATGTGAATGATAACGCTCCAGTATTTGAGAAAGCGTCCTATCAGGCTAGCGTTAAAGAGGTGAGTAGCATGACTAACATGAAGGTCTCTTTTAGACTTTCTAACTGATTCCCTTTTAGTTGGGCGATCGGTAAGAAGGTACACCGGTCATCCTGTCGCTAAGTTGCCCTCAGTAATGGAGATTGGGTTGTCCCTATTGAGAAGATAGTTTCAAAGGTCTTTATTATTCCATGTGATCACCTACTTTAAGTGTCTTCAAAACACCTAAAAAGAGTAGGAAAAATGAAGGGAACAGACTTTTTTCCTCCCAAAACCAGCATTCAGACAATCCTGGACAAAAGTCCTTGGGACAGTACTGCAATATCCATGTTTTTCTGTCATTTCCCGGTTTCCTCTTAAAACAGTGCATCCTTTTCGAAAATTTCTTGCAGTTCTCCCTCCTCCTACCCTATACAAAATTGAAACTCGAAAAAAATTCTTGATACACGTGTCTAACATTGTTTGTGGGGTGAGGGGAGGGGTTGGACCTGTGTGAATTGAAAAACGCCTCAGAAATGCAAAAGTGTCCCAAGACTTTCGTCCATGATTGAAGTAACCCTTGTTCTCAGACTGTGCGGCTGACCCAGCTAATATAACACTTGACATCAGTCAAGTCTGGGGACGGGCAACAGTGTCCTATGGAAGGAGGACTTCAGCTTTAGAAAGGCGCGACAAACTTTTGCAGGCACTTTTTACGTTGCATGTGAGGATTTTGGGGGACCTTAATAGCCGAGGGGACCTGTTCGTAATGGATCGTTGGGATATCGGCATGAACCATTTCTGTTTCCACGGGGCCATTTCGTTTACGGATGGAGGCTCAACAGTTTTGACGTTAATTTTACCAGAGCCAGTTTTCAGATATGTAGAGACGAATTTTTAGGACGAAAATGAAGATGGACAGAAGCCACTGAAAATTTAAAACAAAACATCAGATCGCTTTGAAAAATTCCTTTATTGTTAAAAAATTTACCCAGGAAAGTTATTTACTCTTTATGGAGTTGTCAAAACGAAAATCTTCTGGATAAAGAAATGAAATGCTTCACTCAAAGCTACAGATGAGAATTGCGAGAGGGTGCTACAAAATGATAAATGTAATATTCCTGCTACTCTAATCCTTATAAGGCCAGCTCTACGCCTTCATTGAGTTTGATAAAGCCTAAAACAACTAAGGTTTATAACGCACAAATAATTAAGTTTAACGTTACTTCTCGGCTGGGTGTGATAAGGTATTTGTGTAATCATGTCCACAGGACATCAGTCCAGTCAGTGATGTGTTGACTGTCACAGCAACTGATGCAGACATCTCTGAGAACAGCAGGGTTACGTACTCAATCCAAGAAGGAAATGTGGTAAGTATCTACGTACGCCGAATGAAACTGCCAAAAGGATCTCTCAGCCACTGCGAGGTTTGCGCGTGCGGTGAATCCTGAGACCAGTCCGCGCGAAGTAACTCGTTCATGCAAACTGAAGAGAGATCGATCGACCGTGCGTATCACACCAACAAAACATGCTTAGTCAAACCAGTTTTATCAAAATGAAAATTGAATGATAGGCTTATGTACTAAGGGTTCAAGTAAGTTTTATTTTTGTTCTTTCATTTGTGTAAAATTTGCAGTGGACAAAAATCAGCTTGTTAACAGTTTCTTGGATGAAAAGTATTTTTTACCGCTTAAGACTGAATAGCTACAGTAGCTTTTAAACATGCATACGCTTGACGTGATTGGAGCATAGGCCAGCCTTCCTTCACTGTTTTTGATCATTGGAGCAGATCCAAAACGAAAATAGCACGCGATGGATATGCTTGTCCACATAAAGCTTTTACTATTCTAGAATAATGATTTGACTGCAAAAAATGTATACAAAATGTGCTCGTTGAATTTACCTTCCATATCCTTAATAGAGGCTTCGTTTTCTTGCTTCCGTTTTTTATATAATTGGAAACTTTGCTTTGTTTGTTTTTTGTAGGGAAATAAGTTTCATATTGAACTTTACTCTGGGACCGTAACTGTTATAAGGAGTTTGGATTACGAGTCGGTCAACAACTATACCCTCAAAATTATTGCTAAGGTTAGTGCGCAGTTTCTTTAAGTTTAAACATGTTCATTTGTACATCGTATAATATACCTCTTCCTAAGTCTACGTAGTTTTAATGCAGTTAGCAAAGGATGTAGTTCATTTATAGTTACGAAACGTTTGAGCTTTCTTCGAGGTTTTGACGACACGAGCCACTCAAAGAAGGGGTTTGCCGGGACACTTCAAGAGAATACAGCTATTTCGAGAAAGGCTGTCGGAATAAATGTGCACTCGACAATCCCGAAAGATAATATGGGATATGATCAGCACACTGTTCCTGACACTGCATCTGTCGAGCCTACTTTTGTCGCTTTCCTTTAGCATTCGCAAACATACGTCCATGGCGTCTAGCGCCATTCTGGCAAATTTCTTTGAAGAACAGTCAACTGGAAACCACCCACAAAACCTTTCCGGATTTCCACGTGCCTTTTTCCAAATAGCTGTATACCTCTAGCGTACGCCCTTTCTTGTTTGAGTGTAGCATGGGAACAAGTTTTATGAACCAATCAGATGTCGTGTCATTTTTGGACCATGTTTGAAAATTTTCTCTCAATCGCGTATCATAGGCTTAGGCCTGATATTTCTGCTGATGATCAATAGATACAGGCTTATTGTTACGTTTCTTTCATTAGGATAGTGGCCCCAATAACGGTCTCAATTCATCCACAACTCTGAATATCCTTGTTAAAGACGCTGATGATCTACCAGCCGAATTTTCACCTTCTTCATACTCAGCAGAAGTACAGGAAAATGCAGCGAAGGTTGTTTGTTGTTCTTATTAATCTAGTGTACATACATAATACAACAGTTAGTTAGTGCAGAACATAAGGATTTGAGATGTTGAAAAAAATTAAAATATTCCAGGGATCTGTAGCAGCTCCAGGGCATAAAAAATCGTTCTTCTTTGTATCAAATGATGGCCAGATTAGAGAGATTTGCTGAGCTTTGCTTATAAGGTGCAATGCTAAGGCAGAGTAAGTTACAACAATCGCAAAGAACAGAGTAGAGGAACTTTGATTACCCACAGAGCGCCTGTTGTCTTAAATAGGTGATAAAGATTACAAACTGTGTACTTTCGCAAACCTTAACTAGCCTATGTCATGTGCGTCAATGTGCAAGATTTCGCATACCCTATAAATAATGACGCTGTTACATGGCAGCGCGGCGTTAATTTTTGATTCTACAGCATTTGAAACGAATAGACCATTTTACAGTTGTGAGCTGAGTATCCCAGCCTTTGGGTGAATGTGAGGCTGAGGTTGACCTTGCTTTGATACAAATTTCTTTTTTTAAAAAATACCCCTTAGGATAAGAACAACGTCATTTATCTAATAAAACAGGAAGGGTTGTATCAAAACAAGGTCAACTCCAACCTCGGTCTTTTCCACCTGTTACTGTAAAATTGTCTATTGTCAAAAATATACTTAGACTAAAAAGCCTCATGTGTGCTAGTCCATTTTATTGGGATTACAGTTGGGCGTATTTTCTCTCGGTACCCTCATCCTATTCAAATAATCAACACTAACCGATCCTGCTTCACAAAGTAATACAGCCATAATGAGAACTATTCCGGTAATGCAACCGCGATGGGTAGCCTGTCGTTCAAGCTTTCCTCAAATAGCGTTAGCCGAGCTATAACCGAAGTTGTAATTATGGGCTGTACCCGCCTTTTAAATTGTTGATTACTGTGCACAGGGAACCTACGTCACCACAGTAACTGCCCGCGATGGAGACAAGATGCTTAATGCTCCAGTGGAGTACTTGATAGATTCAGGTATAAGTATAACTGTGATTCACAGTACAGCTACTGAGATGAATGAGACGTTGCTCGATTTTCATTGGCAGAAATTGTAAGATTCATGCATCGGTTCTAAATTATCTGATATCACTTGATTGCGTTGTGTATGCGTCTTCTTTGATCTGTCACTGAATTTTTCGTCTTTAGTTTGAAGGCACCTGTATGGAGAAGAGTGCAAAAAGAGAGCAAGATGGCCGTAAAGTAAAATTATACCCTCGCTGCGCTTTCTTTTGCATAACAATCAAAGTTTTCCTAAGAGACGTTGAAAGCAATGCTTACGCATTTTGTTTTTTTGTGGGGGAGGTGGAGGGGACAAACAAAATGTATCATGGGCTTGTTAAAGATTCGACTCCGTTTCAGCTGAAGGGAAAATCAGGTACTGATAATTCCTGCCATTTTCTGTCCCTTTAGATACCAATCCCGGAAGCGTCTTCACGATCCTTAATAATTCAGGTGTGATCACGGTCAACGGATCTTTAGACAGGGAGACTAAAAACTCTTTCATTTTGAGAGTTGGGGTAAGTGGAACTTTGAATTGAATGCGAACCATGAGCTTTAAACATCCGCTACTTTAGAAACAAGAAAACTGGGTCGAGTTAACTTTTGCAAAGACTTCTGGGAATGTTACTTAGTACGGGAAAAAATTGACCAATAGCTGACTAGAGAGTTCCCAGTAACAATTCCACAAACAAATGCAGGACACACTTCAAGTCTAGTTCCGTTTAGGCCCAGTTCAAATGTCTCGCGGCGAATTTCACATCATGTGCCGAACTTAATTCCTATTTTAGTCGACTAAAATAGTAGATACGGCATTTGATTCAAACGTCGAATTTAACTCTGTTCGCTGTCAATATTCCCAGTCTCTGTAAATGAATCATAATAATTAACGAAAATTCATGCATTAAATTCGGCACATGAGAAATGCGACGTTTGAATCAAAAGTCGAACCTAAGTCGACTGTTTCAGTCGCAGATACGGCGAAAGTTGCATTTAATTCAAACAGTCGAATTTAATTGATTCAATCGTCGCACTTCACATGCATTTAACTCTCGCATTAAGTTCAGCACATTTGAAATTCGACGTTTAAACCATTTAAACCGTTTAAACCTCAGTAGCTCATTTTATCTTTTTTTCTCTCACCCAGGCTACCTCGACTACGCACAAAGCTGTCTACACCACGGTACTTATCACAGTTAAAGATGTCAATGATAATCCGCCAACGTTTCTGGACACACCTTACACCGGAGCTGTGCTAGAAAATGCCTCGTTAGGAATGACTGTCATGAGAGTCACAGCTGTAGACAAGGACGAGGTACTATCAATATGATCTAACGTTATAGGATAAACTGATACGTAGGGGTTGAAGGGTGTATGATTTTTTGCTCTTAGAAACAAACCCTCTGACTTTTGTCTTATTCATTTGTAGGGTAATAATGCTGTGTTCTCGTACAGTCTCGAACGAGCCGGACGTAAATTTACCGTCACTCCCACCGGATACATCCTCATCAACGACAGCATCGACCGCGAAACTGCGGACGTGCACTCTTTTCAGGTCAGTTTTTAAAAAGCCGAAGGAAGTGACTAAAGGTAAAAAAGAAGAATTGAAATCGCAAGATCAAAGAGCAAGGAGGGATGGGGGCGTGGAGCGGGAACGTTTATGGAAGGGCAGAGCAGATATTGTTTGTTATAAGCTTACGATTCCCGCTTTCATCGCTGCGTCATGATTTACACCAGAAAAAAAAAAGGCCTCCATTTACCCCATAATTTAATTCTACTTCACTTTTTGTTGTTTCTACTGGATCAGATCCTGTTTTTCTTTCTGGGTTCAGGGAGGTTTTTGCTATCTACACGGCATTTCAGTAACGTTTCTTCTTTGCTTAGCACGACTGATGACGAAGGCATGTCAGCACGCACTACGCACCACGCACCACGCACCACGCACGAGGAACTCTTTGTTCGCTTGTCACTCTTACTTTGATGCTTTACTCTCAAAGGTTGTTGCCACGGAGACTCTGACGTTAGAGCGGTTTCAGGCCGTGGCTCCCGTCACTGTTAATGTCACGGACGTGAATGACAACAACCCGAGGTGTTCCCAGGCTGTTTACAGAAAGACAGTGCCCGAGAATAACCCAACTAACACTTTTGTGCTACAGGTAAGAGCGTAATGGCTAATACGTCATGCTTACCATCCAACAACTGACTAAAATCATAATATGTTTGATCAAGAGTTATAAGATGTAAAATAAGTTTCTAATCATTCGTGCTTTTCTTGACTTGGCAGGTTGTTACATATGTATAATGCTAAGACCTTTTAATCGAACTATGCTTTGTGGAAAGAATCCAGAACCACCTTTAAGTAACAAAAAGCAACAATAACAACTGAGATGAAATTCTGTAGCCCTAACGGCCAAGCATTAGCCGAGAATAGAAGTCACTATATCAAGTCTTTACATTTAACAAGAATCTTTCCACAAATATTTCAGGTCTCTGTCACAGACCCTGATCTAGGACCCAGTGGCGTTGTTCGTTACAGTCTAGTTCCAGACTCTAATGGACATTACAACTCCTTTACGCTCAATCCCCTCAATGGCACTATCTACACCAATGTAAGCTTTGACCGCGAGAAACTGGGCCTGTACATCGTAACAGTACGTGCTACAGACCAACCAACCAGCGGACAAGGAAGGTAGATACTTGCTTTTGCTTTTCAGTATTTAGATCTATTCCATAATGACTTCCTAACTTGCGAGAAAGCTCTTAATCCTTATCCATTCTTTTCCATTTTACAGTTATCCTTTTCGTTTCTAGCATAATATATTGAAAAATCAGCTTATCTTGTACGCCTTTACTTTCTTTTAGTCACTGAGCCCACTATTGGCTTAACTGAGAAAAAATCGAGTGAGTGTAAATAACAAATTAAAAACAGAATAGTAAGCCAGAAAAATTCGTGGTGCATCGAGAGGAGTTTCCCGCTAAAAAACTTTTCTGAGTATGATTTATTGCATTTACATGCATTTAACTCCGAATTCTTGGTGGGGGTGTGCCGTCCGGTTCTCCAAATCCTGACCTTATTTCACACCAAAAAATGTCATTTTTCACACCCGTTTTAAGAGCGGATGTCAGTAAATATCGACCAGAGGTTAGACTGCAAAACAGTCCGTATTTTTGCGTATTCAAGTATGCGCGAGCAGTCAAACAAAAGGTCTGGAATGAGGCTGAAAACAGAGAGCGAGACTGGGGAGAGACGCTTTTTTCTCTCGCCTCACACGCCCTACGGGCGTGTGAGGCTCGCGCGCTTCGCGCGCGTAAGACTCTTACGCCACGCTTTACGGCTTTACTGATTTTGAGAAAAAAACCGACTGTTTTGCAGTCTAACTAGAGGTCTACAAAAGTGAAAAATCGAAAATTCTCAAAAAAATTCACAAAGTAGCACTAGGTAAGCTATTAACATAAATGTAATTTTTACTTCGATCCGATAATTATTTTCCACGTACGGGGGGGTTATTGGTTTCGCGGCTCTCGGACCGGGTTTTCCAGGCCCGAGACCATGTGTCACAAAAAAATCGTTTTAAAATTCAAATCCACTGTAATGTGGACAACAAATAACTTATTAAGAAGAGTACTTAATTGCACACATTCTAAGTGGTGATTTACTCAGTTTGAACGAAACTGTAATATTTTGGAGATTTTTCATTATTTTCAATATTTTGAACGTTTTCGTTCAATGAGAAAATGGCAAATTTCAAAGCCCAAAATCGTCGACTGGTACCTCGATTTCAGTAACGAGTCTTATAACACGTTAAAGAGCGTTATCTCTTCTTTCAAAAACTGTTTTCAAAACTACGGGCAACTTAAAAGAAAATGTTTGAGGCCAAAAAATACTAGTAGTACTTTTCTGAAATTTGAGCTTTCCAGACTCAGCGGGTCGATGCTAAAAACTCAGAAAAATGCAATAAGAAATCAGTTTGAGCAATAGTGGTTTCATGTTACTAGCTTTCAGAAACCAAGACGTGTTTATACAGCGATATGATATAAATTAATGCCGTTTGCTATCAAGAAAGGCAGATTTAAGCTGTCAACTCCAGCCAAGTGCACCAGTCACGTGAAGTTGTCAAAGGGAGGGCAAAGCACTAATATTAAAAAGTCAAAATTCAAAACGTTTTACGTCCATGAAATCAGATTTTAGCGTACAACACAATGTTGTGAATGTCTGTTGTTCGTACCTTAGCATGGTGTTTCCATATATTGGAAATGTCAAGTATCCACACGGGAGAACATACCAAACAACAACGTTTCAAATCCAAGCGCCGAAAGATCGTAAACGGCAAAGATTGCGTTACATTTCACAGAACGACCGCTTACAACTGTTGTCACTCCTTTTTTCGCTCGAAGCTACGAGGAGTTTTCATTCCGTCATGAGTGATTCTTGATCAGCGTTTCCTTGAAAGTACGACCGCGGACAGGTGATAACTGAGGACGTTTCGTCAAGACTCCTGTTGTTCAGTTTCAGGCTTTAGCAGGTGCGTAGTCAGGATTTTTCCGGGGTACGCCCCTCTCCGGGCCCCCTCCGGGCCCCCTCCCCCCCCAACCCCAAATCTCAACATTTTTTTAAGGTGCCTTTATTAAAGGTGGGGTTAACGGTTGTAAGCAAAAGCATTTTTGCTGTTTATGAAATGACACAACCTCTAAAATTCTTTAATTCTGTCGGCTTGTTATGTTCATTGACGTCAACCGTTTATCATTAATTCAGCTATTAAAAATCAAGCTTGTAGTACCTCCGACTTAAGTTTACAAATGACTCTTTTTACCCCTTTTTGTCACATTATTTTTGACCGACAAAGCACCACACATTGACTTAATTGTGCCCTACTTCGTCTACTCCGAAGACAGGTCGTGAAGAAAACAACGCGTTCACGCTTTACATCATCAAGCTTGCTATATAAATAAATCTTCCAAGATTCGGTTCTCCAATTAATGTCGTCGCTTCTCTGGAAACCGATTTTTTTTAGTTATGTTTATTTCATTCTATTTTTTTCCTCAACGTTTTCGGGTACGCACGTGCAAACAGTGCGTACAAGTAGCTACACCCCTGTTTAGTCTCCTTAGCCCTGAGCGTTCCTCTCTTGCGGTTTTCGGGGGAGTTCAGGATGTGGTCCACCCAGTATTTCACGTCTCTTTTAAATGAGAGGCAGCACTTCTTGTTTACCGTTTCGTTATCAGACAGCGCTTAGGCTCTTAGCCTTTCATTTAATTTTGATCAAATTTTTCTCATTTAGTTACTCAGTATACGTTCGATCCTGTCCTTGTAAACTTATACTTTTATACTTTAAGGGAGCGTAATACCTATATTAATTTTTTCTTCGTTTAGTGTCGTCCAAAAAGACCTAGTTTTTTGGCATTTTTTAAAAAAGCAAGAAAAAGAAACGACAAGGGTTATTTTTTTTGGACTTAGATTAATTCTTTTAATCTAAAAAATTAGCATTATAACATCATTTCGAGGCATAGAATGTTCGGTGGTGTATCCTCTTTGCTTTTTGCCCTTTTTGGGCCTTTTTATGAAATTGACCTTCAAATTTTCCGCCATATTGAGTTTGTGTCGATCTGGTGACCGTGTCTTGTTGTTTTCAGTCTCCACGGCAATGATGCTGGTGTTTCAGGCCTCCCGTTCTCAGATTTCTTGTGATTTTTTTTTTCACCCCACCGACCGACCCACCCAAAACCAAGAAACCTATTCGACGCTGAACGAACGAAAAGGGGATGACCTAAGCCTTATGGTTTCTTACAATACAATACAATAGTTTATTGACACTCCCCTGGTTGGGCTTTTCAGTGACAATGCGACTAAAAAAAAAAAAAAAAACTAATTAAGATAAGAGAAGTAGTTAACAATTCGATTAAAAAGAAAGAATGCGGTGAACAAAGCAATATAAACATACCTATCTAAGAATTAATCGTATAATAAATATTCTCACTACGTACTATACAATATGCATATTTTAAGTTAAAATAAAATAAGATACTAGTAAGATACTAAAATACTATCATAACGTGCTATTTAAAAAGTCAGTAATCAACTTGTTTTTCAGACAAAATTTAAAAGTAGAAATCGATTTTGCAGTTTTAAGAGTACTGTCTAGATTGTTCCAAATGTGCACCATGCGGTAGTGGAATGTTCTCTGTCCGGTACTCGACTTATACAAGGGGATGTTTAATAATTGGCAACTTCGAGTCACGCGCCCGGTGACCGCAATTCTTGTTGTAAATTGATCGCTGAGGTAATGTGGAGCTTGACCAGTCATGCATTTAAATGCCATGAGAGCATCGCGGAAGAACAGCTTTTGTTTAATTGGAAACCAACGTAGATCTCTTAGTGCGGGGGTTATATGATCAAATTTCCTGGTACCTGTAATAATGCGCGCGGCAAAGTTCTGCACTGACTGTAGTCTACAGATATTTTTGTTCGAGGTGTTCGACCACACTGTGGAACAGTACAGTAATTTGCTAAAGACTAGTGCATTTATTACTGTCACCAGTTGGTTACGGTCAAGGACATGTTTAACCCGACTGATTTGTGCGAGGCTTGACATACAAGATGACGTAGTTTTTAGAACATGGTCATCAAACGTTAGTTGCGGATCTAAAACAACCCCAAGATCTTTGGCCGAAGATTTAAGAGCGAGATCTTTTCCTAGAAGAGATATTTTGAAGTCGGGGAGTTTGGCAAGTAGTTGTCGGCTTCCAAAGACTACGAGTTTTGTTTTGTCAGGATTTAAAAGTAGAAAATTGTTAAAACACCAATTACGTATGAAAAGAAGGTCGCTATTTAGATCGTTCATAGCAGTCGGACAATCACGCATCTTAAAAGAAATCTGAAGTTTAGTGTCATCTACGTAACATTGCGTTAAACAGTTTCTAGGAACAGAAGGTAAGTCGTTAATGTAAATACTAAAAAGAAGCGGCCCAAGAATGCTTCCTTGAGGGACACCACTATTTAAACGCAACGAATTCGAGAGGGTCGAGTTAATACGCACGACTTGGTGTCTGTAGGTCAGGTAGCTAGTAAACCACGCGAGAGCGTATTTAGAAATACCGAGATGTTGTAGTTTTAAAAGGAGAATATCATGATTTATACTGTCAAATGCCTTACTCATGTCCAACAAAACCATAGCAGAGAGTTCCTGCTTATCCATGCCAGTCAAAATGGCATCTGTGGAGCGGATAAGTGCCGTTTCTGTGGAATAAAATTTCTTATTTCCACTTTGTTTCGCAGAAAGACGGTTGTTTGTTGTTAAATATGCCGTCAGCTGGCTCAACGCAATTCTTTCACACACCTTTGACAATACTGGTAATAACGAGATCGGTCTGTTATTACAAGGTTGTTCATGATCTCCCTCCTTTGGAATAGGCGTTACTTCTGCTTGTTTCCATCCTCCAGGGAAAACGCCATTTTTGGGCTTCACCACATTGCTTCTGCGTCTTTCTGTATACTTGTCTTTTGCTTTGTTTTGTTTTTTTTTGTCGGTAAAATAAACTGAAACTGTACAAAGACCCTCATTATTCCCTTTGGAGGTTCACAACGCGCATAAAAAAAATGAAAAACGCGATGATTTATTGACCGCAAGGGCAATGGGGTGGGGTCGGGGCTTGTTACTGCGCTCCGGTTCACTCGTACGCTGTCAAATGGTCCCGAAATACAAAATGAAAAATGACTGTGGACAGACTATTCACGTCTAGACATCAAGCATCTTTTAAGATGGGACTTATCGCCTCTCCCTGTTCATGGAGTTGATTCAAGGTGTTGACGTTAATTTCGTGATGCCCTGCATGTTGCCAGGACATGTTTCAAAAGGGCCTTTCCAAAGGTACGGAGTCCGCCGTCACCTTGTCAACCGTGCGAGAAATGATGTACTTCACAAAAACAAAGAGAAGTTATTTTCGATTTGCCCCGCCCCCTACCGGCCCCGAAAGTCCCCGACAGGACCGCTTCAAAGTACTCCCCATGTGGTTGCGTGGGAGATAGTAACAGGTCTACCTAATTGCACCGTGCATCAATGACAGTTTAGCTCAATCAGAAGCCCCTTTTCCCTGGCTAGTTCAAGATGTGTGCATCTCCTTTAAGATGTTGTTTTCGGTTCTTACTGAAATTTTTGATCTTGAGGAAATTCAAAACGACAGGAGCAGGTTATGGGCTTTTTTCCTAGCCCTAATCCTACATCACGGGAAATCCCTCAGGTTAGGCAAGAATTCGATAATCCTTCCACAATCATCCATTTTTTCACCGCGTGAATTGGGTATTTTTAGCTTATTTCGAGGAAATACTTTTTGCTTCAAATCCAGGGTGGGCTTTTAAACACATTTTTTAAGCCAAATGGTTTTTGCGAGAATTTGCTTACCCGAACTTTTCGCATAAAAAACGACAAATACCCGAAAAAAGCTCATGTTGTTGGTGGTGGTGGCATATTTCCGATAAATTCAGCTCAATGTCTCGTGAAGAAGACGGTTCAGATCCGTGCCGCGCGCCTCTCGAGGCAAGCGTTCCGTCGAAATGCGAGCCCAAAAACAGGTGGTAAGCGGTCAATCTGTGAAAAGTAACGCAATCTCCGTCGTTTGAGAGAAGCCGAAGATGCTCTTGCCGATGCTGTCCTTGATGTTTTTTATTTCCAGTATCTAGGAAACCCATGCTAAGGTATGAAACATACACTCGTAGGCATTGTTCTGTCCGCTAAAGTATAATTCCTGGACGCAGAAACGTTGTGCTTTTTGAAGTTTATTATTGTGCTTTGCCCTTTGACAACCTTACGTCACTCGTGCGTTTGGTAGGAGAAGATGGCTAAACTCTGCTTTTCTTGTTGGAACACGGCTTTAAATTTTATCAGATCGCTCGATAAACACGTGTTGGTTTCTGACAGCTGATAACGTTAAATCACTGTTGCTCAAACTGATTTCTTATTGCATTTTTCTGAGTTTTTAGCATCGACCCGCTGAGTCTGGAAAGCTCAAATTTCAGAAAAGTACTACTAGTATTTTTTGGCCTCAAACATTTTCTTTTAAGTTGCCCGTAGTTTTGAAAACAGATTTTGAAAGAAGAGATAACGCTCTTTAACGTGGTATAAGACTCGTTACTGAAATCGAGGTACCAGTCGACGATTTTGGGCTTTGAAATTTGCCATTTTTTCATTGAACGAAAACGTTCAAAATATTGAAAATAATGAAAAATCTCCAAAATATTACAGTTTCGTTCAAACTGAGTAAATCACCACTTAGAATGTGTGCAATTAAGTACTCTTCTTAATAAGTTATTTGTTGTCCACATTACAATGGATTTGAATTTTAAAACGATTTTTTTGTGACACATGGTCTCGGGCCTGGAAAACCCGGTCCGAGAGCCGTGAAACCAATAACCCCCCCGTACGTGGAAAATAATTATCGGATCGAAGTAAAAATTACATTTATGTTAATAGCTTACCTAGGGCTACTTTGTGAATTTTTTTGAGAATTTTCGATTTTTCACTTTTGTAGACCTCTGGTCGATATAGAGCTGGCCTCTAAAATCCATACCCATTCTCAGACCTTGCCTTCAAGAATTTATGCCATCATCTCTTAGATTAGAACTGCAACTAAAAAGAGCCAGCGGTAGAGCGGGCGCTCCAGCCCGGCTAACCAGGCTAGTTCATCTCATATAAACATCTAAACAGGCCCTTAACATAGGAATTCTTTTTCTGATTGGTGGTTACGAAAAAACGACAGCTAGGGCCATTTTAGAGCAACAAAGTTATATTTTGAGGTTGAAATTTCGTTCCCCTTAATCCGACACAGTCTCATATTAATTTCGAGGATTTAATAAAGTTATTAATTAAACTAAAGGGAACAACAATCCTGAACAATCGATTGCTCATTTTTGCTATCGATCTTCGCTGTGTTTCAAAGTCCGCTGTGCAAAGTCTCGTAAATCAAACCTTCCTTACAAACTTCTGGATACCGCAACAAACTCAGGTAAATCGATAGACTTTTAATGACTATAAAACACGTGCTTAAAGTCCTTACAGGCTTTTGCCGCGAGACACGTAACCTGCGATCTTTGGGATAATTGAGAGGATCGGGGGTTAGGATCAGTCATAACTATGGATCGCTGATGGTAAACCTGTAAAACTCCCAGGAAACTTTGAATTTCTTTAATGAATTTTTATAGCGATAACTTTGCATTCGCCATGAGCTGCGAGGAACAAGAACCACTAGCAACGATGCTCTCACTGGATAGCAGTGATTGTATGCTACGCACTCAGACGGCAATTGACCCCCGAGGGGATCTAACCATTATGAACAATTTCGAAGCTATAATTTTCTCTATTAAATTAACTTTATAGATTCGGCGAATGTACCATTCAAGTCACTGTTGGTGATGACAATGATAACAGCCCCAACTTCTTAAACCTACCAAATGATACAAGCGTGTCTGAGGGAGCGGAAACCAACAGCGCCTTCTTCACTGTCAAGGTAAGAGTTTTGTCATTGTAGAAGCAACTCAGATTCCACCTAGCGTACTACTTGTTGGTGATTCGTTGAAAACTGTATTTATTGCTAACCTGATAATATAGGAAGAAGGGAAAGCTAGAAAGCGTGAGAAGATGGGGAGGGAGGAAGGAAGGATGAGAGGCGGAGAGGCACGCTCTCCCAGGGACCCGTTAACATGCTTATTCGTCGCCTGCTCACTTAGCCTAAACGGGAAGGGGGCTTCCCCCCTTTAGTCTCCCCTCGTTTTTTATTTCTTCGTGAATTTTTCTTCCCGCGCTCTACTATCTGAACGCCTGCTCACTCCAAGCAGAGGTTCTCTTGGCTTGTCACGCAATCCTCCCCAACGTGGCATAGGAAACGCGTTACTAAGCTTTAACAACGCCTGCACATTTAAGACTAAAAGAGCCATATAAACGACCGTCAAAGTAAACTAACTTGCAAAACAGCATTACCCGATCGCATTCCGCCAGTGATTAGAATGGAGAAGTTTTTCATGTAGCCAACTTGGTACATAACGGGAAGTGGAAATATAGGCTCAACCACAGCACTGGTTGTGCGCACTGAGTTAATACAATTCATATACATTTGCTAATATCTCCCTATCCCTTTCACAGATGCTTTTCTTAGACAATTTGGCGAACACGCAATAGCGAGCGCGGAGTGCGAATAATTTTCGCCTTTCCCCACACCCCCTGGCGCTTGCGGTCAATAATCGTTTGACTGTTTTATTTTCATATGCGCGCACGACGATCTCTAAAGATAAAATGGAGGGTCTGTGAACAGGCCAGACTAAAGAGGGTCTATGGGATCAGGGAAATTGATGTAACCTCACCTTGGTTTTTAATTTTTGTCTCACTCTTTCGTTTCTATCTTAAGGCCGTGGATGCCGATGAAGGTGTGAATGCCGCAGTGAGTTACAGTATTACAGGTGGAAACACAAATGGATCATTCACTATAGACACAAACAGGTACCACACTATGCAAGAAAGGTAACATGTCATATGAGGTGGCACCTGAGACTTCACAGGGTCTAGAAGAATTTAGTTTCTCGTGTGAACATAAAAAAATCAGTTTTTAAAGAACTTTAATTTGACAATGATCACTTTTTCCTCGTGTAACAGCTGGTTTCGTTACGCAGGCCTAAGGACTGACGACTTTTAAGATGCGAAGATCAGGTTGCAGTGAATGATTATTTATACTTAGTACTTCGTGCCTTGCTGGATGAAAATGGTTAGTGGTTACAGACTTTAATTCAGAACGTCGATTTTTATACGGCGTCGATTGGGAAACGGAGGCGGAAATCTATTCAAAATGAATCTTTAAAGACTTATGAATTACGAAGCGATGAGGTTATATATTTTAAAGGCAAAATGTTGGAAATTTAAAGTAGTTCATGTCAGTACATGTTCAAACTTAGCTTCTCTGGACCCTGTGGGTTGATGCTGTGTCGAGTTGCATAGTGGGGCCGTTTTAGGAGATGAAAAAATTTGACCCAGTTCCCTGCGACAACTCGCAAAACCGCGCCCATGCAAAACTGTCCCATAATTCCATTTGACTCGACCGACATGTAGTGTCACTTACAGCCTCATAATGGCAATACAGGTTGTATAAGTATAAATTTGTGTTTTTTGTTAAACAATGAAAATGGAAGCGATGGAAAATGTTCGCAGTGCGCACGTTTTTGACTTAACATTATTAAAAGTTAAAGGAATTTTATTCGGTGTTTGGGATTTATTGCAAAATTCATTCGTTTCGGGAAATATTTATAGGTTAAGGAAAAATATCATAAAAAGCAATTTGACTCATTTTACTTGGTGTTAACTCCTACGCATCAGCACTGATTAAACGACATCCTCTCCCGAAATGAGAAAATGATTTCTGTTGATTCACCCTCTCTTTGGTATTGTTGAAGGAAAATGTTGATTGAAGAGTTACGTTAGCCACTTGTTCCACCTGTAATAAGCCTGTTTCAGTTTAATTCGTTTCACGTTATCTATAAAAAAAACCAATTCAGCATTTGTTTCCTATTTGGGAATCACTCTGGTACTTTTGACAATCCGCAATTTCAATGCAAATTTCCGTCTTTGTTTTTGTTTCCAATTATTTATACTGCGTTTTCCTTTGTTCTAGATCGCCTATCATCTCTCTGCATGGATTTTCATCAATCTCGTCCGATATTACAATTAGCTGAGTCTTCACACAAAACCCATATAGTTTGAGTTCCAGCCCATGCGTTTTCACGATTAGTTTCACCCTCCTTACTCTCCTTTTGCAGTCCGTTTTAAGTAGCGTTTCGGAATAGGCATGACACTAATTTTACAACCTCATCTTGCAGTCACTGCGGGTCTGAGCATTCCGTACAACAGTTTTGTTTGCCTTCTGATTATTCACCCGCAGAAGTCAATTTCTTATTCGATTTTCTGGAGCGTACACCTCAGGCAACATTTGCACCTGACTTATTTCTATCAGTAATTCGCTTATGTGATTATTTGTTAATTCCTCATCATGTTATTTTCGATCTAATCCAGCTGTATATTCCTCGGCATTTACGCGTTCGTTCTCAATTTACATGGTCTGTAAGGAGGTTTAGAAAGTGCAAGATCTTCTTCGGGTCAACGCCCGAACAAGGTGCGGCTTGAACGCGCTGGTTCTTCTCTGCTGGGAGTTAAAACGGTGGGCTTACGGCACTCCTGCTTCGTACAGATGTTCTTTAAGCCTGTGGATAATCAGGACTAATGGCAGGCTGTTAGGTCGACGAAGAGGTCCGTTGGGCCTTTGCGGAGTACCACGACCACGACCACGACCAGACATAAAATGGTACGGGAAGAAAGCGGATTTCTCCACCACTTTGTTGAAGAACCTTACCGGGGGTACTAGCAGGTTCTAACAACAAACAGACGAGTTCTTGTTCAATCGACTCTCTTTAATTCTTGAATAGGGTGACACAAAGTCAGCACAACTCGTATGTTACAATTCTCTACTAGATCAGTGTTACACGCATTTTTATATCAGCCAGGAAACCAGCTGCTTAGCGCAAACCGAATGCTGACGTAAGTCTAATCCGATTGGTTAAAACAGCTTCATTAGCATGAAACCTTCGAGATAATTGCTTTGTCGAAATGACTCTTCAACCGAAGTTTTCACTGCTAAGCTTAAGTCAACTGTTTAATATAAAACTAGGAGAACAATATAAAAACGACAAGGTATATACCAGAAAACAGACTTTTCATACTAACAGATAGGAAAGTACTAAAATTACAGTTTGAAAATCCAAGATTGTTGTCAATTTACAGAAGGTGTTAAGCTTCTTCATCGAAGATGATTGGCTACAACTTTTCCATAATTTAACCACGAACGTGATCGCAAACTTAAAGGGTAAATTAAAAATGCAGTTCAAAGTACAAGGCAGAATTTAAAACAATAGTTGTTTAACTACAAAAACACCTATAAAATCACTAAGCCTAATTAAAGTTATCCACTGCCAAGAATTCGGTTAAAAACTCAAAGAAACACGCTTAAAACTGTTAAAAACAAGCAGGGTAGTCAGTTCCTGGTAAATATCGAAGGGAGACCAGATTAAGGTAAAAAATGTCAAACTAGAGAAAATACTTAATATAAACAAGGCCTTGTCATCTGCCAAAGGCTCTAATTAAACATATCTCATGAACAGAAGTGTTACCGCGGAGATGCACCAAATTGGTACATCTCCTTTGTACCGAATTCATGTCAGGAGAAACTTTCCATCGATCATCAATTAACTTAGAAAACCAATCCTACTAGTAGTGAAGTACCTTACTCAAACCAATCAACAAGAACGCTTACAACAACTCCACTACAAACATATATTGTAACAATTGTCACAAGTGGCTAACGTAACTCTTCAATCAACATTTTCCTTCAACAAGACCAAAGAGAATGAATCAACAGAAATCATTTTCTCATTTCGGGAGAGGATGTCGTTTAATCAGTGCTGATGCGTAGGAGTTAACACCAAGTAAAATGAGTCAAATTGCTTTTTATGATATTTTCCCTTAACCTATAAATATTTCCCGAAACGAATGAATTTTGCAATAAATCCCAAACACCGAATAAAATTTCTTTAATAATGTTAAGTCAAAAACGTGCGCACTGCGAACATTTTCCATCGCTTCCATTTTTATTGTTTAACATTTTTTTTTTTTCGGTTTTAATGATCACCTTCTTATAACAGTCTACCTTTACACAAAATTGATTTATACACTATGAAGTTCAATCTTTGGAATCGATAAAATTACGGTTTTCACCTACCTATACATTTATGGAAAAGGTAAAACCAGTAAAGAAAATGACCAATCATTTACCGTATAACTTGAATCAAAGGGCGTTGCTCATTTAGAAATATTTTTTAGACCTATTTTGGCGAATTTTGTAGGATGAACCTATCCCTCTCTCTGAATTCTTTTCCAGTGGCAGACTCTCAACTGCTCGAAAGATAGACCGAGAGGCTACTGCCCAGTTTTCTCTACAAATTACGGCTACAGACGGAAAAGGAAAGGTCAGTTAAAGTTCATCTCGGTTTTAAGGGTCAGTACTAAAGCTACTGCAATATACATTAGTCATACCAGCTAGAAAGGGTCTGGATTGGGGTGACCAACTTGCCCAGTCACTGAAAGGGTCAAATATGTAAATGGCGACATGTGCTGCTGTTCTTAGTTTTGCATCTGTTAAGAAGATACGCTAACAATGTTACCACTCAATCGAGGCTCTTCAGGTGTATTTTCTTTCCGATCACCAGGTAGCATTATTGTTTCTCATCGTCACTCAGCAATTTGATTAGATTTTTTTTTCAGACATAGGCATAAAAAAGCTTAGCAACAGCGCCATTTCTCATGAATAGAGTCGAACCCGTTCCGGACGGGATTTTGACATGAGAAGAAATGCAAGAATATAGAAGTAACTGGTAGTAATACTAAAATTGTTCAAATCATATCTTTTGTTTTTACAGGCAACAACAGGCAATCTTCTCGTGCATATTACTGACGTCAACGACAACACACCTACTTTCACCGAACCCTTAGGGTACAACTTTACGGTGAACGAAGGACAAGCCGGTCTCATTGTTGGAGTGGTCACGGTAAAGCTTGTCTCCCTATATCCTGCTTTGCTGGCGTAATTCATCAAACAAGGAGCTTAATTTCATGGGTGCTTTTGTTATCTTCGTTTAGGCCTTTTAAGCCGAGAGAAGAATGGCGAAGAGTCAACTTGAGACTTTCCTTCGGGGCTTCTCGCGGCAGCTGCATCGCCATAAAGCACTCTCAAACTCTGATCTCGCCAGCTTTGCAGCTAATTTTCATAGCATGCAAAAGTCATTTGCTCATGCAGTTGTTCGTTTCCATGCCTTTGTAACCGTCTTTCCTAGGCAGCTCCTCATGTCTAGTCATGATTTATTGAGTAATTCTACAGCGTATTTTGATGTTCAGAGGCCTTGTCCTCAATTTACTAGCTTATTTTAAAGTAATTCAAGCAGCCTACTGGCAGAGGACCACTTTCAGTCGTATTTATACGACGTCACAACTTTCGTATCCCTTCCACAGGCAGTCGACAAGGACGACGGAATCAACGGAGAAATAGCTTATAGCCTGAAGCCTGTAGAAGACTATATGAAGTAAGTGAGACAGATTTTGTTGGAAATTGTAGCTGTTACGCTGTTACATCACATGAGATAAAAAAAATCCATGTTAACCTTTATAGAAGGCAATTGTATTGTTAGTGGAGATTCTTGCTCTTTCTATGGTACTGACACGCCATGCTATGACGGACATACTACTTGTTCTTTGCTGTTCCTTCTGATCCTCGTATGTAAGCGAAGGTTCAATTCATGGCAGTTGGGGCTAGGTGTTTGGAGAGAATAATGTACTCTGGTTGACTGGTTCTCTCCATGTCTTGGCATAAATTAAAAATACCCTGTAGAGAGGTCTTGTAGAAAATTAAACAACAAAATTGAACTCTTAAATTGCAAATCCTCACGCGATCTCAACTGCTTGCTTGGCTTTCAAGAACACTCGCTTTTCGCGCCCATTGACACTTTGCTAGTTCCCTCGTTACTCATCATTGTAATTAAAAATACGGGTCTGTTACAATTACATTTTCGTAATCAATTGTTTCTTGCTCAGATTTACCATCCATGTATCAACTGGTGAAATAAAGACAGCCGTTGCACTGGATCGTGAAACTATTAATCAACACGATATTAGGATTCTTTCAAGAGACCAAGGATCCCCTTACCACCAGGCTGAGGTCCGCGTAGTAATAAATGTCTCTGACATTAACGATCACCGGCCCGCATTCAGTCAGAGGCATTACTTTGTAGAAGTTAAGGAACAGCAACCCGCCCATATTATATTAAACCTAACGGTAAGACCAGCATTCGTGTCTCCTTGTCGTTTACTGAGCAATGAACTGAGTGCGGAAAATGGACGGCAATAAAGCGTTGAAGCAATTACACGTAGTTGCGGCTGACTTACCAACAGGACGGGAACGTCAGATGACGACGGCGCGCGCAAATTTAACATCTGACTTGACCAATGGCAGAGCGGCAAATTGGGTACCGGAAGTCGTGTTTAGTCCTTTCCGCGCGCTTTCTCGTCGTCAACCGAAGTTCCCGTCCCGTTGCTAAATCAGCCTATTAATAGCAAGAAAACGCGCTCATGCAATCAATCAATAATTAAAAACACAGGAAGGTCTTGACACTTAAGGCTAAGCAAAAGCTATTGACTATCGACACTCGCCTAAAACTGCTCTATAATTCGGTCTTTCACTCTCTTATTCCTCCTGCATACTCTAGTCTCCAGGTGAAGACTCAAGACTCAAGACAAATTAAGACTCCAGACTTTCAAGTGCATGGGATCGCGCCCTGGTCTCTCGCCCCCTGCTCTTTCCAAAAACAGGTTTTTGCAAAAACACATGGTCTTTATAGTGTTTACTGCGTCCTTTTTGGGAAGTATAGTCAATATTCCTTGGTACTTCCTGTTTAAGAAACAGTGTTAATCAAGCTCCTGTGCGAGTTCATTTTTTGATTTTTTACAAAGAAATTAGATTTATTATTAGTCACAATAGAGAAAACTTCTCTTACCTTTTCAATTTTTATTAAGCTTACTATAACTGAAAAATAGTTTTGTTAGTCAAATGTTTGCAATTTTTTTGTTTAATTATATTTTTAACTCCTTCCTCAGGCAACCGATGGAGACATTGGCATAAACGCAGCCTTTTTCTATGCAATATTATCTGGAAACTCTGATAATAGTTTCATTATTGACTCTGTAAGTGGTGCGCTGTCTACTACTGGATCTTTAGACAGAGAAAAACATGACTCCCACATCCTGCTGATCCGTGTATCCGATCTCCGTGGTAACCATAGTTATGGTGTAGTGTTTGACGACACCACAGTAGTGGAAGTGCTTGTCGAGGTGAGTCACAGTCCTCCTAGTAACGGCTGGACTTATTAGCAGGGAAGAAAAGGTTTGTAGCCTTTTACTGTGTTGATCTTTGACCTTTTAGGAGAGAAATATCTCTTATGTGTGGCACTTACTCTATGCAACCCTTACGAAGAAGGCATTTAATTTTAGTGCCATTTCCTGAACGTAACCATCACCTATTTTTTCCAAGGAAAGATGGATCATGAGATGTTTCTAGGAAACTGCCCACCTACCCCTCCCCTAAGCCAACATTAACACTTACTTTTCACTTAGGGCAAAATCTTGGCTTTGGGGAGGGGTAGGTGGGCAGTTTCCCAGAAACGTATAATGATTGGTAGCAATTTGATACAGTTCTCCATCGCAGAAAATATTGTCAACAGTCTTCCGATACCTTATAACTATTTACGAGAACTGATAGCATAATTGATTCAGGAGGATCCCTACCCCAGGCTATGCAAGTAAAGTATATTTTGTGACCTAATTTCGAATAATCACTGCTCTTGAACCAGCTAAACTGTGCTTCCACGAGCGATCACGTTCTTCTTGAGCGTCGAGGTTTTTGTGTTTGTTTTAGAGATGCATAGGGCATATGATTTTTATGTTACGTCCAACGTTTCTGATGGGGTTGTACCTATTTTTTTCAACGCAACCGTCAGTCAAGAAAACTGTTCAAATCAAGGAATGGGTGCCGTATGCCATCAGAGAGAATTTGATCTCCCGGAAGTAAGATATAAAAGGGCTGCCCAGCCTTTCTGCATGGGAGTTATAAGTATATTATTGACCCAAAAAGAACGGAGTCGCCCTCATTCGACTGAAGAGGAGTTAAAATATTTGTAACGGTTAGAAATAAACTTGACATGGTGTGAATTTGAAACAGACATCCTTGTTTAACACTGTTATTTACTACATTTGTGAACAGGACGCAAATGACAACAGTCCGTTGTTCAACAAGTCTGTTTATCCAATCCAAATATTTGAAAATATCACTACCGGCACTGCTATACTACAGCTCTCTGCGAGGGATGAAGATCTTAGCATTAACACGAAAATGCGGTATCACATTGTCAGTGGTAATTCGCTTGAGAGGTTCTTCATTGATGTCTTCAGTGGAGTTCTGTATGTAAAGAGTCCCATTGACAGAGACCCTCCAAGAAACGAAGACTCCTTTTTGTTGACGGTAATTTGTTTGTGTCTTGAAGTCAATCACAGAGGAAACTTAAGTGCTTTTGAAATGATAATTGTATGAATTTCATATATTATTTGAGCCACGGAAAGAAAAACTAATTATACAGGGAAGATCAGTTGAAAAGGCAACTTATAATATGCAGTTGCGAAAAGAAAGCATGAAAAATTCAGGCTTGTTTGGATTCAAATCCTGACCTCTGCGATACCGGTGCATTGCTCTAACCAATTGAGCTACGTAAGCCTAGCAAGCCAACGTACTGCGTAGGAGCTGGGACCCGTTTCTCGAAAGTCCCAATAATTAATGTGTGTTTTCGGGCCCGAAAAGTTACGTGGACTTTCGAGAAACGGCCCTGGTTATTAAACTGGTTTTGTTATTTACCCAGGAAATATGAAGATGAAATGATGAATGTATAAATTTCATATATTTGAACCGCGGAATGAAGAAATACATGCAGACAAGATCATCGCAGTTGAAGACGCAGCTTATGCAGCTGCAAAAAGAAAGCCTGAAAAATTCAGGCTTGCCGGGATTCAAACCTTGACCAATGTGATACCGGTAGAGCGCTCTAACCAATTGAGCTAGCTAAGAAGCTAACTGATATTAACTAATTTATTGACTCGAGTGATGCTTAAGAAGCTGAAATCTGGTTTAGGCCCTTTTTCTGTTCTTGTCAGCGTCTATTTTAAAACGACTGAAGTCAGATAAGGACCTCAGGAAGTTGTTTGCTGTTTGTATGACGCCAGATTGTCAGAAAATGTTTCAGTAATAGACGTTTTGTTTTCAATTCTTTAGGTTATGGCAAAAGATGAAGATCAAGGTTTTTTAAACTCCACCACCAGGGTAAGTGTCTTGCCTTCCTTATTTTCTGGTTAACAGATTTCAAACTCTACTTTTCTGTTTTCTGTTCCTTATACAATGACAAAGACTGAGGGCGAAATAAAAAGACAAAGAAATAAATTACAGCAAAAACCTAAATCGTTGTAAAAAGATCCCAGAGTGAATAAGTACGTTAACGGATGAATAATCGTTCTCGGGTAGAACTGAACTTGCATACGTGTTTACAAATGATTTGAGCGAACTCGAGGACAAAGCTTTAATATTCCTTTTTTTCTGACAGGTCAGCATCACCGTGTTTGATGTGAATGATAGTCCTCCTGAGTTTCAATCTGGTAGGCCAAATCATAAATAAGTTCTTTGAAATATGGCAAAGAGGAAACGTTATTGGGTGGTTTGCTTACACAAAAGCGAAAACTAGCAAGTTACTCAAAGTAACCAGTGAGAATTATTTAACTACCCCCAATCCCCTATTCGGACAAGAGTTTAGTCAGCAATACGTCGCTTGTACCCATTTATACACTTGGTTGAAGAGGGACGATGTGGTGCAAAGTTTAATATATGTATCCATGTAAGGAAGAACATGAAGAAATATTCCATACGTTCTGCCTTGAAGAATACTGTTACAAATTTTGGTAGCAGTGAGTGTTTAACCCAGACTTATTTAAAGGAGAACTAGTAATTGAAGTACTAAACTGAATACCGAATCTTCGCTATGTTTGAATAGTATTTAATGGCCGATTTAGTGGTTTGTTTGGCGTTGGGTGAGCAGTATTCTAAGTTGACTTTAACACCAGTTCTGCTGAGAGGGGGTAACTTTTTAATTTCCTAAATGATCATATAGAGGTTGGTCTTCTTGGTAATGCATATTTTGTTGCTTCAATTAGCTGTATATACTGTAAATATTCCTGAAGATGCGTCCATTGGCACTACTGTTCTAGTTCCTATAAGCAACGACAGGGACTCCTCCAGTAATAAAGAGCTTAGCTTCGCTATTACTTCTAGAAACTACCAGGTAACTGTCTCCCAGGTAATTAATATAACGAGCACTTTACTTAAGTTACGATGCAAATCAGATCCAGTGAAAAAAGATTCTGTTCCCAGTTCCTAGAACGCAGATTAACGTTAACTTAGGACTTAAAGATTTCAATCCAGGATTGATTTTTTTACAGATTGTTTGGGACTGTTATTTTGGGCTAATATAACCAGGATCAGCAATAACTTTTCAATCGAATTTTTAGATCAGAAAATTTTATTAAAATTTCGGCTTAATCCTCGGTTAAAGTTGACCATCTTTCAAGAAACCCGGGCCTGAATGTATTCCCGTCCAAGCTAACTTGTTTATTAGCATTCTTGTTCTACACTTTTACTAGTGTAGTATATTTTTACAAAGTGTTGTCAATGTTGAACATTAGACCCATTGACTACCTTGACCTGACATAACAATGTTTGATTCTTGTGCTGGTTTCCAGACCCCTGCACAGTTTGCTGTTGACAGTTCGAGTGGTGTTATAACTAGTTATCAAAAGTTCGATTACGATGAAAGCCCCAATGAATACACACTGACGCTCACAGCCACAGATAAAGGACACCCACCACTTACTGGGTAAATATCCTACCTGATTATCTCAAACATCGTTCAATTTTTTATGACAAACTTTATCAAATTTTCTTTGTGTTGCACCTGCTGGCCTCACGAGCTCGTTCAAGTGTGTGAACGCATGCATTTAATTACAGTTTCCGTTCACACTTAAACGATGGAACGATCACCGTAAACGGTCTCCAGTATTGGATAAGTTCGTAAACTGATATTATAGTTCTCGTGTGGAGTCTCATAAATGCATATTTATTTTGCGCGCCATGTTTTTACAACCCAATAGTAAACGAATTCTTATTAGACTGAGACTGGACAAAACGTCAAACGCTGATCTGATCTAGCCGTTGTTACGCTCAGTCTTTTATCCATGGCCGGATCTCTACCACTCTTAAGCATTTTGTTATTCACTCGGATAGATATCTAGCCGATTTTTTCAGAAAACCAATCTATCGAAATGTGCAGTCAGTTGAGTAAAAAGGCGTCAAAGGCAAGTTTTTTGGGGCTTCATAAGCTCCAAAATCACACTAACGAAGGAAAAAGAAAGGAGAAAAAGAAACAGCGAGGAGAAAGAAAGGAGGAGAAGAGAAAAAAGCAATGACTGCACTAGTAGTTTTTATAATGGCTACATTAGAGATTGTTTTCGGCCGAAAAAAACCTGTTGGACACAAAAGGTCCATTTGGCGGTAAAGTTTTCAAAAATCCGGCTATAAGATTCTGCGAAATGAGCAGCATTGATGCCAAATGGCCTAAAACGCCATTTGCCACTTTAAAATGGCACACTTTGAAAGATTGGCAGAATTCTTTGGAAACTTCTAGCCGATTTTTTGAAAACCAACCTATCGAATTTCCAGTCATTTGAGTGAAAAGGCGTCCGATAGGCAGGAAAGGAAAAAGAAAGGAGAAAAAGAAAGAGCGAGGAGAAAGAAAGGAGACAAAGGTGAAGAAGAGAAAAAAACAGTGGTTTCACTCTTAGTATTAATAACGGCTTCTTTGGCTGAAAAAAATAGGAAAAACTGTTGGACCGAAAAGGTCCATTTGGCGGTAACGTTTTCAAAAATCGAAAGTGCCGCATATTAATGAGTTTTGGCCAGTGAGAAGTTTCAATCGACCAATGCATTGTTAAACTATACGTCTTCTATCTTCTGATATGGGTACCATCTAGCCACAAGTGTTTCTCAGTTTTAGAAAGTTTTGTATGTCTTGATCTCTAATTATTATTATATTATAGGAAATGTATGTGTTTGTGTTACTTTCTTCGTTTGTCAAGTCCGTTATTATTAAACTTGATGTCACTAAATTTTATGGCGACATTTGCTCTACTGTTAACCTGTGGTAGGAAAAAAAGGGTCATGCCTATAGTAGCCTGAGTATCAGGCGTTTCGGGGGGAAAAGGGGAAAGATGCCATCTAAGATCTTCTCTTCCCCCCCTCCCCCCTTAGGAAGGCCTGATACTCAGGCTATGCCTTTAGCGTAGTTTATATGCATGCACATCAGGATGCACATAAAATCCCACGGGACAATGTTATATTGCTTTGCGGGTTTCTTCTTTTCAGAAATACAACGGTTATAGTGAAACTTGAAAATGTTAACGATAACACGCCTTCATTCACCAAGGTTAAATACGTGTTCACCGCAAATGAGGTAGGTAGTACACTGTATGTGGTAATATCTCATATCTCTTGCGTATCTAAGGACACTGGTTTCCATTTAATTCCTTCAAGTAATACTGAAATTTAAAACTATGTTGGCTTCTCAGTAGCAGTGAGATTGTTTCTCTATAATTCATTACAGGGGTCCTATGTTGGCAGTGGCAAAGTTGTTGGTCAGGTGACTGCCACAGACAGTGATAGCGATGACAAAGATTCAGTTTATGGTCGTATTAAGTATGAATTTGTCAACCAGTCGAGTGAGTATGCAAAACCATCATTTTTCTTGTTATGTGTTTAAATTGTGGGGATTTTTACCTACTCAGCTTAACACCTTTCTTACTGTGAGCGATCATTGCCCTTCATCGTTTTGAACGACTATGTGCAGTTACCACAGAGTCCCTGCAAATTTTGTCCTTTGTCCTAGGCAGATTAGGTAATGGCAACGCAACATTAGGGATTAGCAAATCACAGCGCCGACAGAACTCTGCGAAAAGATTAGCTATGAAATGTAAACCCCAAGACCAGATAACCCCATCACTGCAAAAACTGCACTGGCTCCCTGTTGAATAGCCTGTAAACGGATGTTGTTTTATTTTTCTTTTCGATAATCGGCGAGCGCTAGCGGTCAATAAATCCCCTCGGTTTAATTTGTTCACGCGCGCGCTCGACGGACTTTTAGGAGAAAATAGGGGGAAAATGTAGGGTCTGTGAACAGGCTACCTGTTGAAACGACACAGAATACTGTTTAATTAAAATCATCAATAGCTGCACTCCGGAATATCTTAGAGACTTGCTAGAAGCTTACATCCCCAAGCGTTCCTTGAGTTCTACAACGCAAGGCTTTCTTATTGTCCCCAAATCCTTCACTTCTACCTACGGGGACCGAGTATTTTCACTAGCTGCACCGAAATTTTGGAATAATCTGCCAGCAAGTATGAGAACAACGAGTTTAGAAGGAAAGTCAAGGCCTACCTGTTTCAGGATGCATTTTTATAGCTTCTTTGACAGAACTTTACATATTTAGGAAAAAAGGTTTCTTTCGTTTTTCACCATGATTAATTATATATTTATTGATGTAGTTAATATTTTTAATATATTGATTGTAACTTTAGGCCATGATAGAGTTTTATTTCTGTAAATGCATCGAGGCAATGCATATGCATTCCAAATACTGTAGTTATTATTATTATTATTATTCATTATTATTATTATTATTATTATTATTATTATTATTATTATTATTATTATTATTACTATTATTATTATTACTATTATATTAACATCGTTGATAATGTGAACACGCGGTTGTCTTTACTAAATCTACCTTTATCACCGTACTGGTACAGCGGAAACATTACTATCGATATACCAAAGTGCTTACTAAAGAAATATCAAACTTCAGAACCTGTTTAAGCAAGAGAGGATTAAGGCTTTATCCTCTCTTGATTTAGGCAATTTGGGCAGTTTATGCCTACAGTTTTATAGGGGTACAGCTTCTTTCTTCTATTTCGTTAGGTTTTTACCGCGATCATCAATGGCCTCTTGATAGCGAGGACAGTGGTAGAGTGTATGACTATCGAGGTGGAATTCAAGGAACCCTCAAAAACGGTGCATATATCTTCTCTGATCCAGTTCTCGGCAACGTAGTGTCGCTCAATAAGTCAGAATCCTGGATACTAATGGGTAACTTTTCAGGTACTGTTCATTCTCTTTATGTACACAAGAAAAGATTGTCCTTTTAAAGCAAGGACTTTAGCGACTTTAGCGTGACATACATTTGGACAGGAAGCGTGACATGAACTTGATTATAAATGCAAGTTGAACCACTGCATAAATTTTAAGGCAGTACAAATATGTTTCAAGTCCGTTGATAAATTCTGTAAGAAAGCAATCATTTGGAGAAGTTCGTGCAATAAAATTTAATTATCGAACATTGGTGGTAATATATCTGTGCTGAATATAAGCTCGCCCGCAATAATAAAACCCTGGAAAAACTTGCTTGTATATGTTATGGTGGGTGATTTTGACGTGAATATTATGAATACTTTTGATTTACTCCCACTAACACTTAAGAAATGCGTGTTTTAAGTGTTTCGTCGCATATTTTAGCAGACGTTGCGTGAAGAAAAATCAACTGCACACAGGCCTTGTCAACTGGTAAAAATTGAGAATAATTTTTTTGTTAACAATCGAGACACGGCTTTGTCATGTTAACGTAACATATAACAGCATTGTCGTTTATTAAGTAAGCTTAGCCGGCAGCGTGAGTCCTAGGCGACAAATCAAGCGTTAGATACAGAAGAAAACATTTAAATAGTCGGAATAAATGAGCATGATATTGTGCTTGTGCTGTATATATATTCTGTATTCTGTCTGTAATTGTATTTTAATGCAAGGGTCATCCACTAGATTAGCCTTTGCTATTTGGATTATCCCAACTCGCTCTCCATTTTGCTGTTACCGTTTTCTTATATTCCTTAGTTGTTCTGTGTTTAGTTGCCTATGTAAATTTAACCTTTATGTCATGTAAAACTGAACTAAGTTTAATAAATCATCTTGTCTTGTCCTGTCTTGTCGAAGCGGAAGTGAAAGAGGAAGTGAAGAGACTTTTTGACGAACGCTAGTCAAAGAGTTCCTATTAAAATTACAAATTCAGAGACTGCAAGGTTTTGAAGAAAGACCTTTACTTTGTAAGATTGTTTGTAAATTAGAAAAAGAAAAAGTATATATATAAAAAGAAAAACATGCTGCTAAAGGGATGACTACGCATGCGTTTAAATTTTCTATCCCACAATGGTCCGACTGATGGAATTGTGCAATATAAATACCCCATAGTTCGCTTTAAATGCACGAGGTCCGGACGAAGGAGGGTTATCCACGATTCTATAGACACCCCTCCTCCAAATACTTGACCTCTTTCTTGCCTTTTTAAATGTACTTCTTTTTCCAATTTATTATTTTTATTATGAGAGACTTTGAGATACGACAATACGAATACAAATTTATTTCATTGAAAAGCAATGATCATTTTATTTTAATACGTCAATATATCAACTTATAATACCGAACTTGCAACGAGACAAATGATCTCCAGTGGTGATTTTTTGTTATCAAAGATAAAATTGGCGAAAGCCGTTGCCTTGCTAATTAATTTCCTTGTTTTGTTTTTATTTTTGTGTTTTTGTGTTCTAGCACTGCTTACAACTTTTTGGAAATTTTCGGAAGAAGGCCTTTTACCTCTGATAAGTTAAGCGGATAAGAGTTAACTTAAACGACACGAAGCAAAACAGTGAAATTCCTCACTGATCAATTCCTTGTTCTTGAAATGGAATCACTGATCGGGGAATGAATGAGAATAGCGAAATGAGAAACAGCGAGGTGTTGAACCGATAAAGAACTCTTGATATACCGTAATCATTTCCAAATCAGAAAGACCACAAAAGAAAACCTCTTCCGAATATACGTCACTGGAACGATCCCTCTTTTTAGTTTTGATTTCATTTTACAGTTCACCCTTTCCTTCATTTTTTGTTTTATTCAGTGTACGAATATAAACTCAACGCACTCATTTTATTTTTATATGTACGTGAAATGTATATGTCAAATGTTCTTATCAAAGAGTCACACATGTCCAATACTCTCGACTGGATTCCAGTGGACAAAACCTGGAGTCCAATGGAGTCTGGTGGAAGAATGAAACCGGAAGTACAGTTGAGTCCACTCGAGTTACCGGAAGTCTAGTCATAAGATGAAACTGGAAGTGTAAAAAATACTTTGAGAGGGGGGTTCCTTTGATGTAACATATATAATCAGGGAGCCTCTCTTCAAATTTTAGTATTGCTATTGAGTTTGCTGCACCTTCATAGTTTTTGTTTTGCTTATTAAACCTGTTTCTTTTATCTTTTTCTCGTTTCCGTCGTCGTTGTGGTTACGCTGAGCTCGCTAGTAGCGTTACCACGCAAAACGATTCTTGATATAAGGGGCTGTTGGGGGCACCCAACGACGGCTTCCTTCAAAATACGTTGAAAACACTTTTAAGGCTATCCAGAGTACTTTTAGATCCCTAGAATTGTATTCTAAGCGGTGCTATAAAATTTGTACCTGTTCGGTCATCCAAGGGGAACTTAAGTCTTTTCGAAGTTACAAGGGCTTCAGTATTATTCCGAAAATTTTAGATGCAATTTAACTTATTGCGAAAGTGAGAATTGTTCTGATTTGTCTCTCCATCACATTTTTGAATCCGAAAATTTTAGGCTTCCTTCCTTTTTTGCACGAAAAATAGCCTAACCTAGGCGGTGAAATGTGGAAAATTAAACTTCAGAAAATGGTAGGGAATTTATCAGATAAGCTTCGAAAATTGTTCATGAATGGAACGGTCATCTAAAAACTTTTAGCCGTTCTCTGGTAATAAAAAATTCTAGGCGACATTTGCTTTTACGAACAGATATTTTACAGAAAACCATGGTTGATATGCCCCTGTTGATACATGCGATGATTTCAGTCGCCTCAAAACCCAACGATTTGGTGGAAAACGCGCGACGAAATCTACGTCCTCCAGTATTGATGGAGAGACTCACCATTGAATCGCGCTGCTGCAAGTCTCGAGAAGTTATTTTCGGAAGAGTGTATGTTCCGACGACGACAACGAGGCGAGAATTTATCCTAGCAAAATGTGAATGTAGACATTTCTCACTCGAGGCACGCGAAATTGGTTGTTTAGGTTAACGTGATATTTCGCCAAGGAGAAGCATCGTTCCAGATGTACGTCCAACAATGTTGAATGAATCAAAGTTAGGCCAACATATCAAATTTGTCTTGCGTCTACTGAAACGTTTCTCTAATCCTTGTTAGGTGACTGTATTAGCGATCCATCTAAGTGCTTTCATGGTTTGACAGTAGCGTTCTGGATCAAGTTCTTCTCTGGTCGCTTCATTATTTCATCTGGTGGACATTCCAGTTTCGCTACTGGATTTGACTTCTACCGTGAGTCTGCGGATGGCAAATTTATCCTGATATTAGAGACTTCAACCCAACAATGGAGCCTGCAACTGAACAACATACCAGAGGTAGCCAAACTAGTCTTTCTCTCTTCGCCGTAAACTTCCGCTTGTAACCTCCCCCCTTCACTACAAGCGCCCTCAGTTATAGGCTGTAAACAAAAAAAGAATGAATACGTCCGATCTTAAGCCCCCCTCTGACTGGTATTGAAAAGAATTCTATTTTTTACGACGTTTTGAAGGTTAAAATAGGACTAAGACGGAATCCATCAGGAAATTGAGTAATTTTAATTTTCAGTGGACAAAAAACTTGTACCAGAATAATTTCAACAACATGGCATTCTTTTTTACATTTTTCAAGGGCTATAGATCTAATTAGTTATGTGTAATAACACCAAAGAAAGTTCCTCGTGAAGCCCAAGAAAATAAATGTCCAAATTCACAAAATGACATCTTACAAATTAAATTTTCAGAATTTTGCCTGTGTTTTCAAAATTCTTGTGAACTTTAACATTTATTTTCTCGGGGTCCCATGGGAAATAGTCTTTGTTGTTACTGCAGATAACTAACTATATCTATAGCCCTTGAAAAATGTACAAAAGAATGCGATAGAGCCGTTTTCTCTTGACTGTCGAAAGGGATTGGTTTTGGTTTTACTACGCCCTTTGGTTGGCTAGTGTATTTACTTTGGTTTTGGTTTTACCACAGTCAAATGAAAACCGCTCTATTGTTTAAATTATTTTGGTGCAAGGTTTTTAACCTCTAATAATTGAAATTACTCAATTTCCTGATGGATTCTGTCTGAAATTCAAAAAGCATTTTTATCAGAACTACTATGGATCTCGATTTAAAACCGTAATTTTAGTCCGGTTATCAGCCCCCGGATATACCCCCCCATTTATAAACCTTCCTAAAACCCCTTACGAGGTTGTATAAGCCCAGGGCTTATGAGGGGAAGTTTACGGTATTTAATGATTTAGTTTGGCAAATTCCCGTTTGCGGTTCCTGGAAATAACTTGAGATTGCCTAAGAAAAAAAATGACTCTATAGGGTTAATAGATCTACTGGCGGCCCGTTAGTATCCACTGTCGTCCATAACAACGACTTGAAAAATATAATTTTATAGTTTTGATTAAACAGAAGAAGTAAGAATCCCGGATGGTCAGAGACAAAGCTGTGGTATTGGGTTTGTGTTTGGAGAAATCGGGATAAATGACGCTGAACACTCTGTAGTCTGTAGGCTTTTACCCTCTGACGTCTCTTGGCGTGTTTAGTTAAGCCTAAAGTTCGTCCCTATTTCAAACAGGAGTGGTTTTATGCGACGTTCACCTGGAGCCAATCAGCAGGGTTACGATATTTCCAGGATGGTCAGCTCATAGCATCAACCACGTCAGCACGGAGTATTGCACGTGCCAATGATTATTTCACAGAGATGACTGTCGGAAAACCAAACAATGACATCCCTAATTACCACAGCAATATATTAATCAGCGACCTCCTTATTTGGCGCATGCGCCTTACCGACGAGGAAGTGCTGCATTCTTACATGATATCTCGTAAGTAGTGATGATTTATATAGCGACCTCCTTTTGTAATTCTGAGATACGTATTAGTATGTTTAACCGTGGTTGTCTTAAATTGTTGATGCCAAGGCTAGTTTTGAGGTCGTTGTAGGTCGAGGTAGACCTATGAATAAAAGAGATAAGTTCCGATGAAAATTAACTGGTGTGGCGGGGGGCAGGGGGGTTTGGGGGGGTGGTTGTTAGGATAAAATCTAGTTCAATCAGATGAGTTTATAAATTAAATCAGCCGCTGTTTGTTAGAGCGAATCTAATTAAGGGTTGGCGCTCGAAAAGTCACTGAAACCAAATTTCCTGTTACGCTTTTATATACATTATAAGTTACACGTCCACGTTTTAACTAGCTCTGCCTCAGATATGCTTCTGGGTGATACGTGTTTAAATTAATTTGATTTATTAATTGAATTTTTGCTTTGTAACCATATATTTCGACTCTCTTGATTTCAAATTACCTACGATTCTAATAGTAATTCTAATAACTTTTCTTTTTTTTATTTTCGGTGGAAAGGGAACCTGATAAAACGGTATTTTCAAAATAGCTTGCATGAGACTTTATCAAGTAACCCTGAAAGGGTGAATAAATAATACTAATTAACAATCTTTACAAGCAGTTTTATAATTTAATTTTAAAAAATTATGCAGGTCACGTTACCGGCCAGGAAATGCCAAGCTCCCCCCAGTTCGTGGGGCAATTTACTATATCTAACGACGGAGAAATAATCGCCATTGGAGACCTGGATCGAGAAACTAAGGCGAATTACACGTTTGAAGTACAGGCAAGTGATTTGGATCCAGTTCACCCTCGACACAATACAACCGTGGTGGAAATAGAAGTCCTGGATTTCAACGATAACCCACCAGTTTTCAGGAATGAGAGCTACACCGCAGACGTGAAAGAACATTCAGATGTGGGATTTGTTGCAATCAAGGTGAGAAAACTCGATTGGCCACTGTGCTGCTCAAAGAACTATTGAATATTTGTAAAATGAAAACGAAGTCAGTGCTGCGCGCATAGTTGCATGTTGCTAGACGTTCATCATTTTTTTTTTCAGCAACCCGAAAGGAGTATCACAGCTCAGTTTTGGCAACGCATAAAAAAGCTATTTGCATGCTCAAAAATTAAAAAAACACGGTGAATTTTAGAAGTAAAATGAAATCCATAATAAGCAAAAGTCAAACAAACAACCAAAAAAAGCAATTTTCAAAACATGGTGATTTTTCCTCGACTCCTTGAAGCACTCATAGCTCTTTAATACCCAACTAACCTCAGTAAAATGAATTTGGCTTATTTAGGTTGAGGCAATAGACGCAGACCAGGGCTCTAACAGCCAGATATCTTATAGTATTGTGAGTGGAAACGTGCAGAATGCGTTCACTATAAATAGCGGAAATGGAGAAATCAAGGTGGCACGGGACATAGATAGAGAAAACATTAATCATTTTATACTTGGAGTTCAGGCCAAGGACGGTAAGCACTTGTTTGTACATGCTTGTTTAGCGATGAAGCTGAAGGTATAAATGACTAATTTGAGAACTGAGTAAACAATTGTTTACATTACAGTTTTAAAAAGTGACTTATTTGAAAATGTAAATAAAAAGAAAATTGTACAAATCCCAATTAAAAGACAAAATTGTTCATAACCCACAGTGGGTTTGTGCGTGGTTTGCACGGGAGGTTCCGATTACGATTCCCAAGATGAGCTCAAATCCTTGTTTCGACTTCTTTCCTTTCCGTTTAGCTTTAAGGAGCTTTAAATGCCCGTAGAACGGAGCAGTGACGGTGAGAGAAGGGTGAAGGGGGCGGTAAAATGAGCGCAACTTCGGCCTCAGGTTTGTCTTGATGAGTTGAAGTACTGTTAAAAGTTACCAACGTAAAACAAGGACCGTTACCTTTACCTTTTAGTTAATTGTAATCTCCATGTAGTCAACCAAGAGCCCATTATGGCTCTTGAGTCAACCCAGTCAGCAACTACATGCTAGATAAAACATTTATGAAAAGAAATTGTGGTATTTATATTGAACGTGATTACTTGCTCGTTAAAGCCTGTAGGTATAATACCATGCATCCCCCTGGACTATCTTAATCTCTTATGGCTCCTTTTTCCTGCATGCGCGCTTCTCCAGCTGTAAACTGCGAGCAGTCAGTCTCTTTTGCTCGAAAATCTGTGAGCGATAGCAACATGTGATTATTTGAGCGGAGGATTTAAGCCGCGTACAACGAGTTGTGCGGAGGCCAGTACGGGCACTCGCAAAACTCGCTGCTTGTGGCTTTGCCACTCGAATACTCACACATCCCACGTACTCTCAGATTTTCGAGCTAACGAGAGACTTCTCGCAGCCTACTCCAACTGTCTAATAATACTATCATTCTTGATGCGTTTCTAGGGGGATCTCCGACTTTGCAAAGTACTGTACAAGTGACAATAAACATCGTTGATGTGAACGATAATACTCCAGTCATAACTCCAAGTTCTTATGTGGTGTCTATTAAGGAGAATTTACCAGCTGGTCAAAGTGTTGTGCGTGTAAGTACAGACATATCTGTAATTGACCCTCTTTATGGGTAGCTGTGGACTTCGATTTCGTCGCGCGTTTTTCATCAATTCGACGGTGTTCAAGCGAAATCGTCGCATATCAAGGACTGTTTTGAGTTTCGATGGTTACCGCTCGGTTAACGAGCTCAGCGTAAACTCAAAACGACGACGGAAACGAGAAAATATATATACGCAAAACAGAAGCTCTGAATGTGCAGCAAGTTTTTTGGTCGGTTTCTTTGCCGTCATTGAAAGACTAACAGTATCAAACTTGATTGAAATGGCCACCTGATCGTCGATTTAATCTCTAGGATCGTCTCTTCACCAGTGGTGATCGTCTCGACTTTGATTTCGTCGGAAATACCCCCATCAGCGTTTATGGTCAAACGGTGAAATTCATTTTTTTTTCGACTTTGATAAGTTCCTGGTGCTGCAGAAACTTACTTCTTTGGTACCTCATTATTTCAAAATAACCTCTTACGCATAATTTAGAATCTGCGAGCTATAATCCGAGCTTTATCTGAGGCTTTCTTATGATTCCCTCATTGACGTCATTTTTCCTTCATGGAAAAGACGACAGACGATTATCCGAACGCATTACATCATTGGCCGATTTTCATTTTAATCCTTTTGTATTGGTATGATGCTTAATGAGAGGATTTTCAGGTCTTCAATTTCTTGGTATTGATAATACTTCCGTGTATTTTACTTATTGTTCGCCATTTTCGCACGGCACTAACAAAAACGAAAATGTCGAACATCCCATAAAATGACATTTAAATAACCAGAATTCCATCCCAAATAAAACGTGACATTTACATTTAAATAATGTGGGCTGTATTTGTTCATTCATTCTGTCCATGGTTTACTTTTAAAGAAATCAAGAAATTTCATATAAGAAAAAAGAGAAGAAGTCAGTTTGGTGGATAAATCCATATAAGAAAGGTTGTTTAAAACATATGCTACTATCAGCAACAGTGTATAGTTACGCAGTGCGTGAAAATTAGTTGTCAAATTTTCACTTTCATTTCGTTCCTCTTACATATAGTTTGTCGTGAAAGATACTGATCATGGAGAGAATGGTCAAGTTTCTTTCACCGTGAATAGCAACAAGTTTGCGGTAAATTCATCTACAAGTGTCCTGCACACAACGCAACCACTGGATCGAGAACAGCAGGCTCAATATCAGCTAACAATACAGGGTACTGATGGCGGAGGTGAATTTGCTAAGGTAGGTATCAAATATACCTGGTTAGTCTGGTCAAGAGTCAAGCCAACTGTCGGTTATCTAGGCGGTTTATACTGGCTACCATTGGCATGTAACCTAAATTTAAGACGAGGAATTTGAAAACGTCTTCAAGAAAAAAAATGAAATGCTTGATTTCTACCAGGAATTCGTAGTATGCGTTGTTGACTCGAAAGAGTCTTGATAATTAAAGAAAACGTGGATCAGTTCACTAAGCCTAAATGCTACATTTTGCCCTTAATGAGAAGCAAGGTGCGAAGTTTAAGAGAATCATTTACTGTCAGACTTGAAATTTTGAGAGTAGCTTTTAAGCACTCATTTTCCTTTTTTTTTTAGTGTGGAAGGGGGGGAGGGGGGAGGGGGGGGGAGTGAAACATCACGTATTAAATACTGAAACACTTTTCCTCTGTATCAAGAGAGAATGGTGGTCCCTACTTATATAACGGCGCCTACAAAGTGGTACTAGCACGTTTCATATCGTCCTTTTCTAAATGACGACATAACAAGATTATAATTTTACATACACATAATAACTGAAACTGAAATAACGTTCACACTCCCCACAGAGTTCCAGTTTATCAATAAAAGTTCAAGTGATGGACGAAAATGACAACTCTCCGAAGTTCACCAAGGCTGTGTATAAAGTAGCTATCAGTGAGAATGCTACTACTGGTTCTTCCATCGTCAGGGTGCTGGCCTCTGACCAAGATGAAGGAAGTAACGCTGACCTCGCTTTCACGCTGAAGCGTAAAGACGGGTTGTTTGTTATCAATGAAACATCAGGTTAGCTTATTTTTTGAGAGGCTTTCTTGAAGAGGAAGCTGTGAATTGTATGATGGTAAAGTTTAAAGACAAAACATCGCTGGGATGAGATGCGCTTAAAAATGACACGTTTCCTGTCAGTGTTTTTTTCAAATTTCCAGGACGGTAGAAAAAGAAAGAACAGAGGGGGGCTGGGGAAAGTGGGATCAAACTTTGTGCGAGGGATAGGGTAGGTTGGCGGAGAAGTGTATAGCTCTTATGCGCAAAGGAGGGCGAGGAGGCAAGGTAAGCTAAAGTAAGGTTTTTCGACTATTAAAATTCAAATGGCACTTCTTTATCTCCAAAGATATGCATATAAAACAACTGAATATCTAATTTCATGAGCCGCTATGATCTGTGGATAGAGTAGAGCACGTGGTTTGTTGAGGGGTTGGCCATTTTGCAATGTTTACTACTAGGAATTGCTCTCATAATTTTTGGGGGGTAAAAATAACTTTGCACAGATAAACCAAATAACAGCAATTAATAATACAGTTTCAGTATTCGAAGAAATGCTGATAAGACTCTTTAGCTTGATTGATGAGATTTTCCAGGAACATATTAAGTGCTTCAACTAAAATATCGAAAAAGGAAAATAAAACACTAAAAAAAGTCAAATCAGCAAAATCAAAGTGGAAGCTATACTAACAAGAAAACTGTTTTTTGCAGGTGTTATAAGTGTGATGAAAAAGGTTGATCGGGAAACCAATCCCAGCGGCTACTCTCTGGTAGTGACAGCTAAGGATCACGGATATCCTGTCTCCCAGTTTTCCACAGCGCTAGTCAATATAACTGTATCTGATGTCAATGATAATGCTCCTCGGTTTGACAAATTCACATATTTAGCTGAGGTTAGGGAGGACAGCAAAGTTAATACGGTGGTTACCATGGTTCATGCTGTGGACGACGATGAAGGACTCGCTGGAGAGATCGTCTACTCTATCACAGGTCTGTCTCTGTACGAACCTCTGTACAATCTATATAATGAATGATATTCTTCGCCCCAGTGATAGTGACTATAAAATATATGGTATAGTATAGTACCTAGATGTAACAAAACCTCATTGTAATGAATGTATTCTGCCAGCCTATTTCAAATTATATCAGAAGTCTTCTTTCAGCCTTGGTGAAAGTGCAGTATTCATTTTTTTAATGAACAATTTTTTTTGCTACAGGACTTCAGTCATAAATATACGGAACCTTGTTTTCATGACTTGAAACAGGGCATTTCTACAACTAGCCACCAGAATAAAAGAAGTTTATTTCATACCTTAATTAATACAAAATGTTGTGGTTTATTTTCTTTATTTTCAGGTGGTAATGTTGGTGGCGTGTTCGCCATTGACTCATTTGGGAATATAACTGTTGCTAATGAATTGGACCGAGAGACAAAGAGCACTTATGAGTTGACAGTCACTGCGCAGGATCGTGCAGGTGCATCATCCCCTTATCGATGCCGAAAGCAACGAAAAAAGTTGCGGATGTAATTTATATTTAAAAAAAGATGGATAAAAAAAAGAAGGAAAAAGGAAATGAAAAGAAAAGAAACGAAAAGAAAGAAAAAAATGGATTGAATAAAAGGAGAAACAAAAAACAAAAACAAAAAGAGCAGCAACTAAGAAAACACTCACAAATCCGTTTGTACATGTAAGTCGGGTTAATCTTTTCCAACGATTTGTTGGCATGTGGGGAAAGAAAGCAAGCACAACGACCATTAGGCTAGACAAATAAATCTGTATAAGCCATAAATATCGCAATCTTAAATATAGTATCTAAAATATCTAAGGAAGTAGTCTGCGAGCACGATCATTTGCAGAGGATCGAGTGAACTAGTGGCAAAACCGCGAGACGGCAAGGAAGGTAGTTGGGTCCCGTTTTTATTGCCCTCTTCGAGTGGGACTCGTAAAAACCTCTGCTGCCGCGATGCCCCAACAGAAAGCCTGCTCCAGAAAAAAAAAAACTAAGAAAAGAAGGTAGAAAGCGGGGTTAACGCATTGTTTTTTTTAGGTGATTCTAAATCAGGAAGCGTTGAAGTTGACATCACCATAACAGACGCAAATGACAATCCTCCGACGTTCCGCTTTATTCCGCTGGCCATTCTTATCAGTGAATCAGCTCTTCCCGGCACACCTGTTTACACCTTAATAGCTGATGACCCTGATGTCGGCAGTAACAAAGCTCTCACGTATGTAGGGAGCTCCCCTGAGGGAAAATTTGTAATAAACGCACAAACTGGTGTGATATCCACAGTGGGAAAACTGGACTTTGAAGAGCAGCAAAAGTAAGTATATTTGGTTGTATGTCAGTAAAGCCTTGGAATTAGTGACTTTAAATAGAAGCTATAAACTCGTGACTCCTACTTTCACAGTAATTTAGTGGTTTACCTCCCTGTTTGATTTCACGACAATAGAGAGATCTAGACTCACGCTTCCGGCAGGACACGTCAGATTCAAGTTGAGAATTGCCGAAATGGAAAATGAGCGGCTAAAGACAGTCCAAAACAATTCTTATGCATAAAACTAGTGTGAAACTACAAATCTTTTTGTAGAAGTAATGAACAGTCAATGACAAGTTAAGGGAAAACTTGGTCACATAGTACAAATTAATTTTGCCGTTTGCTGTAAACGTGTTTACTATTATTGATTTGTAAACGGACAGCATTTTAACTTGATTTAGGTACTGATCAGTTTTTATCCCCCTAGCCTAAAGTACTCGAGTTATTTCGAACTATATTTGATCTTGTACGATAACGGTATGTATACTGATCTGGCCCGAACATTTTCTTCGCAAAAATGAACGAAAGCCACTGATAAAAAGGGTGATAGTGCATTTACATTTGACTGATTTATTGGTTTTACCTATAGTTACACTCTATATGTGGTAGCCATGGATCAAGGTGTCCCGGCACTTAATAGTACCACACTTCATGTAAACATCACTTTAGTGGATGAAAATGATAACAATCCCAAGTTTGAGCAGGCCATGTACAGCGTGGAAGTCTGGGAGAATGAGACAATCGGCGGTCACGTGATACAGGTTAAGGCAACCGAGAGAGACTCTTCATTGGGTTCACAGATCGGTTACAACATTTCCGCTGGCGATCCGCAGGGACAATTCAAGATATTCTATCATTCAGTAAGTACTTGTAATAACTGGTTGGAGAAAGAAACAGGCCACTATCGCGCACACTGTTTAGCACCAGGCTGGCCTGGCTGGAAAGGTCTAATTGGTAGCGAAATTCTCTTTACTTAGTAACTGGTCCTGAGTAATGAAGAGGGCCGTAATACAAGTTTAATATTATCAACTATTAATCAGCTATATTACATCCAAAATACAGACTCTACTTCTCTCTTGTCAGTACTGGTAATGCCTGCAGCAATTAATCGTTTTCAATTTTTTCAACTATGAAACGTTCTAAACAACAGTAGGTATCGAATTCTTTTCTGCATTTAAACTTCACTTGCTTTTTCTAGGGAAAGATTGTAGTTCAGAAGCCGTTGGACAGGGAGCTGGTACCAAATTACACATTACGAATTACAGCTACCGACAATGGGAATCCTCCACGTTACGGAGAAACATCGGTAAGGGCAGCTGTCATGTGATCTACCTATTAACTGTACTTTTTTTGAAAAGAAGGATAAACAATTTTACAAAAACACTCTTTACGTTACCGTGACTTAAGTTTCGACTGACTTTCATCAACCTTAACATGAGTTGAGATTGATGGATTTTAAAGATACTAGACGATACATAGACAAATCTATTCACATTTCTTCTACGGACAAAAAGTTGTGCATTCTGAGGAAACAAATTGCCAGGCTAATAAAGAGAAAAAAAAAGAGAAAAATCACGTTTTACAGACTTCCTTTAAGTGCTGCCTATCCATGCTTTATCCAAAAGTCAATTAACTCGCTATCCCTTCATATTACTCCCTTCTATGACGATGCAACTAGTCAGATTGTCCACCTAATATTTTCGGCTTGCCTGTGCCGAGCCTAATAATACCTTCATTAACTATGTTTGATTGTTATTTTAGGTTACAATCATACTGAAGGATGTTAATGACCGCACGCCAGTCTTCCAATTCCGTGATTATCAGAGTGAAGTCTCAGAAGACAGCCCTGTTGGCTCAACTATTACCACGGTCGAAGCAACTGACAAAGACAGTGCTGAGAATACTGCGGTAATAATTAAGTAAAATGGCTTACGGTAAAACCTGCTTTGCCCTAAGCCTAAAGCCGTTATCTGAATACCTTGAAAACTCTTGACTTCACTGGCTTCATCATCAATTCTCCGTTAATTACGTCAGCTCTTTCGTACGTCTCCATGTGCTGTCAGTTTATCTTTTCCTGATTAAGGTTCAGCCAAAAACAAATTTCTATTTTTTGAAGGAAAAAACAAAAATGAAAACCTTTGGGGGTTAAAAAAATAATAATAATAAATAAAAGAAGAAGAAGAAGAAGAAGAAGAAGAAGAAGAAGAAGAAGAAGAAGAAGAAGAAAATAAATAATAATAAAAACAACGTCCCCTTTATCATCCTACCTTTGCCTAAAATTTTAAATGAGCTCTTGGGTGATTATTTTAGGAAATGCGGTATGCAATTTCTTCAAAAAGTTAAAAGTAAACAGTGGACCATTTTAAAAGCCGTTACTGTTACTTACGTCGGTTGTAGATTGAAGTGTTTGCCGCTCAGAAAATGAAGCCTCAATCACTTACCATGGCCTCCCTTTCAGTTAGGCACAATGTTAAGAGTGAACAATGCGGGGTTTGCTTCTTGCTATAAAAAAAGTATCCATTTTTGAAGGAGCGACACATTTTTCAGAAAAGAACCTTATTTGTTTCTAGTTTCAGTTTTCATTCTAATAAAATATGGGGACAGCAACTAAACGCAAGAGTTTTTTTTTTCATTGAAGTTTTCTTTTTTTCAGCTGATATATAGCATTGTCAGCGGTGATCCAGAAGGTCAATTGAATATGACAACAATAAACGATGACGGGAAATATTTTGGAGTCATAACGGTTGCTAAACTCCTTGATCGAGAGACGAAGGACGTCTACAAACTAAACGTAACTAGAACATATTTTATAAATTAAAACCTTGTCGCGTTTTAATTGCCAACCGCAACTTTTCTACCAATTGTAGGAAAAAAAGTAATATGATAACTTCAGGAAGCAGTGAATTGAACACGCCCTGTAATACCTGGATTTAGACTTTTCATCATTTTATTCCCCATTGCCTGGAAAAAAGACCCTCATCCCTATGAGGGCCGGGAGGATGGGACCAGTGCATTTTAAGTATATAATTTAGGATACTCTATTTCCCTCAAGCACTCACGTTTTATACTTAACGTCAGAAACTTCTTTCGCTACACACCGGGTCCAAGCTGTTGAAAAGGTGGATGACGCTATCCACCGGATAAATATCAATACGGAGGATAACGCAATTGGTTTTCCTAATGGTGTTTTATCTATTCTTTTTTATCCAGTGGGTGGCACTATCCTGCTTTTGAACAACCTGGGCCAGGTATGGGCCAGGTATTGAGCAGAAATTGAAGGCACGCGCAGCAGGCGTTTTGGACACGTCCTTAATCTTAGACTTTCCTATCAATAACTACCAAGAGTCAAAACAAGGCCAAAGTATGACAACTGAGACCCCTCTAATCCTGATCTTACGTTTGCAGATAATGGTGTCAGATAGTATCCATAACAACTCAGTTATGTTAGAAATACGACTCAAGGACGTCAATGATCGGGATCCTGAATTTAATACTTCTATTAAATATTCTGCCAATGTGACTGAGGTATGTACTTTTCTGATTCTTCAAAAAAAAAATCGAAAGTCGCAAAAATGTGCCCGAGAAAAAAACTGAGTTTTAATTTGTTATTAACCATGTTAAATGGTATAATTCACCTTTATGCATCTGCTAATTATCGTGCGTTTGTCTGTGTTGTCTCTATTTACTTTCTAAGTAGTATAACATGATTACTTTAACAGAACTCTCCCGGTGGACTTTTTGTTATGCGTGTTTCTGCTACTGATGAAGATCTAGGCTCAAATGCCAAGATAACTTACAGTCTGGAAGGTTGGTGTGGTTCTGATCTCCTTTTAATTGACAGCCAGCTGACAAATACTCTCAGTATGCGTTAGCCTGTTCCAGGCTCTCAGGTATTGGGGATAACGCGTGAATGAAAGGCGCGCGAAATATAAAAGGAGGCGGTGGCGGGAGTTTCCTCTCATATTATTTTCGTGTTCGTACCTTCTCAGTTTCGCGGACCCAACTATCTCGGAGCCTGGAACAGGCTAAGCGTGGGTGATATTTCTGAAACGAAAGAGAAATTAATCGACGTGGACTTTTAAGACGCATAAGGGAATACAGTCGATTCTCTCTTAACGGACACCTTGGTAAAACGGACGCCTGGAGTTGGTCCCTGCCTTTCTTTACTCCCTTCAGTTAACTCTCTATTAGACGGACATCACTCAAAGATGGACACTTGGTGCCTTAGATAGAGTTAACTGTATACTGATTGAAATGCGTCTCTAATTAACAGCTACGATTTCTTTTTTGCTAAAAGAAAGGAAGAAAGAAGGAAAGAAATTAGAGGGATATAAAATTAGAATTTCTTCCACAAAATTTGTTGAAGTTTGCCACTGCTAAATGCACATGTAAATACTTGTCATAGTTAACAACGACTGACGAAAAAGAGTTGTTGTGATCAAAATATGTTGTAATAGACAATACCATGTGGTTATCGTTTTTCACCATGATCACAGGATCAGAAGGAAAGTTTACTATGGATGCCAGTACTGGAGAGATCAGGACAAGCTCATCTCCTCTTGACAGAGAAGACAAAAGCATTTATCGAATGACAGCTGTGGCATCGGATCCAGCAAACAAACAAGTGCGTCATGCTTTTAATTTGAGGAAAATGAGAAAACAGGAGACATTTTTGCGACACCACCACTGGTTTCTCCGCGAAATGACGTCTAAGAAACGACTGCAGAAATCCCACACTGATGACGCGTCACTCTTCAAATCTTGGTAGTGCTTCTGATTGGATGAAGCAAGTTTTCAGCCAATCAGATCAGCATAACCCAGATCTGGGTAGTGACGCATCATTGAGTATAGAATTTCTACGCTCGTTTCTCAGACGCCATTTCGCAGGGCACGCAGTGGTGGCGTCACGAAAAGTCGGCTGTTTTCTAAGGCTAGACCTGAGTCAAACTTAGCAATTTATAACGAATAGTTAGTTTAGAAAATTAAAACCAAGAGTCACTTTATGTCTAGAAGAGCTACAGCTCACCACAACAATACTGCTGAAACTCAGCTCTCATTTACAATTTCTCTTCATTCCTCAAAGGGCCGTAAGGAGGTGACTGTTTTCGTTGCTGACCTCAACGATAATGCTCCTGAGTTCGCTTCTTCTTTGGAGACAGTAACTATGACTGAAGGAAACTCCACGGCTGCTAAATTGGTTATAAAGGTGAATGCCACCGACAAAGATGCAGGAGATAGCAAGCAAATTACCTATTCTATCACTGGTGGAAACTTGGGTCAGGTCTTTCAAATTGACAGCAATACGGTAAGTTTCAGAACTGTTAAAGCTGTTTTCTATCCTCACATGTTTTAGACGCAGTTTAGACGAAGGAAAGATTGGAATATGTCTAAGGATTTTTGTAAAATACTGCGCGAGAGAATATTTGGTAACCATTGATTTACTTTAAAAAATGAAAAGTGTTAACAGCCCTTAGTATTTTCTTTTGTTGCCCTTTTTTTCTTCAGGGTGTAATCACTACACGAAAAAATCTTGACCGTGAATCACCAGGTCTATCTGTTGATGCTGATGATAGAGGGGTGTATACACTGACAGTAGAAGCCGCTGACCATGGCATTCCTGTACTGCGCAGTACTACAACGGTAAATATCATGAAAATCGTGTCGTATTACTCTAAGCGGTTAGGGGGAATATAAATCATAAAGTTGCTAATGAGCTTGATTTGCTGTTGTAGATTCGTGTGCTTGTCAAAGATATAAACGATAACACGCCTTATTTCCCACCCGGTGGATACAGTGTTAAAATATCAGAGGGTGCTAAAGCAAACAGTGACGTTATCGCCGCAGTGGCTCAGGACCCAGACGCAGGAACCAACAGTCAACTGGTCTACGAGTTGATATCTGGGAACACTGAAGGCAAGTTTGGTGACTTCACGCCACCCGAAGAGCTTCGGGTCACGCTTAATTATTCAAGACAAATAACCTTTGAATTGATTCCTTTCGCTTGCAAAACATCTCGTTTTGTTATTTTCCTTGAATGAGGCTGCCCTATTAAAATAAACAAGAACGTCCTCTTCAAACGGGAATGCCAAACAACTAGGAAGATATTGAAGCAATGTGTTTATTGAAATTTCATCATCATCATCATCATCATCATCATCATCATCATCATCATCATCATCATCATCATCATCATCATCATTTATTATCATCATCATCATCATCATCATCTTTCGAGGAATCGGGTCCCGAATATTAGCTGAAATCGCGTAGAAAAAAATAAATACTTACTAACATAGTTGCTTTCATTGCAGGCGACTTCACCCTTGATCCAAACACAGCGATGATCAGAACTCGCAAGAATCTTGAACGGCAGCAAACCTTTTCCTATACCCTAACAATTGGTGCGTCAGATCAAGGGAGCCCCTCAAGGGCCAGTATGGTAAATACACTAACGACTGATTACTGAAAGTACGAACATCGTATTATCTCTTCTAGTCGTGTCAAATCTTTCGCGTCAATTGAATCAACTGAAAAAAAAAGATATGTATGTAAAACAATTTTCCATTGTCTAAGACCTAACTCAAGGGGACTAACCAACGGCAAACAAGTGGCTTAGTGACTCCTGATATTCCAACTTCATAAGGCGAAATCTTAAAAATGTTTCCAAATTAGAAGGGTGTGCATTCCTTACGGTGGCATACGGTGGCTGTGAAAATTGTCCTTAGATAGCCAATTACCGTGAAACCCCTCTTACGACTACCCCGTTAATACGACCAGCTCAATATTACGACCAGGATTTTATGGCCCATCGGTGGTAACAATAACGCAGTTCCACGTGTTTTTGTTTCAGACGCAAGTATATATTGAAATTGGCGACATAAACGACAATGATCCAGTATTTGATCCAGTGAACTACACGGTATCTGTGTATGAAAACGAGCCTGCGGGGACTCCGTTGATCAACGTAACAGCCACTGATGCTGACAGCGGACAGAATGCTGAAATCACTTACAGCGTGACAGGAGGGGACCCATTGTCTGTCTTTACCGCAATGACAAAGGTAGGTTAGAGTACTGTTACAATGAGCAAATTGGCCAAAACACTTGTCGTATTTGAGGAATTCTAGTCTAACTACATACTTCATTTTTAATTTACAGGATAACTATGGTACAGTTCAGATTAAAGGCCATGTAGATCGCGAGCAAAAGAATAACTACACTTTGAAAGTGATGGCTGAGGATGGGGGAGTGCCATTGAGTAGAAAGGTGATTTTCACTGAACTCAAGATGTAATACTTTGACAATACATGGTAGCAACAAGATTTCTCCTTTGTAGCTACTTTCTGTGAGCGTCTTTGTTAATTGGGGTCAACATCTAACTTACCGTGAATTCTTGGATTAGCGCCCAGGGAGCTTGTTTAATTTTTTGAAAGGAGAGCAGGGGGGCGCCAATTCGATCGCTAGAGGCACTTACTTAAAGAGAGGGGGTGCCTATTTTGATTTTCAGCTTAGGGTCTTAAATTAAAATTGTCTTTATTTCCAGTAAATGCGCACTGTGACAGTAAATTAAAAGCTGGCGTGTATGTAAGACGAAACCCAAATATGTGTGAGGTAGCTGACAAAGTCCTGATTCCTCTAAAGTCCTCTAAGTTCTGGTATTTTTTCCTGGTAATTTTTTTCTTTCTTGGCGGATGTGTAGCAAAGGCACTTATTTGGAGTGGACGTTTATTTAACATTTTTAAACTCAAGGGGCGGGGGGCAGACTAGAAGTGGGGGGGGGGTATTTGAAAATAGTTTGGATTCGAGCATTTATGTTGTATGTTACGTTAACGTATTGCACGTTTTGAATGATTTTAGTTTGTAAATTGGTCACATTTTGTGCGTTCTTTAATTTGTGACTTGAGGTTGACAGTCTTTTGTTTCTTTTTCAGGCGTTTGCTACAGTGTTTGTAACAGTACTTGATAGGAATGATAATCCACCTCGGTTCTCACAGGCTTCATACACTGGGAATATAATAGAAAACTCAGCAGCCGATACTACCGTCAATATGGTGAGGGCAGGAATTGGTGGTATCTTTTTTGATTCATATTCCGATTTTGAGACAACTATGGGGAGGATTGGGCATGAACACTCACTTGGCTTTCAACAGCAACAACGACAAAAACATATGATTAAAAAATACAAAGGAAATGCCTCAGACTATCAATGAAATGTGTCAAGTGAGCAGACTGCTCTTAAATAGGCCAGAAGCCCACAAACAAACAAACAAAAAAACAGTAACTAAAAGCAAGCTTCTTTTTATGTGTAATACTTGTAAATGCTAACACAGTGTCTTTTAGTAATTCGTAAAAGACCACACTTACAAGTGCAACTTGTCATTTCTTCCCAGATTTAACACTATAAACTTCTATAGCAATGGAAAAATTGGTTCTCATGGTTTTGAAGACGTTTGAATCCTTTTTTTGTGTGTACCCAATAGTGGCACACCAACTGCAGTTAACGTATTCATTTGATTTTTATTACTTGTTCATTTTGCAGGATCAAGAAATCAAAGCAGAGGACCCAGACCTGGGTCTTTTTGGCGAAATACAGTTTCATTTAAATGGCTCTGAACGGCATCAATTCATTATTGATCCAATAACAGGAGTGATCTCCACCAGGAAGTTTCCACCGCCGACACTAGACCACGAGAAGATCGGAAACTATTCTTTTTATGTTGTAGCTGTTGACGAAAGAGGAACAGGGCGTAAGTCTTTTGCCCATGTCAAAATACAAGTCATAGACGCGAATGATAATGTTCCTAGATTTGAACCATCAACGAAAAACGTGTCTGTCAGGGAAGATTCATCCGTTGGTTATTCAGTAATTCAAGTTTCTGCCTTCGATCCAGATTCTGACTTGAATGGTAAAATTACTTACTCGATGTTGTCTGGAGCTGATGGAAAATTCGAGATCGGAAGGAATGATGGCATCATACGTGTATCGGGGACCTTGGATCGAGAAATAAAAGGCCATTATTCCCTAAATGTGTCTGCTTTAGATGGCAGTTATTACCCTCTCGAAGGGTTTGGTATGGTATATGTTGCCTTGTCAGATATCAACGATAACGCACCCACATTTGACTTGTTAGTGTACAAAGTAACAATACCAGAGAATTCTCCAGTCGGCAGTTATCTAGTAAACCTTACAGCTAAAGACCAAGATCTTGGAATAAACGCAGATATATCTTACTCCATGAACCATCCTAAGTTTACAATTCACTCTAAAACTGGGAGCGTAACAACAACAGGAAAACTGGACCGCGAAATGCAGGATACATATTCATTCACTGTGCGTGTTCAAGACGGAGGGGTCTGGAGTCTAGTGTAGCAGTAAACGTAGTCGTTTCAGACACAAATGATAATATCCCGTATTTCGTAAGCGCAGGTTATAAAACAGATGTTATGGACAAGACACCAGTGGGAACGATTGTGCTGACTGTAGTAGCAGAAGATAAGGATACCAATGAAAATGGACGAGTCGTGTATTCCATCGCTGACGCCAAAGATGGTTTATTTGACATTGATGCAAATGAAGGATACATAAAGTAAGAGGATGCGTGTTAACTAAAGACATATCTATGGCTAGTATATTAAATGTTTAGTTAGCGACGTGGATAGTCAAGTTTCCTCGTTGGTTGGCTGCATGCCTCATGCTCAGTTGACCCTCTAACTGCTATTTGTACCCTTAACCCCTTAAGTCCCAAGAGTGACCAAAGTCAATTTTCTCCTAACAAAATCAATACATAATCAAAGGAAAATGTTGTGAGAATCAATGAAATAATCACATGATGGGAAAAGCTTTGATCTGCTATCAAATTCTCTTAACCAATTCTTGCAGGAAATGTATGGAGATCAGTCTCGAGAGTGTATTTGGATACTGGGGCTTAAAGGGTTAATTCACCACAAAGATCTCACCCTGCTCCCGTCTGCTGGAACAACGATAATCTTGTGGAGAAGTCAAAGATTCTATTTTCACCATTTTATAGGAGTTTTTCACTTATTTTTCTCAATCCCTTGTAATAAGGCATTCCTTTATTGCGACTATGGTGCTTGATTTTACTGCAGTAAGGCTGAGTGCTCAACGTATTGATCAAAGCTCCGGCCGTTTGGGCCTTTGGCTCTTGTGCGCTTTCACCTTTTTTTACCTTCCTTGATTTCAAGTCTTTGCTTTGCTTTCTTAGGGTAAAAAAGCCTATCAGTCGCATTGATCTCCTCCAACGTGGTGTAATCAGTGCCAATGGTTCATTCCTTTTCAAGGTGGTAGCACGTGATCAAGGGAACATTCCACTTTTGTCGAACACAACCGTTGACATAAACATTGTTGATGTGGGTGATGATAGCCCTGTATTTAACAGGTAAGGACAGTAAGAATTAGATAGGAAAGTAAGAGTACGGTGAGTTGATGATTGATTTTGATTAACGATGGTATAAATGTGATAGGCGATTAACTTATTCAGTTTGCAAATCGTGTCGATAAATCGTTTGAGTGTGACTGATTATTAAAAGTATCCTTTAGAATTTCTTGAACTGCGGGATGAATCCGCCTTTCCCCTCTGTAATTTCAAAAATACATGCACGAGGTGAATTACGTGATATGCTATTCCAGAGAGGTGCTAAGCGGCCGTTTCAAAATAATGCCAAACAAAAGGTAAAGGCGTACACGCTTTTGGCAACACGACTCTGCAGCAGTGACGGACCAACTACAAACTGAAAATCGTTTTCCTTGTTATATGTTGATGTTCATTGTTTTTCTAAAAGGTCTTCTTATGAAGTCAATATAACTGAGAACAATCCTCCTGGTACCTCAGTTCTACGAGTGACGGTTACACAGCACAGACCTGGAGCAATATTGACCTACAAAATTGTACCTTCAAATAATGAGTTTCGAATCAACAAAAGTACGGTAAGTGGTACCCTGGCTCTAGAGGTCCGTTGAAACAAATCGTGCTCACGGTTTGATAAGGCTCTCCTTGGCGCTTCGAGCCTCGTTGACGCGGCTTCGCCGCGAACCATCAGTATCGATAAGAAAAAAATATCCTCTTGAACCCAGGGTAGGTAAGTGCTGGATAGATATCAGACCACATAGTTTCCGCGCCATCAGCATTTTTTGCGAAACCTATCAGTATTAGCTTTTGTACGTTACGAAAAATAGTCGTTTCAAATGCCATTTGCATGCGATCATATCAAATAGAGGCGTCAATAATTAAAAAGGTCTAATTTTTGATACTCCAATCGGTAGTGTCGCAACATGTGCAAAATTTTTCCGAAGCCCTCGTAAGCTTCTCCAGTTTTAATACACAACTTCTACACAACGGCTTTGACAAGAGGCTTAACGTGACCGAAACTGAGTTTAAATAGAATACGTGGGAAATACGTTGCATTTCTGTTAAGAACAGGAAACCCGCAAATATATGTCAATCTGTTCCTGGTTTTGCTTTGTCAAGATCCTATTTTTTCTTCTCTGGAAAATAGTGTGTCATTCTTTTAGGGTGAAATCTCGACGGCGACTTCCCTAGATAGAGAAACCAGAGACATCTACGTGCTCACAATTCAGGCAATGGATAACGGTCAAACTCCACTCAGTGGTTATACTTCGGTAGGTAGATGTTATGAAATTTAACGTACTTGATGTTAAAATGTGTTTATATGAAGTAGAGAGATTAAGATTCACGTTTACAGCACACGGCAAACGGCAAACGTCAGTTGAGAATTTCTCAAAATAGAAAATAAGCAGATAAAAAAAGTCCAGAACGATTCTTTTGGATAAAATGCAATAAACGTTGAACGAAAAATAAGGGGAAAAACGTGGTACAAATTCGTTTCGTTTGGCGTAAAGGTGAATTATCCCTATTGTGAATTTCTGAATGCTTAGGAATCTCTGTTATTTTTCGTTTTCAGTCCAGAACCTTACCATAATCTAACCCTTCAAAGGGTTTTTAAAAACAATACCAGGATTTCGAGGGTCCTGGACTGTCACACAAGTTATAAATTGCTTACAGGCAGCCACCCACGTAATATGATGATGGCTGAACTTACTGTGTTAAGGAGCCAGGTATCCTACAGAGCGGGCTCTTGTCATGAGAAATATGCAACAAAATTGCGGTAGAAACTGACTTGCATTTATTAATTTAAGTTGGGTTAGTGGGTTAGTAAATTGTGACAGCTTTGAAAAATAATTTCAGGTGACCGTCCATGTTACGGACGAGAACGACAACGCTCCCCGATTCCAGTTTTTTTCACCTCACAAAATGAACGTGATGGAACATGCACCACTGGGAACTGGAGTGGGTCGAGTGCAGGCGTTTGATAAAGATCTGGGGCAGAATGCTTTGTTTGAGTACGCGATCACACACGCCAACATAGGTAGGAAAAAACAAATGTCAATGATAGCCAATAACAAGGGTTAAACTATGTGAAAATAAATGAATGGCACAAGATTCCGCCAAACGATGGACCAGGCCTGCTGACGTTTTCAGACTTCCTTATCCATATTCATTCAAAACATTACGGCGTTTCTACTCAAATCCGCCGATGCGAGCAATATACTATCGATTCGATGGTATAGGGGGCCTTTTGGCCTAGGTGGATATTATTCTCCTCGATCCGCATAATTTTTCTTATCATACTCAGCTTCTTTCAATAATTGGTAATTATTATTCATTAAAAATATTTCTCCGTTTCTGATTGGCTAAAATCACACATATAATTCCTCATAACCAGCTACTGTTGACCAAATTTGATAGAATTTTGCCATATTAAACCGATGACGTCAAAAGTGTAGCAAAGTTGCAGATGATTGACCGTTAACCGAGAAGACCTGGGGACGAGGTTGAGTTGTTTTGGTATAGTAAGAATAAAAATGGCCAAACGTTTCACTCGTTTTACCAGGAAGACATAGGCGAAATTTTGGCTAAAAACATAGTAAGAACAGCAACAAGACGACTCGAAGGACGACATCTGCTATTTGAACAATATTTGCGGAGCTGAACGACCTGTGAACGACCCTTTTTCTCCTAAATTTGCCGATTAACGTGCACTATGGAAGATGAACTTAACATCGATGGAGGCAAGCATGTTTTAGCTTGTTTTTAAACCAGGAATTATTTTGAGTGAATATTGAATTCGGCTTTCTTATCACCTGGCCCGAGTTGTTCAAAGCTGGGTTAAGGTAACCCAGGGTTAGTGCGAGATTTGAGTTCAGATTTGAAAGTTTAAAAAGCATTTCAGTTTTAATTCTTTTTGTCTACAACTTGAAAGCTCTAAAAATAACAGAGAAAATTACCCGAGAAAATGCTATTGAACGCCAGAAAAAGAAACCTGGGTTAAATTTAACTCCGGGTTAAGCGCTAATCGGCCTTCGAGCAACTGGGCCCTGAAGAATTATGGAGATTGAGGAGGGTGTTATCCTTATTCAATAATGTCAGCCTCATTCAATAATTGTTAAGTATCCCATACTCCACTGTGGTCCCCTTCCCGTTAATTTATTTTTCATGCGTTATTGCTTTTAAAATAGATAAACCGTAATAAGCTTTGCGGATTTTATTTTTGAAAATTCAGATTTCTTGATATAGTTAGTAATGACATATTTTTCATACCTGAAGACTACTATTTAATATTTGGAAAATCGTTTTTTCGGTTTTAGTTCATTGTGAGTTTTTCGCACTTTTTGACTAAACAAAGTGCACTTAAATTTTTGCTAAAGGTCCTGCGCTATGAAGGTCTGCTACCTATGGGGAATCACTGGATAGTTTGTGTATTTATTCTTTCTTCAGCCACCTGCTTTTCTCTGTAAAGCGTTCGGCCCTTGTTTAAGGTAGTAGTTTTTAATTTCCATTTTGACTTGCTATGTTTTTTTTTCAGGTCCAGGTCAATCAGTCGTCTCCATAAATACTGAATGTGAATCGCCTTTGGGCCTAGAAAGTGGTGGTGTCAAAGCTAGTGATACCACAGCTACAAGCACATATACTGTCCCAAACGAGGATTACTCCCCGACGCTAGGCAGGCTAAATAACAAGGTGTTCAACCAGTTTGGGATTTCATACAAAGGTAAGAAATATCATACCATACCATGTATCTTTTGAACCCATCTTCACGAAAGGTAGTCGTACCATTACCGTAGCAGTCTGTGTAGCAAGATTTGCCGCAGCAGGATTAGTTCATCGGTAGAGTGCTTGATTGCAGAACGAGATGTCGTGGCTTCCATTCCCGGGGCCGGACCGATACTCAGGGTCTTACAAATAACTGAGAAGTGATGATTAAGACTGCCTTTACCCTGCAAACTGCTAGAACTTCGCGTGGCAATGATGACGGTCCCGTTTCCAGTAGGAGACGAAAAAATAGTCTGTTCTCAGTTGGTACTTAGCGCTAAATACATTGACAATCAAATAAAGTGTATTTCTTTACATAAGTCTCGAGCGCTCGATCTCGACGATCTTACGGAAAAATAAAGGATTGTAAGCAGTCTAATTATATTAAGGTACTGCGGCTGGTATTAAGCGAGCTCTACTGTAACTACGCATGCATCACAAGAAACAGTTTATGCATTACCAGAAACTTTTTGATAGAAATGTCCAACAAGTGGAAAAAGAAAACGAGAGGGATTGTTTTACCAGATTCCAGCTTTAGTCACTTTTGGCCTCTTTCAGACTTGCTTGGTTATTCTTATGCTTGGTGATTTGTGTTTTGTTTTAGGCGCATGGTGCGCGGCCAATAATAACGACCAACAATATCTGCAGATCGACCTTGGTGGAATGAGAAAAGTCACACAAATTGCCTCTCAGGGGAGACCCGCTTCTAATGATTACGTTAGCAGCTACAAAATATCATACAGTCAAGTTGGAAACTCTTTTGAGTTTCATAGAATGGTAATTACAGTGTTCATTTCTACCTCTGTTAGAATATAAAATACAGAATTTTCCTTTTTATTAAAAAAGCTATGTATAAGATAAGATCAATGAGCAAAACCCATCAACAGCCAAGTGCCAGCATCCAGGGAGGAGTCTTCCACAGAGCTGTGTTATCCCAGGACCTGGATAGATACGTTTTCCGTTACCTATAAATATATAAGTCTGCATTTTGATAATCATTTTGATTACTACAGATGTATCGTATTAATTAATATATATGCGATATTGACCAAGGTTGAGGTCATAATACTGGATATTTGCCAAGTGTTTTTGGTTTGCTTTTTTACGGCCCGAGATGAAGTCGCGACAATGGATTCTTCATTCTCTTGCGAGGAGAAAGCGGGAAATCCCGAATGGCCATTAGATTAGCCTGTATAATAGGCGCTTTATTGAGCCAAGCGAGGCGAACGCGGCATTTTGCACGACGCGCGAGAGGAGGGGAGGAGAACAACCCTCTTGCCTGCTTAAGTAACCAATCAGAATACAGGATACGCTTCAACTTTCCCATTTGTGGAGGCGGCTGAGTGAACCGTATAATAACCCAGGATTACTAAGATGACTGCTTTTAGCTGTACTAGCTTTAAAAAACCATGAAATTCTCTTCTAAGGTTTTCCCTGGAAGCAATGATGGTGACAGCATTCAAACCAACAGAATTCTTCCTGCATTTCATGCACGTTATGTGCGAGTTCATCCTCAAAATTGGAACGGACGAATCTGCCTAAGGCTTGAGTTGTATGGCTGTGAATCAACTGGACAGGACGAAGGTATATTATTTGATAATGTTTTGCTAATGTCTCAGTACAATGAGTATGACTGAACTACAAGGTTAGAGTGGGGAAGATAATTCGTTTCTCGTGCAAAGATGCGTTTTTAGTTGATGTCAACCTATTTTTCTTTATTTAGTTACCCTCCCTTTTCTGATAAACCCGGATACTGGTTATATCAATATTTCATCAAGTTTGGACCGTGAACACCAGGCTAAGTACGTCCTTACAGTAGAGGTAAGCTGTGCAATTACTTTCGTCATAATACGTTTTCAATAGAATGCATGCATTTAGTATGCTTAGCCCTTGATACCAGTCGAGGGCCGAATCTTTCAAATGAACATTTCAATAGCGTCTGATCTCTTTGGTTCTATCTAAAGAATCAGTTTTCTGACGCTGCTTGGCTCTTAGTTAATGACCCTTAACCAGCAGCATAACTGTTCAGTAACTCAGGAACGTTAAAAGTGAAGTGTACTTACTATAGCATGAGCTTAAATTTCAAGGTTGTCGAACTTTCAACGAGCTCTGGTTTCTGGTTTACTTTATGCAGGCAAAAGATAAAGGTTATCCCTCTATGTCAAGCAACACAACAGTTGAAGTGCTAGTTATGGATACTAATGATAATGCACCGATATTCACAAAACGTGTATACACAGCCTCGGTTCCAGAGAACGCTTTTGGGGGATACCAGGTAACATATCTTACAATAAAGAAAAACCTTCCGATAATTTCAAAACCTTGCACGATAGATAGCCTCCTCCTTTAAGAACGCATACACTATATTTTCAGTTTTCTTTATTTTGAAGGAAATTTCGAGGTTTTTCGTTTTTTCTCTTCTTTTTTAGGTTATACGAGTCACTGCGACTGACGCGGACGAGGGAAGTAATTCCGACGTAATATATCACATCGTTGGTGGTGCAGATAGTAAATTCATCATCGAAGGTTAGGTGTTCAGTACGTAGTTGAAAGGTTGTAGTAAAACAATGAACGACTAGATACTTTTTCATCTTGTTGAATTTTAATATGATCAGGATCCGAAAAAAAAAAAGAAGAAAACTTTAGGTCTTGAACTCTACCAGAATTTGAACCAATAACAACTGTACAGTTACAGTCCTGAAAATGCCACAGTTCCAGACAATGTTGAACACTACATTCTACTCGTTTTAGTTAAGTTGAGAATTTATAGCATTTTCATGTGTTTGTAGTGATTATTCTCTCTTTTTTTGTTCTAGCTTTTTCTGGGCAAAAAGTGATTCTTTTTACTCATTCTTTTCCGTTTTATTTTTTCAGAATCCTCAGGCATTGTTCGCCCTTCCAGCCGTCTTGATTATGAAACGCTTGTGGACAAATTTTACATTCTAAATGTTTCCGCGTCTGATGGTGGAAATCCACGGTTCATCACCTACTCTGTGCTCAATATTTCCGTGACAGACTTTAATGACAATCAGCCTAAATTTGCAAAAAATTCTTACAGCTTGGGCGTTTTGGAGAACGAGACAGTTGGTGTATTCTTTGATCAAATAACCGCCACTGATGCGGATTCGGGAGAAAATGCTAAGGTACATTTCTGATATGCCGTATAATATGCTTTTGTATTTATCCTGTAAACGCAGCCCACAAGTTTATGACTGATATGGAGATATACCCTCCCTTTAGATACAGAATGTGAATATCGTTTCGGAAATCATGACCCAGTTGTTAAAAATTTGGCTAGGATTGTTCTTTTTTCAGTGGATTGCATCGCAGTATCCCCTGAAGATTGGAGCTAAAGGTACTGCGGAACTTGGACCAGGCAAAAGCAGAATACTCCAAAGTCCTTCCTTTGGCCTTAGAAGACTAGCCATTTGAATATGGGGAGTTTTGAAGGCTTTGGAGGATTTAAAATAGTGCTTAAAATGTGACTAATTGAGCTGTTTTTTTGGACTACGAACCAGCACTATCATTCTTTAGCATTTTCGTATAAAATTCAGCTATATGGGCCCCCGAGGCTAACGGGACATTTAAAACACGTGCTCTCTGTCCTTTTGGCAGGTTATTGTGCTATGCATATAAAAAGTATCAGCCCTCAACACTTTCTTAACCAAATAATTTATTAATTAAGTTTTCTTGGCTCTACGGACATTTAGTTTTTATTTTAAAGTGCTCTTTCATTATCTGTTTTTGGTTTTTCTTTTTCAGATATCCTATTCTTTAAAAGATGACCATAAGACGTTTTCAATAGCTCCGGACACGGGTGACATAAAGCTCCTGCGCGAGCTGGATCGAGAAACAAGGGACCATTATCTGGTCACCGTTACAGCGACTGATAATGGTGCACACAGGCTCTCATCCAAAGTGGAGGTAACCACCTTTTTTTCGAATGAGATAAACAAAACAGAGTTATTGCAGAAAAGGAGGGTCAATTTTATCAGTGGGGCAAATTTTCCTTTATTTCAACTGAACTCATCATTATATATTACTGGTGATCAACTGACTGGCATATACAAAGGAAAATAGTATTTGAACCTAGGATAAAATGAATCACAACGTTTGTTTCACCTTCTTTAGGTTTCTGTCGAAATCCTTGATGTAAACGACAACTCTCCTGTGTTTACGCTTGATTTATACGCCCGAAAAGTGTCAGAAAATGTAGCGGTTGGTACCACCGTCCAAGTTGTCAAAGCTAATGATTACGACAGCGGCAAAAATGGTGACGTACGGTACCACATAGTATCTGGAAACGAGGCTGGTAATGTGTTACCTAAAGTATATGTTGGTGGAAACCATCGCATTGAGTAATAAATCACTCGGATGTTCGGATCTTCATTTATGTAGATCGTGTTTTAAAAGTAACTTCCCTTTAAACGTAATCAGATGCCCATTATTCCATTGCAACAAGATCGCTCTACACGATAATAGGACTTCAGTTAATTACTAAAGCTGTACATGACTTATTGACGGAATCAAGCAAAAGTAACTACGAGAGAACGACTGGGCAACTGACTATGTTACTGACAATAAACGACTGTGACAATAGACGGATCAAAACGCACGGCGTACTTGACAGGCGACCAATAACATCGCGACTTATTAAGTCGAAAAAAAAATTTGACCAATCAGGTTAACAACCACAGTCTACTACCATAAATTGACGTGATACAAATCGCTTTTACTCTGGCGTCAGTCACTGTCAACAACAACAGTCCTATTCAGGACTACGTTCACCCAGACGATCATACTCAGCCTACTTATGAAATGACTCCTGGGTTCAAACCCGGCCTTGCACAGACAAACAATAAAGTATCGCATAAATTGCTTAAGCCGTGCAGTTATTTATCATGTTCAATCTATTACTCTCAAGGACTCTTCTTACTCAATGAGAATACCGGTGAGATAACTGTGGCAATGTCGCTGGACCGTGAGTCCAACAATACCTTGAGGATGGTTCTGCGCGCTGACGATGGTGGGCAACCTAAACGAAGTGACCAATCAGAGGTGGAGTTTGTCTTGACTGACGTGAACGACAATGCTCCCGTCATCCGACCTCAGAAAAGTGTGGCTTCAGTTTTTGAGGTACAAAGAAAGCAACTGTCTAACTAGAAAAAGAAACTAATTTTTTTTTCTCTAGAAAAAGATTGGAATTGCTTGGGGTTAAAAGTATGATTATTTACATTAATTTGTAAAAAAAGCGTAACGTTTACGGCAGAACTAGATGCCATATTGTTTGTTTATAGAAAATTTGTAGAGGTTTATTCGAAACATTTTCCAACATCATAACCATGTTAAGGACTTGATATAAATTAAATAGGTAACTAAATGGATCGATAAATAGTTTAACACTTGCTTGTAGCAGTCATTGACAAGCTTTGATTAGACATAAATAAACTAAAAGCAAAGAAACGAATTTAAGGAACTTGATTGAGAATCTCCTCCCACCCTTTATAAAAGGGAAACCAATGAAGGCGACTTTTGAAATCGTTGGCCCAATACTGATCTAAAATTCATTGTTTTAAAGTGCGTTGAACTTTACTTTGTTGTATACATGTAGACAATTGAATGAGAGAATGAACTTTATTTATCGCTGATGACGTGGGGAGTGTTCGCCCAGTCTCCCGAGCCAAGGGCTCATATTTAAAACGCTCGACTAAAGGAAAAATTAAAATTAAAACAAGTGACAGTAAGGTACTATGGGAAAATGCAATTGAATAATCGATAAATATCATAAATAAGGTATAAAAGTCCTATAAAATATTTACAATAAAAATTAATTAAGAAATTAATCCGATTAAAAACCCAGGGGGTTTGTATATAGTACAATTGATACCAGATAATTTACGATAAACAAAGCTACAAGATACAGCTCTGACAGTGACATGCTTTGTACTTTTTATTTATGCTAAAATGCTGGACCGTGGAAGCTGATTTAGCAAACAGAGGCAAATTATTCCACACGTGGGCGATAAAATAAGAAAAGAGATTATGCATAAAACGGTTATTATAGTGACTGAGAGACGTTTAATCCTCTACCTCGTAGGTTGTAGTTGGTAATAGTTGTTAACCTTAGGCATAAAAAATTAGATATATAGTTAGGGTTATGCATCCTAAAACTTTGGAAAAAGGCGATAAGCGAATGTGATATTTGACGTGCTTAGTAAGGGCATTGGTTGTTCTCATTATGATGTAGAAATTATTTTAACCTGGCGTATTCTTTTTCTTTTGTTAAAGAATGTAGATGATGGGTATTTCGTCTTTGATGTCAATGCTACTGATGATGATATCTTGTCGAACGGGGAAGTGACGTACTCTATCATGCATGGCGATGAAGACAAGTTCGTCATAAACGCTACCTCTGGTGTCATAACAACCGCTGGCGCACTGGACAGAGAAACAAAGGACATATATACGGTAATGATGATTAACTGTTGATCACCTGTCGAACCAGAGTCGCAGCTAGACTTTCAGAACACAAGTGTTCTGGCAAGTGTTGCAAGCATCGAAGCCACGAAAACAGGGGAAATGCATAAATTAAGACGAGGCAAGACCCTCGTCTTACTCAGAGTTAGCCCTGAGAACTCTATATGTTTTGAAAAGTTCTAAAGCTTTTTCTCATACACATCTCGGAGTTCTTATACACTATTTAACCAATGGTACAAGAGGTCGAATGATCCTTTATTTATTGTTGGTGAGGACCATTTCCTCAGGTTATCGTTTTTTTCTCTTATTACTGACGTCTCTTTTTTTGAACGATAGACGCGCATGGTTGCAATTGTAGATGTTTTGGCTAATTGCACCTTGGGTCTGTTTTTAGACACAAGTACTTCATTCTATTAGCCTTACTGCATGTGGTGAGGAAACTGGGGTCAAAATTTGGGCCTCAAAACACTTTCATGATGCAATTTGACACAACACCCTCTGAGTGCCGTTAGTGGACGACTATTTAATGACAAACAATGCTTGTACTTAAATAATATTAATGAGTTCCATCAATTGATCATGTTTGTATGGTCAACCCTCCTATAGCTTATTGTGATGGCTCGAGATCAAGGAGTGGTTCCTTTTATGGACTTTGGAACAGTTGATGTTAGGATACTTGACATGAATGACAATACACCGCTTTTTACCACTGTAAGTAGCTTTCTTGGAAAACTGTTCCCTATTAATGTTGCAGGTCCCTTTGAGTGTTAGTGCTATATCTTATTAAACTGCATTTAAATAACATATTTTCCCTCTCGATTTTTAGACTTTTGGGCCATTTGAGGTGATCGAAAATGCAATTGAAAATACATCTTTAGGCAAAGTTTACGCCATGGACAAAGATATTGGAAGCAATGCAGAGATCATGTATTCCATTAGCGGTAAGATGGAATGAAGCTAATACGGATGGTGGTTAAAAGTGACAGTGTAACATGACGCCCAGTTAATTTGTTTTTCATAAAATTTTTGTCTCTTAATAGTATCTAAAATACCAATCTCTACAAGAGGTTAAAGAAAATTTTATTGTCTTCCCTTGTTTTGCTTGTAATAGGTGGAGACCCTGAAAACTCTTTCACTGTTGAAAAAACAACAGGTGCAATTTTTACCAAGAAACCGTTGGTAAGTTAACCTGGAAAATTTTTAAACACTTCTTATTAACACTTAAAAGAGATGTACAGTTTTCAGTTTTGAGAATATAACGTGCAGTATAATAAGAGACTCTAAGACTTTGGGGAGAAAGTGCAGCTATGCAACGTTGTATCGCACTAGAAGAAGACAGGACATTACTGCTTTGACTTACGATTGCTGCATACGAACAGTCCTGTGCAATGCTCTTGGTCAGTGCAGACGAACGAAAACAGCAGGCGAGCCGAGAAAAAGCGCGCTGGCGACAAAAGAAGGGAAAAGAGAGAGGAGAAGAGCTTCTACTTCCTCGTTTCTCCCCAGGTTGTTGCCCTTTTTTTTTCAGTCCGCTTTCTTCACTATCTTGGACCTCTCTACTTTTTACTTGTTATGACCTGCATTGAACTTGGTTAAAGCGCAGGAGATGGACACGAATTAGACAAGTACACTTGATCAATCAGCCTTGTAACTGAAGAAGAATAATCCATTTCCATGTGATTTATTGGGTTATAAATTTGCTTGTATTTTCTGTACTTTGTATAGGATCGTGAAAGTGTTGCACAATATGATCTCGTTTTGACTGCCTCAAATGAAGCGTCCAGTCTCTTGCTTGGCAGCAACACCACAGTGCGCGTGTATGTCCTGGATGCCAACGATGAAGCTCCTCAATTTAATTCTCCAAGCTACAATGTCACCATTTCTGAGGGAGACAAGGCAGGCAAAGATATCGTGACCGTGTCAGCTCATGATAAGGACCTGGTGAGTATTTACCCGTTCTAGTGAACTAGAGACAAGTTCGAGTACAGTGAGTGGTTACCGCATGAGCCCCAGTTCATCTTGTCCTGTTTCATTGTGGCCTTGTGGCTTGCTAAGCGTATCGGAAGTATAACGGAGGCGGATGGAATTGCATATGTAAGCATGCTGGATTACAGGTCGAACATCTTGATTTTATTGTTTTTTTGAATATTAGAGAGAGACTGGAGTATCACCAAGTCGAGCTTACTCGAACATTCCTGAGACAGACTTTCACTATGTTCGTCATCATCAATTACGCTATTACCAAACGGCTTTATTGGGCGTTACTTTTGTAATTCTCGTTTCATGTGTTAATACCGCAGTGTTATGATTAGTAGGGATTTAGTAAAGATAAGGTTGAGTACAGCCTCTTTTCTTTTACATAGGGAACTAATGGCCGAGTGCTCTACAGGATTCTCTATGACGATGTGAACATAAATGTTTTCAGTATAAATCAAGATTCAGGAAAGATGATTCTACAAAACAACATAGATGAAGACGAGTACAGATACCTCATTGTTAACGTGGAAGCAAAGGATCTGGGATCACCACAGCCTCTCACATCTGTTGTCCCTGTTTACGTCACTATTGTGGATGAAAATGACAATGGACCGATATTTGAAGAAAGCTCATACGGGTATGGTGTAATCATTTGCCCCCCTCAAAAATGGGTTTCGCATTATGAAACTCCTTTATCTTTGAAATACGGAATGTTTCAAGAATTTTAGTGGCCGAAAAAGCGCATTTATTACCAACCTCTCCTAGTTTAAAAAATAGATTTTCAATGTTTTTGAATATTTGCCGTAATTGCGGTTCATTTTGTTTTTGGCGCATCCGCATCCCCTGTCAGCACTCAACAGAACATTCTTTTAGAGGCCCTGCTCTTAGGGTGCATGCTCACAATCCAAAATTCAGACTTTTTTACGAATCTATTTCGATCCTTCTTTTTCGCTCACTTTCTTTCCTTTTCCTTTCTTTTCTATTTCTAGTTTTGTTGCCTTCTTTCCAAGAAAGGAGGAAATTTTATCTGGAGAGGGTAGTTAGCGAATTGCGAAATTGGCAGTGGATTGTCCCCCAAAATGTTACTAGTTTTTTGTGTGTAGCTCTGGCCGGATTGTTCAGAATTTCCAAAATAGGGTACCTGCGTAAAGATTTACCCTCCCTCAATTCGTTACCTGTCAGCTTGGTCAACTAAACTGAAAAATAAGTCGGTTCAAAATGTATTATCTGTATCGTTCCATATTGATTCCAAATGACCCAATCCCAAACCAAGGGGTTAATACAACTTTCTTGTCAGTTTAATCATTGTTACTTACTTGTAACTGGGCATGGGTTGTTATCATTATTGTGGTATAGGTCCTGCCCTTTCCTACCATCACTATTTACTTCTAAATATGAACCTTTCAAGAATGTTTGATTAGCAGAGCTCCATCCCTTTGTTTTTTTGCCTCACGCTTGTGTGATCCATTTTTTCTTTTTCATGTTGATGTCTGACCGGCTGAATGTCTGAAATTTCCCCCTGTTCTTTCTTAGTTATAGCACCATCACCTTTTGTTCATCAGCCCTGGGTGGATATAGGCAACTCTTCGACGTTTTGTTTTATTCTTAAATAATGATTTTAACAAATTTTTGCCAGTGCCACCATATCTGAGAATGCTGCGGTTGGTCAGTCAGTGATTCAAGTTAGCGCCACAGATGCAGACACAGGATCAAATGCTCAGATAACATTCAGGATAATAAGTGGAGATAATCAAGGTAAAGACCTGTTTGCCTAAGATCTCTGTTGGGTGTAGAGAACACTTTGTAATTAGATAATCGCTTGCAGAACTGGAGCAAAACTTCCCTTCTTGGTGTTTTTTTCCGTTCGCTACAGTCTCGGCTTTCCCGCGTCGTCCACATTCCAGCAAAGGCACCCCACTAAGAAAGCAATAAAACCCAGTAGGCCTCCTGCCGCTGGGTGCCATGACTTTCTAGGTGGGATGCCTGTGCTGGGATCAAATTTTGATCTCATATTGAATGTGTAATATCATTTATATTTCTTCTTTATCGCATCAAGCATGTATATTTGAGTGTCCGTAACATAGATGAATAACAAAAGCTCCAGATTATAGGACAAGAACTAACCAACTTTTGATTATATTCTTTCAGGGGACTTTCGAATACATAGCTCTGGGGCAGTTTATGTAAACAAAACCGTCGATCGAGAAAGGATCGGCGTTTATTCTCTTGTTGTTGGAGCTTACAACTATCAAACCAGGGCGTTCAATCAGACGAGTCGGCCACGTATCAGGAATATTGACAGTATGTGGTATTATTATTAATACGTTAGAGACAAAACCCTGGTTTTTCTTATTCATATTCACTTATAATAAAAGTAAACAAGAACAACTTAACGACTGTCTTAACATGTTTTATTTTATGGCTTTAGCTTAATGCGATACTTGCTCGATCTTTTTGTTTTAAGGCAATGGGTATCTCTATGACACTACACTTGTTACAGTGACCATCTCAGATTTAAACGACAACGCACCGGAGTTCATCAGGTCACTTTTCACCGGAGGTAAGAAAAAGAACTCAAGATAGAGAATATTAAGGAACCTTACTTAATATTGTGTGTTAATTGCTGATTTTCAATTTTGTTAGAAGGTGGCCACGCTGGTAGACAAAACAGTAAAAACTGTCTTCGCACAAGACAACGAAAACGTGCAACTTGTTTTGCAACATTGCCGCAAAACGAGTCGAAAAACGATATTGCGCGTTTTACTACCCTCGTTCTCAAACCTGTCAACAACCTGATTTTTTGCAAGACTGGCTCGATATGCGTGGTGAAACTCACAACATCACTACTCAACTCGTTTTGCAGCAATGTTGCGAGACAAGTTGGATGTTTTTAGTTGCCCGTTTTCCCATACCTTAAGTTCCTAGCGCCGCGGAAGGAAACGTTGTTGTTTTTAAACTAAACCCTTTATTGACATTATCCACGATTATTAATGTCTTTCATGACGTTGTGGTTCTTGTCCGCCAGCATGGCCACCGTGACCTGAGCTAAAACTAGCAATACTGTTAGAATAAGGGTGGATTCATTTCAACATACGCGTATAGCTGTCGCGTTTGCCTGCTGGAATTTTTTGTTGTTTTTAAGCCTTAAAACAACAAAAAATCCCAGTGGGCAAATGCGACAGCTATGCGTATATATTGTAAATGAATCCACCCTAAAATTCACCTGGTTATTATTCAGCCTGGGATAAATAAACATGTCGAACAGGTCGAGTTTGCCAACCCAGTAATATGGTGTCATCAATATTTTAGGTATTGCTGAAGGCGCAGGTCTGGGCACATATATAATGACAATCAGGGTAAGTCAAAAGGAAATGAAATAACCAATTACGTTACTATCATTTTAAGCAACTTCACGGGGTCAGAAAAATGGCAGTAGGTTGAAAAGGAACTTTTGGCATTCTATAACTATATCATTGACTTTTATGTCTCGTCTCTCATTTTTGCTCTTTAATTTTTAAAAATGTTGAACTCGAACTTTGCTATTTACAGAAGAGGGAACATTTCTCTGTATTTTAACTTGAACTAACGTAGCAGAATAGAAGGGCATTAGTAAATATACTTAAAGAAAGATGATCTGGTTTTTCGAATAGAACTGAGAGCTCAACTTGTAACTTTTAGCAACAAGCATGTTACTTTTCGTGCTTCTTGTAGGCTACGGACAGAGATACGGGTAACTTTAGTTCCATACAGTATCGAATCTCATCTGGTAACGATGGTGGATTTTTCAAGATGGATGAAAGTACTGGGTTTATTACGACAGCGAGTAACTTTAAGGGAAAGAAGGGCCAGCGGTTTACTATTCAAGTGAGTGCACACGATAACTTTGGACGAGTTCCTTCAAACAAGGCTTTTGAAGAGGCGACCGTTCAGGTAAAATGGTGCATCAGTTTCTTAATTTTTACTTGGAACATTGCTTTTTTGTTTTCTCTATCTCAGAAAGGTTTGATTGGCAACATTACTTGCGCTTAAACGTGTAATTTAACTGCAAGCACTACATCGTAATGCTGTTTGTGTACGGTGCAGGGTATCAAACCAGAAAGGAAGTGTTTTAAGCGCGTTGGGATAGGCTACTCAGCCTTGCAACGTATATGCCTCCGCATATACGTTTTTTTCCATATCTTTGTGTATTCTGCAGATATTCGTCCTTCTCGATCAGCAAAGAGTCACTCTCAAGGCTGAAGTTGACCCGTCTCTTATCGAGCAGAACAAGGAGGAGTTTGTCAGGTTACAGAATACAATATACTGTTGATGACGTTAATTGCTTATTTTAGCACTAACAGTTTCCTTGTCACACAACATCATCACAACCTCCAATATCCTTATCATCATCATCACCATCATCATCACCGTTACCTGTTCTTCCTGCTCCTTTTAGTTATACTACATAGATTACCTTTCTTTTGATTTCTTTTGATATATTTAAATGTTTCTTCTCTAGGGTGTTGAATAACATTACGGAGGCCGAGGTAAACATTGAAGCAATTTTCAAGGTATTTGGACAAGACAGCAACGGTAAACAAACCACAAATTCTGAGGTTCTGTTCCATGCCGTTAATGTGAAAAGTCAAAAGATAATGACCAGTGATCAAGTATTGGGGTAAGTATCATTGCAGCAATTGTTTTTTTAATATTTCGTGTTCATCGGAATATATATAAAGCGGTCTTTGCCCTCTTTCTTTAAATGGTCTTTGAATCTATCACGTGAAACCTACCTACCTTGTTCGAATAATAGCCTGGAGCGATTAGCTTTTTTTGCACAAAATGGGGGCGATTGTTTTGAATATTCTCGTCTGGGGGGGATTATTAGAGGGATGACTATTAATGGTTTTGACCTTCGCTTATTGTCGCTAGCTCTCCTTAACTTTCGATTATTACTAGTTGAGTAAAGTAAAAGGGAGTGACGAGTACCTTTTCCACTTCTTGATTTAGAACAATTGAGAAGTACGCTGACCAGTTGGAGACACTTTACGCTAGATGGAAGATCAAAGCGCCTCTCCCAACTTCCACGCTACCACCCACAAAAGACAGTGGACTGGGAAACGCTGAACTTGCGTTAATCATTCTTGGGTCTGTAATAGGTCTTCTCCTGTTGCTTGGTCTGTGCTTTGCTATCAAGACAAGATGTAGGTAATGTCTCAAAGCAATAAACTCGTTACACGAGCTAGCATAAGCTAATCACGGTCTGGTTGTAAGTAAATTCTCTCTTCTTCTTCTTCTTCTTCTTCTTCTTCGGGGCCGTATTCTTTTTTGGATAGTTTTCATTAACAACGTTGCGGAGGAGTCTCCCTCAAAGCTGCTATAAGGCAGCACCATCGCTGGCTAATATCAGAGCGGGACCTGATTCAAGGAACTACAGTCGAACCTCGCCTAAGCAACATCCAAAATGCAAAGCTTAGTGGTTGCTTACGGGAAGTTATCGTTAACAAGAATCAAACCACAGATATCTTCTGAGAAGAGGTCCGGACACATCTACCTTATGGAAAATACTCATTGTATGCGATTTCTAAGTTGTCATATACGTAGTTCCATGTTGTCGCTAAAAGTTCTTCTTATACTCTAAGTAGCCTAGTACTTACAGCGAACATAGAGATCAGGCCATTGGTCAAGTGGTCGCTTACAAGAGGTTAAAAACAATGGAAAATTATTAAACCGCAGCCCCAAAACGTGGTCGCGGTCGTTTACAATTGGTGGTCGTTCACGAGAGTTTGCAATTGTAAGGCTTTGACTGGGAAAACGTTGGCGTTTTTGTATAGGTTGTCGCTTACGAGAGGTAGTCACACATGCCTGACCTTAAAATATTTAACTAACTCCTCTTTAGTACATGATGCGTTCGTGAAAATTTCCACTTCTGTCACGTAGGGGCTGTATTACATTAATTTGATACATTTATTGCCATTTGCAGAGTTAAGAAGCGTGACATGTACAATTCTCCAAAAGGTCGGAGAAAATTTAGTGACATTAACCACCGGTAAGTGTTGGATTATGTTCTTACTATCTTTCTCATTCGTCAGAAACTCTGACGTTATTTAGTTTTCTCAAGGGATGTAAGGCCTGAGTCAAAGTATTGTTCCGGAAAATGTCATCGATTGGCAAAATCTGTAGCTAGGATACCCACATGTAGAATTCAGCCATGGTCACGTGACCGGCACGTGGTCAAACGTATACGATGAAGGAAATTGGTGGCGAATTTACTTTGGATAGTTTACTTAACTAGCGTTTGTAATAGAAGATAAAAAAAAAAAAAAAATGTTTTGGAATGAATGTACTCGAGGGTTAAAATGGAATTTTTACCCGTACATAGAGATTGAAATAGAAGAAGGTGCAGACATTTACCTTACCTTACTGGAGCATTTACACCTATACAAAAGACTTCGGGAGAAAAAGGCGAGACACAATTAAGGACAGTAGCTGATGATATGATTCACAGCACTTACTCGTAAATCTACATTACTTACTACTATATACATACCGTAAAATCCCGAAATAAACCCGTGGGCTTTTAATTTTCAAAGGCCCTTTTTGAGAGGCTTATTTTTGGAGGGGCTTATCTACGGAGGGAAATTTGCGTTTCAAAATCGATGGGGCCAGCCTTTTAGTTGGAAGGAAATTTACCGTTTCTTCTTTGTTTTACTTTGTATTTTAGGGCAATTTCCAAGTACAAGCCCCCCCCCCCAGGGGGGGGGGGAAGGCTTATATTTGGGGAACCACTCTCGAGGCACTTCCTAGTGTCTGATCACTTTGTCACCTCCCGTGGCAAGGAAAGTTAGATGGCTGGTTGTACAAGGGTTTTTTTGCGTTACGAGTTTGGGGGACTTATACATGGAGTGGCTTATTTTCGGAATCTTACGGTATCTCACATGAACTTCAACATTGCACCACTCTTGAGATGAAAAAACAATGCAATTTCAGTCTTATACGAGATAAATCTTGAGATCAACAAATAATATCCTTTTCACTTCAACTTAGTCCCTCATGGTCATATTATGATGACGTCATAGACACGATTGATGCAAAGAGCGTGGCCCCTGTCAGGTACGTTAAGGTTGACGGAGGAAACTCTTTGAGAATTTAATTTCATGATTTCAGAAGGTAAAAACTTGGTTAACGGACATGGAATAGATAGATATATAGATAGTTTATTAAAATATCGAACATGGCAGTCCGCAGACTGAATTGCGTTACAAATACTTAAAACTGAACGAAAAACTCTCTATATATAACTAGGTACAAACTAGTCCAAAAATTAAACTCTGGAATAAAAGTGTTCTTAAAAATTTTAATTTCATAAGCCCTGGATTTCTTAGATTATGTCTGTGAAGGTAAGACAAAAATCCGGGCATGACGTGATAGACTGGTTAACGGACGTCTAGCGTGCAATCGAACCTGACCAAACATTCTGAATACGACGCATAAGGACAAATGATGGAGAGCGCTCTCTTTTGCACTCGTTCGATGTTGAATGTTCAGTTTTGTTAGCTTTCAGGTGGAATTGTTTCCTTACTGTTACGTACTTTTTGCTTTAGCCATCAAAAAGTTCTAACCCAGAGCCTCTTTTTTTCAGTAGCCTCTCATTTAGTTCCAAGACATAGCAAACAGCTATGATATGTGTTTGCTGTGTTTATCAGACATAATAAAGAGATTAACAGTGATGTTTACGGCAAATAGCAAACGTCAGATTAAGTTGAGAATTTCTCAAAATATAAAACGTGCAGCTAAAAACAGTCTAAAACAAAACAATTGTATAGAAAAAACTAACATGGAGCTACTAACTTTGGGGAAGGAGAAATGAACAGTAAAGAAAACTGAAAACTTGGTCACGTGTTACAAATTCACGTTTTCCGTAAACGTGACTCTAAATCACTCTAATTTCTTGTAGCGAATTACGCAACCCAAAATCCATGAGTGAGGTCATTAATGGTGGAGCTACAATCCCTTACACATTAGAGAAAAGAATTTTGCTTGTGCTCTTTTTTTTTTTGCTGTGAGTCTGGATTCGCCAGGTTTTTTTCTTGTTGCTATCGTCCAGGATTGTTGGATATCAGAGAAACTACTTAAGGTCGTACGAAATCTTCCTGAAACCGCTACTCTATAATGCGTTTGCCGTTATGTACGTTTGCTCGCCCTATGATTCTTTCCCTTTCCCCATCAAACAGTGGGTTGGTTAAGCAACGACGACGGCGACGGCAACGGGAATGGCAAAAAAGCAATAGGTTTAGATTGGTAAAACAACACATTTGCTCCTGCATCACGCACGTGAAACTGCCTAATTTCACGTTTTGTCGAGGACGGGAACACAAGACAACAACTTTCTTTTTCTTTTCCTGAACTTTGATATAGTCCTTTAGAGTTCAACTCCAGAAAAGTTTGCCAACATCTGACGAATTAAACGAGATGGAATAAGCGCGAGAAAGTTTGAAGCAGAGCGAATTCACTTTTTAAGTGACGTTTTCGTCGCCGTCGCCGTCGTTGCTGCTTAAGCTCTCTAGTACATAGAACCACAGCTTTCTGACACTCAATTTGTTTGCTATACCGCAAACTGCCGCTTCTAAGTCAACGCCCCAGCCCCCCCCCTCCTCCCTTACAAGCCCACCCAGTTGCAGGCCCATGTACTTGTGAACAAACAAAATACATCTGGTTATAAGTCCCTCTTCAGGATTTGTTGAAATGAATTCGATTTTTTAGTTTAGGAAAAAAAAAAGTATTTTGTTTAGCTTTGCTTTCTCTGTTATTGTAGAATACAGTCCCACCCAGATAGCACATATGGAAGTGATCCGGCATTGTATGGTGAAGAGTACATGCTCAGCAAGAAACGAACCCTGTGAGTAAAACCATAAGATGTGACGAACGTGAACTAATCCAATAGTAATCGGTATTATGATAGGAATCCAGTTGATCATGGTGCTCAATTCTGGACCTTGCTTACCAGAATTCGACTTTCTCCATCCTTTGGTTTTGTTGACTGCTTTAATAGGGTGTGAGGGACAGACTTCAGAAAAAGTGGCATAGATTCGGATTCCTATTCAGTCGATCTTCTCTTGGCCAATACGCATACTGCTAAGGTCCAATTAGAATGTTATTTGATACGGCAAGTACTTTGATGCTTATCTGTACATTGATTTTTTTTGTATTTTGTTCTATTCAGTTCAATGGAAGAAAGAATTTGGAATGAAAATGATTACTACTTATCGCAGGTGAGCACAGAAATATACAGACTGTTAAGTGGCCCTTTGATTGTTTGCGTCAGTCACAAGCAAATTTCAGAAAAACAGCCTCGTTTGTAAACAAAATTCTTTACATTTGCAGTCTTCGTACATGAGTATTCAACTTTGCTTATTTTAGAAACAAGGCTTGGTGGTGAATTTGTTCGTCTGACGTTAAAATGCACAGGGCTATAGACTTTGTGATCTCCTGAGATATTTAGGGTACTAAAACACAAAATCTTTTTAAATCTATCGTTCGCCGTCGTAGTGTGTACTCAAATTACTAGAACCCAAACGGTCCGGGAGGAAACTTCTGGGTTTAAACATAGGCAACCTCGTTCCCAGGGAACAAGGTTGAAGACCCGCCTGGACCACCCACCAGGTACATGTACTTATTAAATAACTGGCAAGAGTCACAAACGGAGATCACAGCCTTCTTCCTTTCTCCTCCTTCTTTCTTCTTTATCGATTCGAAATGGGAAGTTAAAACTGCTGGTCAAAAAGAGTAGGAGATCGCTTACACCTCGGTGGTGTAAACTACTTTTGGTATAGCTTTACTAACTTCCCACTCTCCAATTGACAAATTTAGAGTCGGCTGGGTGAACATTGATGGCTTGAAAAATGGCGCCTAGAGGTTGACATTTTTGTAGTCCACTCTTTCGTCAATGACTACTCGCTTTTGCTTTTTCACTCTTTTTGGTCTTTTTCTCGTTCTTTTCACTGCCACTTTCATTATTTCTAATCAGGATGACGATGGTGAATCGGATCATGACGCCGCAGCTAGTGATATTAGTCAGGCAAGCTCAGCTCACTCGTCCAGAGTCACAGCTGATGGAGGGGTGGTAACAAAGGTGTAACCAATGAGACTCTTACAAACAGAATCCACCACGCCTGTAATAAGGACGGTGAAGGAGTTGGAACCTTGCAAAAGAATTTACAAAGTACAACAGAATTTTCCGTTCTTACCGCGCCTGCTGCTCTATTACATTAGACTCTCTTCTCTCCTTGCTTTAATGGAAACTTGAATTCACGTCAGATTACGGAAATAAGCTTGACCTTAACCAATTTCGCTTGTGCATGTTATGGATAACTGAAAAATCTGTTACCATTTGGTAATTTGAAAATAGAGGAGTAGATGTCTGGAAGAAAGTTTTAAGTGACTGCGCGTCGTGTCCAATGCTCTATGCTCAAGGCTACATATTCTTGAACGTTCTCTAATTTTCTTTACTTTTTTGAGATCAAAATATTTAAGGTCAAGCAACTAAAATAAAAAAAATAACAGTCTTTGTCTTGGGGAAGTCATTTCTGAAGATTTATTTTTCATTTTACTATATATTCATGGGGGTATACGTTTCTGACTCAGTGGTTACAAAACTGTAGGAAGCTGTTACTAGCTGCTGTATTATGGCCCTTTCCCTTACTTTATAACATTTGTTTCACTTCCATCTCTTATCTCTAGTGCTATTTTCCCGCCTATCTTGGCTTAGCCTTTAAAATGCTAGGGAAGTGGGCGGGGGGAGGGAGGGGTGGCTTTACTTTTATCGCCACTAAGCAACTTAAAATGGCCTGCTTTTGGTTGTCGTTTGTTTGAAAACAATGCTGTTATCGTTTTATAGAAAGGCGCAAGGATACCATCAATGCGCTTTTTCTTTTACGAAAAAATCCTAGCAGCGATCGCGCGAATCGGGGAATTCTAATAGAATAGACAATGGGATTCGCCAGGCTGTTACTGTAATGAAGCAGTTTAGTGAAACAGAATGCTTCAAAGGGAATGTCCATCGGTTCTCGCTTAGCATAAAAGAAAACCACAATGTTAAGCACGTAGAATGGGACCCAAGTTAGAACGAAAACTAAACTAAGTATAAGAAGCGTAGTAACAAGGCTTTTCTCTTGAGTTCTTCTCTTCCTTTGTTCCATCTCTTCTTGGTATTTGCTGCCTTGCCGTGGAGAATCATCCTTGAGCAATGTCACTTTTTTCCATATGAGAACGTAAGCCACGCAAATAATTAGCAACGACGAGGATATGAAGAAAATTACGAAGTAGAAGAAGACTCTAAGTTTGAATACTTTTAAGCCATCGTTCATGAAGTATAGAAGAGCCACCAGAGCTGACAAAAACCATATAACGCTTATAACGAAGTAATAAACTCGTTTTGAAGTGACCATATTCTTCAAAGGCCACATCACTGCATATAACCGTTCCAAAGCAATCGTTGTAAGAGCGAAAATTGAAGCGAATCCAGTGAAAATATCAATGGCCATGAAAGCAACAAAAATATCCTTTTCATTACTGTTTGTTTTCCAGTACCATACTAATTGATGTATGTACAGTGGGACTGCAAAGGCACCGACCAGAAGGTCTGCGACAGCGAGCGTTGTTAGGAAGTAGTTAGCGCGCATGCGTATGATCCTTTTCCTTGTGAAAACTGCGATAGTCAGTGCATTGCCGATGATAATAGCTACTGCTACCAAAGCGAAGGCTGTACACCATGCGATCAGTTCAGACAGAGGTATGGTCGTGATTGCTGTTGGAGCTTTTTCAGTACGAGTTGTATTCAAACTGGTCGTGGAATTCCCCTCCATCTTGCTTTTAAGTCCACGTTTTCAAACCTGTTGATATAAGCATGAAGATTCTATGATTTAAAGTAGATTAATCAAGCGTTTGATAGTGATTGATGTAAGTTCTTTACCTGTAAATAAACCGCGCAGATGCTAGCTGCAGAATGAACTGATGAGAAAATTACCGAGTACGGCGAGTAGCCGAGTTCCGGTATGAACACTGATCTCTAGTTTTGAATTTTTGTCCATCGTTACAAATACCGCAACAAAGATAATTGATAAGGCTTGGCATCGATAAAATACCGCAACGTCGGGGTTAAGCTGATAGCGAAGAACTTGCTGAATTCTAACGGTCGGAAATATTAGCCCTGATGTATTCACTCTGGCCCAAGCTGTTATTAGAAAAGCATGTTGTTGCGTCACTAGCATAGAAGCTTGTCAGTACCAAGTAGTTTCCTGTCTTTTTGTAAAATGTCCTCAATATTTGCATGTGACTGCTATATATGTTGTTATGAGGGAAAATTGTCGAAAAATCCTAGGTTTTAAGTTTTATAGCTAAGCCTACATTATTATATTGTTATTCCATTTGCACACTTTCAACCGCTCATTATCGAAACCAAATCTGTTTTATACAGATGTTGTTATTAATGACATTTTTAATTTTTAAGCATTTCCAAGGCAATTTTACAGTACTAGTATTCTAAACAATCATTGAAGCAATCACAAATTTTACCACGTGCCCTGGGATGTACTTGTTCTAAAGTTGCAAGGCTTACAATACTCTTAATTAATACCTTTTATACAATGCAATGCTTACAATTCTTTTTTATATTCCATTCGTAACCCTTTTAACCGCTCATTATAGAACCCAAATCCAGTTGAACCAATAGTTGTTAATGATTTTCAGGACAATATTTTTGCTCCAATAAACATACAAGTAATAATATGTTTTGTGAATGAGAGTGCTTAGTGAAAACTGCAAGGAAAAACTTTGGTGAATACTCCTTGTTCACCTTAAGAAATTCGTAATACAGTAAACATTTTATTTTATCAATTTGATCAATACATCGCCGACTTGACACCGTAAACAAGTGTTATAATACCTAAAGTATACACAAATATGTTTTATCGAAATCAAAAAATGGAGCGCGGTCAATGTGCAATGTTAGAGATAACCAGGAAGAATAATTATAGCAACATGATTTACCTGAATGGTCCGCTCAAAAGATGGTTGTAATAGTTATCAAACGAGAAAATGTAATTTATTCACCCAAAGACGTCAATTAACACGTATTCATGCGTTTCAGATCGAGTTGGAAATTGGACAAAGTATGGCATGTTTTTTAAGGAGAAGGGAAGACCAGAGTCGACTCAGGCAGGGGGGAGGGGGGGGGGGGCGCCTCTTGGAAAAAAATAACATGAAAAATAGGGAGGAGAACCAAGAACAAAAATGGGTGTGCTACATATGTAAGATGAAGAAGTGCCGTAAAAAATCTTCGTTATTACTTTATTTGAATAACACACATTGTTTGTTTTCAATAAACAAATATGCTTTCTTTTGTCGCACGTCACGGAGCCGTGTTATATAATGTATAATTGCCGTCGGCTTTACCTCCCCCTTGCTTATAAAGTGAATATCTTTTCAGAGTATATGAAGACTGTCTTCATATACTCATCAACTGAAAAAAAAATAGAAAAAGTAAATGAGCGTGCATTAAGATATGTTTACAAAGATAAAACATCAGCTTATTATGAACTGCTACAGCGAATAGGTTTAGGAACCACGCTGGAAAACCGTCGTGTCCAGGACATGTTAATAACTATAAACGCTTGTTTTCAAGGCACCGCACCCACTTGCATTAAGGAACTCGTTAAAATGAGAGACAACAAGTACGATTTAAGGGGCAATAATACGCTATCACTGCCAAACGTAAATACTACAAAGTATGGATTAAACTCCTTCAGATATTTCGCCGCAAAACAATGGAACAGTATTCCAAACGAATTGCGATTAAGAGCTGGAGGACTAGAATTTAACAAACAAGTGAGGAACATTCAATTTTAGTTATCTAATTTTGTAATTTTAGATGCTAGATATTTTATATTTTTACACTTCTATGTACATATTTTCCTTCTTTCTTTCTTAATATTGATTTGTGGAAAACCTGCAAAATAGCTTTAGCTAAGTGTTTCTCCCACGTTAAATAAAGATTATGTTATGTTATGTTATGTTTGGCAAACAACCATGCATCAAAAACAACTTGACTTACTTTAATGAGTAATAAAACGTTCGCTCTCTATGGGTAGCGATATTATAGACGCTTGAATAGACAATTCTGATAAGAATCTTAATTTCCTTTTTTATCATCAGTTATCTTTTTAGACAGATGATCATGAAATATGCTGGCTTTGATGCATAGCCGGCTAAAAAGACTATAATCCGAAACATGAATACACCATAGTTTGTACGAATTTAACTACCATTTTATAAGTATTTTAATAGCGATAAAGATATACCTTAATACCGATTTAATCTCCTCAATTTAGCCCAAAATGTAAGCGCAATATTTACGATCTTGACCATACCGCCTTATACCGCATACAGTCGACAAGCCATTTAAAAATCATTATTTTCAATTGTCTCTCTTTTGCAGATATATCAAATAGATGGCGTTGATCAGTCTGTTGAGAATACGTTAATGCTGGCTTTGCATAAGAATTGTTAGGCCCATTGGAGATGCTTAGAAAGTATGCTTTATTGTTTGCTTCCAGCATTTTCAGGCACAGTTTATTAACCCGGCTCCGAATAAATTCAGGTGTATGACATCATGTTACATGTACATTCCTGTACCAAACACCGAGTACATTATTGCATGATTCGATACCTGAGGGCCCGGGGTTATTACATAAGAACTTTTACTGATATTAAAGGTCCTTAAAAATCTGACAGACAAAAGTAGTCTTTAAATTGTATTTTACTGAAATTAGCAGACAAAGAATTTTTTTTAAGGAGCAGTATAAGTTATTGAGATGTAATTGCCAATATCTTTTATACCAACAAATGCTTAGTAGGTTTGTGCTAAATGATGAATTATTTGTCATTTAGTCCAAGTGCTCACACGGCTCACTAGTCTCGTGTTGCTATTAATTACTTACACTGTCAAGAGTTACTTGTTTTCGATTTTTGAATTATCGCCCAAACCACTATTACATCAAGGCAACGCAAAGTATTCAGGTTGTTGAGCTGGCAATTAAATGATCATCCCTGAAAAAGTCAATTTTTTTTCTCAGTCTCCCTCTAGCTAAGGAGATATCAAACATACTATTATCTATTTTCAAAGAGATTTACGTTCTCCCATAACATCAAGTAATCCACCCGAGTCTTCCAATCGATTAAATCACTTTATTCGCCTAGAACACCTGTATTGTTTCGAG